TCAATGCCACGTTGGCCATCGATATTTTAGTTTTAAGGTGAATTTAAAACCGTAATAAAATATTCCCGGGGAAGTATGTCAGTGATAGTGTCATTTGGGCTACATTTTGCAATTAGGAACCACAATTTCTGACTCAGTTTATAGAAACAGCGTAAGTATTATTAGTATTCCTATGCATATAAGTGTTCTCACGGATGAGCCAAAAATGTTAGTTTCTAATTACAAAAGGAAGTTCATTTGGCCTGCATTTTGCAATTCGGAACTACAATTTCTGGCCCTTCGATAAAAACACCTATCTGCGTAGGGAAACTAATGGCACATATGTTCATCTAAAATGAGCCAGACATTTTAGTTTCTAATGGCAAAATGTGGTCCATTTGATGCTCAAGATGAGTGGGATGCAGATCCGTCGATCTGTTTTCGGAGTTTCAATGCAGCGCGAAAAATTCCGACAGTATCAGTAGTGCTGCCGTGATAGCGAAGAGCGCAGTAAGTTCATGCTGGGATGAACCTTGAGACACATAAAAGTATGTGCTAACCATGGCTCCCACAGAAATATACTTACTGTTCTCTTCGCTATCACGGCAGCGTGGATCCACTACGCCAGTCTGCCGTGCTAAGGAAAAACGCCGTATGAATCTTTCGGCGTTGCCAAATATCCTTCAATAAAACACGAATTTCTTGGTAAGATTGTGAATATTTTTCTTCCAATTTTTCATAGAATATTGATTGTATTTTGGTCTAAAGTTACTGAAAATGTCAAGGAAAAATGTTCATAATTTCCCTCATAAATAAACATTTTATCAATAAAATTTGGCAACTCTCGAATGTTCATACGGTGTTCTTCCGTAGCATGGCAGCAGTCGTGTCCACACTAATCCCGACAAGGCCATTATGCGTACCACTCGCGGAGGCCTTCAACTTCTGTGCGCACCCACCCACGCACCCGTCAAAGCGTCTAGGAAGCCCGGCTGGACTTTCACTGCGTCGCGGCATTGGCCGTGTCATAAGCACGCGACTCAAATGCAACGATTTTTTTCCGCATATGGGTGTAAGTCTGTCGCAGAACAATAGTTAAATCAGGTATTATTTCAAATGCCAAGGCAATACCCTAACTTACACTGAAAAAAAATAGTCTTAATTAGTCTTAGTAGTCTTAAATTTGCTGCCAAGAAGTATTTTTTTCTTAAATCAAGAATTTTGCTGTTTAATAGAAACTACTTTAACGCTTGATCCAAGCATTATTTTGCTTTTATCAAGTAAAATTCAGCTTAAATCAAGACAAAACGAATTCTTGGCGGCAAATTAAAGAATTATCATGCTTGAACCAAGCACCTTTTTTTCAGTGTAGATTGAAATTCTGATTCTTTTCCCAATTTCAGTCAAAATAATCATTGCGCCTGTAAAAAAGAATGGTTTGTAAAAATGAACATCATAAAAGATTAAAATGCGTTCATTTAGGTTTAAAGGAATTTATCAAATAATATTCACAAGATTTGTGAATAATACTTTAATGAATTCATCCCTAATTTACATTTTACAGCTATATATAAACTTATTATTGTGAGAAATCATCCAGTCATTTGAGAGAAAAATAAGAAGGTATCGGGGAAAAACTATTCGGTGAGTGATGGATAAAAACCAACTCGCCGTGTCGATCAGCAATCCATTTTTTCCGTTCTTTCCTAATGAGTAAGAATTCCCCTTGGAAATGAGAATTTCCCCACGAGACGATGCGCTGGAAAGCTGCGGGGCACTGACAAGATCGCGATTTTTTGTTTGTTTTTATAAACCCACCTCCCATCTCCATCTCCCTCGTTCTACTAACTCCGCACTATATATCTCTCTCTATCCGCATCACAGGTTTTCCCGCCTCTCAATCCGTTGACCCTTTGACGTAAAGGCATATCTCAATTTCTACGTGAGCCCTGTTTCACGTATAAATCCATGATTTCGGGGGCTCATGTGGAACTAGAGATACGTCCTTACGTCAGAGGAGCGACGAATCGTATGAATATTTAGTTTGATTCGGAGCCTTGAGTCCTCCACTCGTATCTGGAGCTTTATAACATGTGGAAGCGGGCTCGAATTCAATCACCAGCTGTGTTTCGTTCAAAGAAGAAATGAAGCGAAAAAAACGACCTGCACGATTTAGACATACAGCAAAATAGTTCATTTATTTTTGTACACAAACTCACATTTAGATGAGTATATTCATACCTTGAAAACAACAACAAATGCATTGATCAACAAAGGAAAAGAAAACAAGCAGTGAACTCCAACACAATGTGTTGATAAGGCGCGTCATTAACTCGCACATATCAACCCCTTTAGTTTTCATTTACAGAGATTTCAAAATAGGCAAACAGCATAAAAAGAGAATTCACGATCCAACACTGCGAGGTCAAAGACGCACCTTGACGAGACCGTGTATTGTGAAAGTAGAAAGCTATTCGATCGAATTTAAGTTTTTTGATCTGCCTCAATCAAAATCTTATCAGATTCTTGAAGAAAAGTGCTACGGAATAATTTAAGCGAAGAAAGGAAAAATTCTGTCGAACTCCTAGAAGATAAAGTCGATTTAAAGGTATTTTGGGGCTAAAATACCCAAATCACCGGTAGTAAAAATCCCGTTATATTATTGAAAAGAAATTGACTCGATATAAATGCAATTGCATTAAATACGTCTTGATTTTGTTATTTTAAACGTCTTTCCATGCAAAGAAGTTCAACCATGTCGTTGCTTTATTCATTCATGAATTGAAAGTAAGCAATCTACATCCCGAAAATCTACTGATTTGCCGTAAAAAATTGCAGAAACTTGATATACCAGGTCGATGCACCCACTCGTTGAATTTACCAACCAATTTTGTGAGTGCAAATGTGTAAGAATCAATATGCTATAGTCATTTTGGGTGCATTTATTTTTCATGAAACAATAATAATTTCAATCCCGAAAAACCATCAATTTTCCGTATAAAATCGAAAAAATCAAAATATGTCAACTCCCCGACGTGAAAATTAGATTCTACGTATGTAAAATGTAAATACTTATGTATCGATATGCTGAACAGAACTATGTGTGGACAGTCAGAAGCCCGCGGCAACATTAATTCAACAGAAAAACTGTAAAAATTAGATAGGATTTTAGCCGCTTTGCCCGCCTCTCCTCGCTACTTACAACAAACCGTTCTTATACTCATCTCAAAATTTTTCTCAGAGCTTTGGGTTATTATCAGCTTCCATTTAAACTCCGGTTCGATGGCCGAATCGGCTGCCAAAAAAGCAAGCCACTGTTGAGGGGTTCTATGAGAAATTCGTGATATTATCGGCTCTCAGGAAATCACCCCATGGCTAAAATTGGTGGTATAAATGTTTAAGTGCTTAAAATAATCGTATTCAAGAAACTAAGGAATTAAACTATGGAGTCAATTTCTTTTTAATAATATAACGAATTTACTACCGGTGATCTAGCTATTATTATAGCCCCAGAATACTTTTAAAGCGCCTTTGCGTTCCAGAATCTCGACGGAATTTTTTTTTTTTTTTTTTTGCTTAAACGATTCAAGAAACATTGTAGTTAAAAATATAAAGATTTTTCGATTTGGACGTATGAAAAATGTTTAACTCGTTCAGGCACACCGTGTATTGTATGGAGTACTGCTGTTATTCGACCGTTGTCTTCAGGTCAAAATTCTTACAAAGAAGCCCCTTGCAAGAGGCAAATTTTTTGTAATTTCTCCCAGTTTTTTCAGCGTTAGGTATATAAATGAATTGTTTGTCAAATTGTGAGGTCAATTATATTTAATTGTAATTTATACTTTCTTTTTTTCCCCTTCATTTTATTTTTCGTATCGAGGAGTCGAGGTTTTGTTGATTTCTTCGGATTTCGATTACTGTAACTTCTCTTCTATTCGGCCGATTTTTATGAATGAGGTCTCTTTTTATTTGTGTTTTAACGGAGAGTAAGGAAAAAATTGCTAAATACATGCGAAACAATTTTTTTTGAAAATTGGATGAATCCTAGCGTGACGGTGAAATGGTTAATGAAGCGTGAGTAATTGGGGTACGGGTATCGGCCGCGTTGGGACCCAAGGCCCATTGTTCTTCGTGACGCCGACGCAGTGATCAGGAGCGTGGGGACGAGAGGGCTTAGTGGACTCCTGTATGAGCCACGTTTAGCAAATGGTCTAATGAGTCTCGAGGCTCATCACAGATTGCACTTACCACTATCCTGGTGGCCCCGGCTATCAGAGCAAGGAGTACCAACTTTTGAAAAGGATAACAGTGTTGTGGAGATATGTCAAAGCAACGTTGTGAACAAAACGGAGTGAGTGAAATTCTCATTCAAGGAGTGCCGAACTGGTCAGCCATCCTCGAATCAGTTCGCTTGCTTCCGCTTATATATGCATATTTTAAATCAGCGCGCCCCATTCTAAGGTTTTTTTAAAAAAAACCAAGAAACGTAGACTCTTGGTATTCATTACACATAAACTAGCGAGCCCCAGAATGAGAAACAAATTTTAATCATTATTATTGACGGATTAGTAAACTTTTTACACGCTTTGGAAAATCTCAGAAGTTCGCGGTAGTCACTTTTCGGTAAGGAACTAGGGGACTCGGTTATTGTATCGAGGGGGGGGTCGAAACGATCGCAAAGGCGGTATACTACGTATACGCGCCAAAACTAATAATATTAACCGATGGGGGAATATCATAAGTTTTTTGTGCTTTTCAACAATATTGGCCAAACTGCAGGGTCTCTTGTCGGTTGCGGTTAGTTAGTGTACTTACCTTCTTTGTCCATTACAACCACCCGCTTCAACCAATAGGATCGCCCCAATATGTATGCCTCTGTCTTTTTTGTCTATCAATTTCAATAATCAGCTTGCTGTCACCTCGAACGGAGGATGAGTTTTCAAAACATTCCTTGCGTAACTTTCAATGCTTAAAAAACGTGAGTGTTTGGTCTCATTGAACTTTTTTTCTTATGATTTCAGCGGAGAGAAGAAGAAGGAGTATGATGACAGCGTGGACGAGGTGAAAAGTCTGGATTTGGAGACGTCCGATTCGGAACAGTCGGTGAACATGGACAACATGCGAACGGCCTTACCACAGGTAAAATGAGCCTCGTCACTTCACTTCGCAATCCGCGGTAATTAAATCGATCGGCTTGCGCTGAGAAACATCATTGCCACAACTCATGATTAAACGGAAAATTTGACCCGATTTTCGAAACGTAGAAAGTCGGAACTTCGAGTTTATAAAAAAAAAAAACCCCGTCACATTTAAGTTCTTTACGCCACCTCGCGAAAATTTGTGGGATGGGCTAAACGTGTTTTTGGTCCTCGCAACTCCTCTATCGAAAGCATCATAGCATACCCTTAGTGGGTACCCTTATGAGGTACTTGACTAAAATTCGTAAGGGACGGTATGTTTTCAATTTTTAGTTTTGATGTTTTAAACTTGGACCCTCTGTGTACATTTCAATCTGTGTTTTACAAAACATTTTTCACTCTTAAATCGCATTTTACGTGTGTTTAAATTCATAAAAAAAAAATTGTTAGACTTTCTATAACACTATATACATAAATTTTTAACTACATTAGCTGTAAAAAGTAAAATTTTGGCAGTTATCAACTGAAAAAAATTCCAAAATTTGGCAATTAATTAAATTGTTTGCGATAAAACAGTACATTTGTACCCCAGAACAAAAAGCTACTTAATTTTAGCCCTTTTCTTGAGACAAAATCTTTATGATCGGGAAAATGTCACATTCATTCCTCGATCCACAATTTTCTTTTTCAAAATATTTAACTTTAAATCTGGTTACCCAAGCTATTTATTGACTTTAAATCTAAACCTATTTGATAGCTATTAATATAAGCGCACATCAAAAAAAAGTGTTTCACGATCTCTTGTTACACCAAGGGCAAATGCAAGCATTATTTTAATCGACATTAAACAAAAAAGGATTCAATGTTGAACTGTCTCGATCCTTGCTGCTGAAATTCATTCTTGCGGCTATTTTCATTATTCTTCATTCATAAATGAGTTACCTTTTTTTAAAGTCTCCTTTGTTCCTATCAATTTGGCAACATAACGCGTGTGAGCATCATCACAGGCAGAGCGTCAGTCATCAATGAAATAGATGGATATACAAGTAGCCACAAGCTAATTACAGCACAATAGTAGCGTACGTAATCCCTTGAAAATAATAATTATGAAGAATCGACGCAGTAAAAAATGAGGGCAAGGAAGGTGAAGTTCACAAATTTATTGTCTAAACAAAAAAAACTGCCTCCAGAGATTCTTTTTTTTTTTCAATCAAAGAGGACAGGTCTACCGACTATTATCTACCGACTGTGCTGCCAAGCGGAACGAATAACGGATTCACACGGGAAATAGTGTATAGTTTGAAATGTGAGGATAGAAGTCGGTTTTTGGCTTGTCGGTCATATTTTTTCGCATTTTATTAGCTGGTAATTAATGTACACAAATCATCAGAGTAATCAAACACTTCAAATGGGAGGGAGGGGGGCCTCATCAGAAAATTTTCGAAATTTTAAAGCATCTCATACGCAATTTGAGCCAATTTCGTCTTGGATAATTACCTAATATAAGCGTCCCTCCTTCTCCTTTCTTTCTTCCGTTTTTCTTCCTCCTTTCCATAGGGCGAAAAAGAGGGGGGGGGGGGGGGGCACACGACCCAACTACCCATACTGCCGTGCTTAGGAAGAACGCCGCATGAACCTGAGAGAGTTGCGAAATTTCCCCGAGTAAAACATGTATTTTTGAAGGAAGCTATGCATATTTTTCCTTGACGTTTTCACGTATTTTAGATTAAATTGCGAACAAATTTGAGGAAAGATTGGAGGAAAAAAGTTCAGAATTTTTCCAGTAAATTTGACTTATATTGAAGGAAATACGGCAATGGCTGAATTTTCATACGGCGTTCTTCCTTAGCACGGCAGCATACATCCCCCTCCCCTGGATCCGTCTATGACACAAACGATCATGATACGTGTTGGTTCAAATTTTTTATGATCATCACCTTCCCGTGAACTAGAGATATCTTTACGAGAAAATGTTGAAAAATTTTTATTGCGTCTTGTCTTAAAGGGAGAAAATATGTATGTCTAATATCATAGAGCCTCGGAAAAAATCTGCGTAAAGCAATAATACCACACACTTACGGCACACTGGTTATGAAGGAATGTGAATATTTAGTTTATTTCGTCCAACCTGTTGGATGCAAGTAACAAATCCGCGAAGAATTTCACTTGATGACGCCCTACTAATGCGTGTCTATAACTTGTAAAGTGTTTGCACTGACTCCACAGCTATAGGCTGCAAATATACGTTTACCAGCCCTCCCCCCCCCAATAGCTCATGCGAAAAAATTTAGGTTTTTCATGGGAATTAGCAAACTGCTTAAAGGTTACCAAGTTTTACTCCAAGGTACACCACCGTGCAACCATTCCTGACGAAAGCTTTCAAGACGCCCTGCAAGCCAGCGCGACGATAATTGAGCATTAAGACTCAGTAATACGATTACTAAACGTCATTTTGGTGCGAACGGTATTTTAAGGAGTCACGGAATTAAGAAACGGCGATCGCAATGTCTCGAGCCAAATTCGCGCATTTAAATTTCGCACCGCGAAGTCATGCTCCAGTGCTCTTGTTTGAGAGAAGTTCTGCAGAAACAGGTTGTCGTGACGATTTACTTGCAATAAATCATGCGTGCCCTGTTGTCATTCCTTATACTGACTTTTTTTAACGCTGTCTCATCATGGGAGGATAAAAGATCGGCCAAAATATATCATGCACGTGCAGGGTAAAGTTTCATTTTATCCGGCCCTTTTCCTTCTTCTCAAAGTTGCAAAATAAAATGTTGACCCATTTTTCATTCGATGTCAACAAAGAATCGCCGAACGGGAAACAGGTAAACTGATATTATCAAGGAAGGAAAGAAATGTTAATTATACCACTACTGAGAAAAAGTAACCCAAAATGTTGACTGTGTGATGATTGTGTAATATCTCTAAAGTATTAGATGAATCTTTGACACAGCATCACTTTTTTTATTCGGTGGGCCGTCATCAGGCGAGAGTTAATTAAATTCTACACTAATCATTAATTATCTTAATTCATTTATTCTATGAGAGGGTAACTGCGTGATTGCAGTGTTCATTTAAACTCTTATCCATTTATTCGATCGATAATTAATCGAGCATGACATTTTTATTGTTCATACCATTATTAGAGCTCATTTTGGACTAACTTGGATTTTTATGGTAGAATTCATCACCTTCCGGCCAAAGTTTTACAAGCGCCATGCGACGCTTGGCGAAGTTTGTTTCCTTTGTTTTTGAACTTTATATAAAAATTTCAGCCGCCATTATATTGTTTTACAGAGCAATCGTTGGTTGAATCTGTTTGAAAATTTCACTGAATCTTATCGGCAGCACAAAGAAAATTCAATGAAATTTTCAAACTGCTTCGTGGAACAATTTCTCTGTGAAAAAATAAACTGGCGGCGGAAATTTTTAATCGTCCCATGGCACTTGTGATATTTTGGCCGGGAGGTGACGAATTCAATTAGAAATCGTAGAAGTGTATGATGTGATTTTTACATACCATGATGTATTATTGACGATTTCTCGCCCGGTAAACTATGCATTTATGACATAAATATCATGTCACTATAGGATTCGTCAGTAGGATCTATTTTTAGATTCTCCGTCGCGTGAGTGCACATCATTAATGTTTTAGCATTATGAAATACGAGACGTAATTTAAGAGCCCTTTTTAAGATTACTATTTTTCCATTGCTCCTCATTAACCCGCTCGTTGCGAAATGATAGCTATCCCGTCGACGCATGGAAATTCATGTAGTAAAATTATTCGAAGATAGTTTTTCATTTCTACAGCTTGGACAACTAATTATATCTGATCATTAATTTTCTCCGCAACACTATGAACGATTCATGCTAGAAACTGCCTTTTTCCACTAATTTGCAATTTTAAGCTCGCCTATTCCACATCAAAACGACCGTGCTTGATTGGCATTTGACAAATGTCTATAACTTAAAAAATGATTTTTGAAGGGCCTGCACAAGTGCACAGCAGACTGCACGGAAAAAAATAATGGTACCTCATATGTTGCTTATGATTGATTTGAACTAAATTAAACGGGGAAGATGAAAATTGCATTTTGGGAGGAAAAATAAGTTAGGAGTGGTTTTGAGCTTGTAGCCAGCCGCATATCTTCTCCTGTCCATATCCGAAACATTGAGTGCTCTAGAAAAATAAAACTTCAAACTTCTCTGATAAGATCTTACGGCTCCTTTTGTATAAACTTAGATGGATTGCATGAGCTTCGATTGCCTTCATTTGATAGAGTAGGCAATACCAGCGTGTACACCACCACTCATGCACGCAGGGAAACCAATGGCACTTACGTCGTTTCTAAACTGAGCCAGATGTTGTAGTTCCAAATTGCAAATGAAGTACAGCTATGCACATTTTCAATATTTTTTGCACTATTTATCCTTAGAAAGTTCCTGATTAATCAAGGAGCAGTATATTTTTTGATCAAACCGCGGCTTCTCACATTGTTTTTCTGGCACTCGGAATATTTTGAAGTTTTGGAGCCACTAGCTTCTCTTATAATTCTCCATTAAAATCGTTTGTCAGTAAAAACTGTTATCCTTTTTGTTGTAGGTTCTGGCAACTCTAGCACAGAGTTTGCTGCTTCTATCTTTAGGCATGATCATAGCAGTTCCTACTATTGTAATCGGTGCTATATATAAGGCAAAAGAAGGACTCTCGTTGGATGATGATCAATCATCGTGGTTCTGTAAGTGTTAATTTCATTTTCCTTTTTAAATTGAAAGATTCGTTTTTCCCCTCACTTGCAATCATTACACATGTCTCATTTTTGCACCTAAGGTGTATTTAGTACAGAGGAATGATAGCTCGTGCTTAAAGTTCGCCAAAATGTTGAAATGTGCCCCCTCTGCAGTTACGGATTCAATCAAGAATTACTAGTTTTGGCTCATCTATAAAAATCATCTACATGAGAAAATTATTGAGATAAAAATTCCAGGTTCCGAATTGCAAAGTGTCGTCCGATTCTCCTTCTTTTCTTTACCTTGTTCTCCTTCTTCCTCCCCCTAGTTTTCTTCATCTTCTTCATTTTCTTCCACTCCTCGCCCTCCTTCTCCTTCTACTTCTTCCTCACTTTTTTCCAATTTCTTATGCGTCTTCCGTAATATTGATAGCCAAAGTTTGAAACAACATATCTCCATTGTGGTGTTTCATAATTTCCGCTCTAGTTTTATTTAATCGAAGAAAAACAAGCCAACTTAATGGCTTAAAATGTATATAGAATAATCTGCGAATAGAAAAGAAAATTGTGTTGACTAATTTTCCAAGAATAAAATAAAGTTTGAAAGAAAGTCGGCAACGTTGCAATTGGAGATACGTGATTTCACACATTAGCCATTGATGTGTGCCAGAAATCGTGACAACCCCAAACTTTCAGACAATGACAATGCACCGATCAATAATCGATTAATAATCAATCGATCGAACCCGATTTGGCGGACAATCCTCTTCTGACAACACTGGGCTTTGAGGGGGGCAAGGTGGGGTACTGATGAGAGTGTAAAATTGAAAGTAGCGAGTAAATCCTCCTCGTAAAATCGCACGATCGAGCTGCGGAGACCTTGACTTGAGTGCGTTGCCCGAAATCAATGGCCGAGTTGCGTTGGCAATTAAATAAACAACCGCAACTTTAGTCCAATCCCTGGTTCTTGCAGCGTTAAGCAACTGTGCAATCGAGATTTATAATGCTAAATAACCTCTTCTAAAGAAAGAAAGAGCGTACGCAACAATCTGACACCTTATTTACACGTAAAAAGTTGTCTGATGTTCTGCCGTGCTAAGGAAAAACGCCGTATGAACTTTCGAGAGTTGCCAAATTTTCTTCGATAAAATGTTTATTTTTGAGGAAAGCTATGAATAATTATCCTTGACATTTTCAGAAACATTAGGTGGAATTGCAAACGAAATTATATGAAAAATTGGAAGAAAAATATTCACAAATTTTCCCGAGAATTCGTGATTTACCGTACGAAATTTGGCAACGCCTGAAGGTTCATATGGCGTTTTTCCTAAGCATGGCAGTGTTGTGGTATAATTGTCTTATCATGAACCAGGGGAATGCGCTTCCTAACCGTTTCGCCATTCGAGGATTGAAACAGGGAGGGGCCAAATTGGCAACTGTGTTAATTTGTCTCTGAAAAAAATCAAGCATTCTTGGACTAATTTTATTTTCCTCTTGAATATGTAAATAAGAAAATATTTATATTTTGCGACAATAACTGTGTGCGTCAATTATTGACGCTGGCAAAACTGAGCTTCTGTGCCAAGCTTCGAATTGTCCTGGATATTTTGCAAGCAACATTCCAAAGCATTCTAAAATAACTTTCAAGCTTAATTTTTCCCCCGTAAAAGAGAGTCCCAGACAGGCACTCTGCAACGGGCTCATTTTGAAATCAATTAACTGGAAAAGCATGAAAATGGGCTCGCACTGGGGAAAAAAACACATTTGATCTAGAGTCCAGACTCTTGAAATATTGACAAGAAAAAATCTCTTGATTCAATCGGATTTTTGCTTGAATCAAAACGAAATCCGCTTAAATTAAGTGGCTTGGTTCTTGATTTAAGCTAGATTTTGATTGAATCAAGAGTACTTTTTCTTGTCGATGTTTTTAAGAGTCTGGACTCTAGATCCAATGTGTTTTTTTTCCAGTGTAGGAGAACAAACAAACGTAAACTGCATAACTTTTCAAAAACTGCACTTACGCGTCTCGATTAGAGTAATGAGACATTCTTGATATCCGAACTTGAGTGAATATTCACGAGTGATGAAGCGAAAAGGAGCGCGATTAATGGATCAAGTGGGTTGGCGAGTCACACCTTTCTTCACCTTCCCACTTAATTTGCATAATTTCAGGCAATGCCACCATGAAGACCAGTCCGCTGAATAAATTACAGGCTGTAACGGACGCCCGAGCTTTTTACACCGTAATCTTTGAATTAGCCACTTTGTCAATACTTTGTAAATGAAAACATATTTCTCGGACACGCGCTGGTCGCCTAAAGCCACTCGTGTCGCGATGAGTCAGACTAGTGCTCATCTGTTTCTGATGCGAGGAAGAAATTGATCCAGCCATCAAAACTAATAAAAACCAGTTTGATTTAACTGGGCTGGGTCTGAAACGATTTTTAAACTTCTCGCACACAACAGAATTTCAAATTACGGCTTAGCTATGAAATTTGAATTAGGTTTCCTCAACTGATTCTTCAGGGGAACGTTGAAAAAAATGGAGAAAAAGTAGAAAAAAGAGAAGAAAAAGAAAACAAGTTTAGAAAACTAACTTGGAAATGGGGGGGGGGGGCAATAGAAAATGTAGCAAATTTGAGCGTCTTGTGAGACCATCATATCGCTGACTAGAGTAAAAAATACGTATCTCCGATCACAACGATGCAAATCTAAATTGATGTTTACTGAAGAATTTTCTTAACACACTCAATGATATTTCCAGAAAATTTCAAGGAGTAAGTTTTCTTTTGAAAAAATGAAACTTATACTTAGAAGAATACTTTACTCATAGGAGTATTTTTAACGTTGCATTGGAAATACGCATTTTTCAACTTTAGCCATCGATAGGTAATCCGTTCTTCGAGACAGGGATTGAGCAGAAACGATTCGGTTGGTGCTAGTTTTCTCAAAGCATGCCCACTAAAAAATGAGGTATCAAATCTTTGCGTTTTAATTTTTTGTTCAATTTTTTTGTTTTCCAAGTCTTTCTTCTCGACCTCCTCTTCCCTTCCTCTTGCCTTATATTTACAAATTTTTCTGTCACTCCAAATTACCTAAATAATCAGACGCTAATTGAAAATCCATACAGTGGCGGTCAGTAGCCACGATCAAAGATACGGAATATAAGAGCCTCACGTCCCAGACTACACACACTGAACTCTTGACATGAGAGCCCGAAAATGATACAAATAGATACACCTTCCTCCATTAGGCGGACGCAGTCTGCACACTTTTCTTAAACATGCAAGTATAAATAAAAGGTCCGCGGTGTCAAGGTCGAGTCATTAAATCCACACGACTTACACGTACCTTAGCGTGGGCGCCAAATCTCCCAAAAATATTCGTATCTCGAAGGGATTTCCTCGAGGAAATCCGAGCTTTTCCGCCAGTCAGACATCCATGTCCACCACATTTTTGCCTTGATCGTTCATTAGTCGTGCTTTACGCCTACTTCGTGCACATTTCAGTGCTGCCTCCGGTATGGTCAATATAATTCATTATGTAAGAAAAATACACCACAAGAATGTCGTGTCATACTTAAATTTCTTGGTATTCCTTTGTTCACGCATTCATGAAGATTTTATTTACACATGTATGTTGATTAATTAACTGCTCTTTTCTCGGCTATTGGATTTTGGAGACGGTTTTCCGGGGCCATTGAGAATTCGATTCCACGGGGAAAAACTTTAAAAAAAACGTGGGGGAAAATAAGTCGAACAATCAGGAATTACTATGGCAAAATATGAGTAGTTTCTATATTAATTAGTTTTTCCCGTAGTACTTGGATCGTGCATACCATTAGGCTAATTTGTAAAAAAAAAAGAAAAAAAAGAAAAAAACCTCTTTATTTTACTCAATAGTTTTTCATTATTTTTCGGATGGCACGGTCATGTTCAGAGATTCAGAGAATGGCAGGAGACAGGTTGCCGAAGAAGATCCCAGATTGGGTACCTCCTGAAGGCGCAAAGGGCACGTAATGAGCGGGTGGGAGGTATAGAGCACAGCCTGTTTAGGCAGAGTGCGGACTTGTCGAAAAATGGAACTCTTAGTGCCCAGAGGGGCAACCAACCTTCTAACACATACAATATCACTGCCAATCTTCAGATTCCGATTTCAAAGCAAGAGGGCCAAGAATGTTCATAAATCCTCGTTCTCCTGACGTAAGGGCGTGTCTCAATTTCCACGTGAGCCGTGTTCTCCATTTAACTCCATGCTTTTCAGAGCTCACATGGAAACAGAGATACGCCCCTACGTCAGAGGAGCGACGGAATGAGCGCTCTGCCCCAAAAATGAGTAAATTTATGCTGAAAATAAGTCAAATATGTGCTTCACAAACGACGGGTCGTGACAATTTTAATAATAAATCACTCTGGATAATTTTAATTGGACGTACTTCTGCCAAACGGAGCTATGTGCATTAAAACGCTGAGACCTATAAGAATATATGCATAACAGGATTAACGTCAGGGCTTACGTCATAATGCACACAGTTCTGTTCGGCAGGTATACGTCCAATTCATTGGTTGGCTGTTTTTCTGGGCCCTAAAAGCTCCATTTTTCGACATTTCCGCACTCTCCGTATATAAGGTTCTCTGCCGTGCTAAGGAAGAACGCCGTATGAACATTCAAGAGTTGTCAAATTTCTCTAGATGAAATTTTAATTTTTGAGGAAAGTTATGAATATTTTCCCTTGCGATTTTCAGAAACTTTAAGAGGAATTACGAACAAAATTATCTAAAAAAATTGGAAGAAAAATATTCATAAGTTCACCAGGAGATTCTTGTTTTATCAAAGGAAATTTGGCAACGCCTAAAGATTCGTACGGCGTTTTTCTTTAGCACGGCAGTACTCTGGTGGAAGGATGGAATTGAAGCAGAAATGTTGAGGTTCGTCCAGAGATGACCTGAACTTCTAGTCCCGTGCCCAAAGTTTATTTCTCTGTTCAGTGCTTTCCGCAGAAATACGACAATGTATGTAGAATCATTTGGTATAAATGGATGGAAGTAATAAAACCTCCTGTTGCAGGTTCGATCCTCCTTATCGTGCAGCCGATCGGGAGCCTGCTCTCCGGGTACGTGCAGGAGGTGGTCGGGCGGAAGATCTCGCTGGTGGTGGTGAACATCCCGCAGCTGGTCGGCTGGTACCTCATGTACGCGGCGACGACGGTGGACATGCTCTACTGGTCGTGCGTCACCCTCGGCTTCAGCATCGGCTTCATGGAGGCGCCCACGCTGGCCTACGTCGGCGAGATCAGCCAGCCGAGGCTCCGCGGCATGCTCTCCTGCATCACCAACTCCCATGTTCCGCTCGGACATCTCGTCGAGTTCTTCATCGGGGGCTATGTCGCCAAGGATTGGCGCATGGCCATGGCCATCAGCGCTGTGTTTCCTATCATATCCATTCTCGCTATTTCACAGGTAATGCCCTTTCCAATCTCACTCTTTTTCGTTCCCAGAAGATACACGAAGAAAAAAACTTCGTGCATGAGACCCGAAGTTGAGGTCATATGGATCTCTGAAGTTTTCGGATCACGCATCCGAAAATTTGAGGTCCAGCTGCCGAAGTTCGGGCCATACATGTAGGTGCTTTGGTATGTACCGGAGTACTTCAGATATCTGGCCCGAACTTCGGCAGCTGGACCTCAAGTTTTCGAATGCGTCATCCGAAAACTTCAGAGATCCATATGACCTCAACTTCGGGTCCCACGCACGAAGTTTTTTTCTCCGTGTACATGGACGTACTTATGCTGAATGGAACTATGTGCAAGTGGAAAGATGAGGTGCGCTCGTTAGTTGAGGGCCATGAGAATGAGTGGGACTGATAAAGCGTCAGTGACGTCAGCGGCAACGATCGAGTCCGGGCACGACGGGCAGATCGGTGGCGACTCATGAGCCCTGTCCACAACGCTCTTGTCACATGCCCACGGCTCTCGAGTTAGCACTCAGTTCCTTTTGATTTAATGTCAAATCCCGCTTTTCCATTTTCTCGAAAGGAAATATATCCACTTTTACATTGTTTCTTATGCAGCTCACTACGAGTACACCCCATCTTTCCACTTCCACATAGTTCCTTTTAGCATAAATACGTCCACATGATAGTTGCCCAAGTACTGGAGTGCCGCTGTGTGGTCACTTTTTGAGGCTCTTTTGTCCAGCACTACCATGCCAAGACTAGTATGCAGTCACCGGCAATGATGTATGTGCAGAGGCGCATCCGTCAAAACAGTTCCATTAGAATCCACTGTCAGGGGTGCAGAATGTTCATGAACCAACGACCAAAACTCGAACGCAGTGAGAAAATTGCATAAAAAAAGCATATTCCTAAGAATTAAAAATTATAAGAGTGAATTATTACTCGTTATTCGTACACTGGATTATGCCACTGCGGAGACAATTCCCCTTAAGATCATTCTAAGGGTTCAGTGTGTTCTCGAGCTAACGACCGATTGGTCGTTCGTAAACTGCGGAGGCAATAGAAAAATTTCGTAATCTACGACCTTGGATAATGGATTGTGTAAAATCCATTACGTTTTGATCAAACTGCGTACCATTTTTGTGTTTTGCGCACCATGTACGCGCTCGCTACCCTACGCATGTTTCCAAATTGCGTGAGGAGCTCAGAACTTACAATCGGCGCAATGCGCGAATCAAGATTCGAAAGAGAGACGAGAGATCGGGTAGCGATAGCGCAATGCTTGAAGTATCCCAACACTTTTGCAGGCGCTTCTCGGAGACCGTTAGTCGCTTGCAGAGTTTAAAGTTTCGAAAATTTTCTTCCAGGTGGTGAGGTCCTATCCTATTTCACATATCCAGTCACAGTTATGAAGCAACACACATCTCTCGCATATCCACGACATGAAAAAGAGCTTGGTCTCTTTTCTGCTTACTCAGAGATTTTAACGCAGGAATAGGAAAGTTGAATAAGGCGAAACGCATGATACAAATATATTCTCCTCAAAGATGATAAAATTGCATAGCGACAAAATGAAGGAGAACGCGAACTCTTTTCGGCGGACTCAGAGACTTAAACGCATGAGTAGAAAAGTGGGTGGAGCGAAACACGTGATACAAGTTAAGTGATGTTTGGGTTTCTGCTAAACCCTTTAAGTTTGACAAAAGCAACCGTCGTGAAACATATATTTAGTACAATTTCGACACCTCTCTAGATTTTTTAAAATCCTGGTGAATTTTAACATACCATGGAATGGAAATGAAAGTTTTAGATCCCTGTTGGGACGACGTTTTTTTTTTTTTGGGGGGGGGGGCTCATTCTCATGACCAGTTTCGGCAGGATTCACACAGGCCAATAAAACTGCTTCACTGAAAGTTATATCAGTTCATTATTTTGCGTGGCATTACTCATCTTGTATACCTCGTTGATTCTCAGGTACCTGAGTCACCAGTCTGGCTCCTAACCAAGGGTCGGAAAGCTGACGCTATGAAGGCCCTGTGCTGGCTCAGGGGTTGGACGACGCCGGAATGTGTTCGAGATGAGTTCGAAGGTCTTGTTCGTTACGTTGAAGCCTCTAGGCTGCAAAATGAAAATCAACAAAAGGCAGCTGGAAAGAACTACGTTCAAGTGCCCACAGCTGGATATGGTAATTTTTTCCTCAGTATTAAAGATATACTAAAGTAAACTGATTCGTCCCAGTTCTTGGCGTGTCGAAATGGCGTTAATAAATCGCATCGATTAAATTCAAATCTTGGTAGCGGGCTGAATGTTGAGATTTATAGACAAAGCTATAGACAATGAATACATATGGAGTATGGAGCGATCTTATTGATTAAAATTGGTGGTTCCTATAGACTAAGGGAGAAACTGTATGTGGTGAAACTACTCCTATGGTGGACAAACTATAAGGTTTCTCGTGGGTTGCCATTAGTTAGTCTATTGCACACCTCCTTTGTCGATTGCAACCACCCGCTTCCACCAATAGAATCCCACCATATACCTTGTGTATTCGTCGTCTATAGCTTTGTCCATCAATTTCGATAATTGACCCGCAAAGAGCCGTATGCAAAAACGACATTTTTCGCCCCCCCACTAAAACTTATTCAAACTTCGTCTATCAGTTACTAATACTAGAGCGCTTCTTTCCCCAAATTTTCAGACCCCCAAAAAATTTTGGGGGGGCGCTAGGGGGGGTGGAAGTCAAAACCTATGACCCTCGATATCTTTCGAACGAAACAAGATATTGAAGCCCGGTTTGGACGAAAAATCGTCTAAAATTGCATACTTTAATATTCTAAAGGTCAAAATCCCAAAATTAAATTTTTAACTTAACTTATGTGCTTTTTTTCAGTTTTTGAGGAAAAACAATTTCTTTTAAACAGATTAAACTGAAATTTCACATTTTTTGATTTGAACCAAAACCAGTTTTTTAAATTGTTCGTCTCTTTCCGCATCCAACGAGTGGTCGTATAAGCTGGGGAACCGAACGATTGCGGAGTTATGATCGATTGAAGTTTCCGCTCAACGCGCGCCGACCGATTTTCGCGCGCAAAAAAGTCGGATTTGACTGTTATTAAATCAGATTTAATGTTCAAACTGAGCAAAATGCATTATTAGGGACCCTTGAGGGTCGCTGAGTCCAGAAATTACAGATACTTCCAAAAAATTCACGTTTTTAAAATTACAGCTCCGTAGCGCTATTTTAGAGGCACACTGAGCGCCGACCGGCCGCTCAGTGGTCCTGTACGGAGCTGTAATTTTAAAAACGTGAATTTTTTGGAAGTATCTGTAATTTCTGGGCTCAGCGACCCTCCAGGGTCCCTAATAATGCATTTTGCTCAGTTTGAACATTAAATCTGATTTAATAACAGTCAAATCCGACTTTTTTGCGCGCGAAAATCGGTCGGCGCGCGTTTAAAGAAAATTAAAAGAAAATTAAAAGAAGTGTTTAAAAGAAATTGTTTTTCCTCAAAAACTGAAAAAAAGCACATAAGTTAAGTTAAAAATTTAATTTTGGGATTTTGACCTTTAGAATATTAAAGTATGCAATTTTAGACGATTTTTCGTCCAAACCGGGCTTCAATATCTTGTTTCGTTCGAAAGATATCGAGGGTCATAGGTTTTGACTTCCACCCCCCCTAGCGCCCCCCCAAAATTTTTTGGGGGTCTGAAAATTTGGGGAAAGAAGCGCTCCAGTATTAGTAACTGATAGACGAAGTTTGAATAAGTTTTAGTGGGGGGGCGAAAAATGTCGTTTTTGCATACGGCTCTTTCGACTTTTTAGTAAGTAGGAGAAAAGGATCAAATCCCCTGGACATGAGTCCAAAGAATCATTCGCAACAAAGAAATTTCAAAATTTAGTGAAATAAAAAGAAGAATTGGCTACGAAATAAAATGTTGTATTTGACAGGTCGCTAACTGTATCGAATGCGACGATTTTTTGTGAGCCAAACCCTCTTTTCACTTCTCCGAATTTTGAATTTTTTTTTTTTTTTTTTGTGGAGGATGATTCTTCAGGCTCATAAGCAGGAGGTAATGTACCTTTTCTTTATCTTAAAGTCAAAATCTACCGAGATTTTTGGCTTAATCGACTCAATTGACTTGGCCGAACAGAAGCGTCCATTTTCAGAAAAAAACTTCGCCGAGATAAACGCAAGCACAGTACAGAGCTGACTTGCTTACCCAGAAGAGCATCTACATTCTTAGAATACACACATACTACAGGTACATAAATCTAGACAGGACTCTCTCCTAAGTTGGGAGGTAGAGGAAAATGAAGAAGAAGCAGAAGGAAAAAATTTCAACAAGCAAAAGGCTTCTTTTCTTTATTGTTATCTTCTTGACTCTCTCAGATAATCAGGAATCATGTCCTCCTAAAAGCAATAGGTTTCATTGGAACTCAGGGATATATACTCAGACACACTCAGAGATCGTCCTCTGATTTAAGTGGACATTACCTACTTAATTTTGCATTCTGGAACTTCTGGAAGAGGGAAGAGCGTGTATTTTCCCCCAAATCTACCGCACTTAATTTTTTCTAGCTTGCTCTGTGTATGCAGCGTCGTTGATTGAATTACGTCTATAAGAATAACTGTATTTGCATAACATTGGTTTGTTTGCAACAAATTTTAAGCCACATTTTTTTTTTTCAGTAAATGCGGATGGTAAAGGAACGACTCCAGCCAAAGTGCCAGCTGAAAATAACTACAAGTTCAAGGTCACCATCGGGGAGAAAATCAAAGACTTACTCCGACCAGCCATGCTAAGGCCATTAGTTCTTGTTGTTTCCTACTTCTTCTTTTATAACTGCGCATCACTCAATGCCATCCGGCCTTACATGGTCCCCGTTTTCCAAAAACTCAGACTGCCTAAGGATCCGCATTTTGTAGCTGTAAGTATTTTGAATAAATGGTTTGATTTAAAAAAAAAAAAAAAAAAAAAAAAANAAAAAAAAAAAAAAAAAAAAAAAAAAAAAAAAAAAAAAAAAAAAAAAAAAAAAAAAAAGTTAAATGAGATAAAGATTGAATGACGATACAATATGAGGAAAACTAAAACGTCCTTAGCAGGGCGCAAGATTCTTTTCAAGCATGTATTAATGGATGCCATTAAGCTGAAAGTTTAATGAAGGTCTTCTAGAAAGATTAGCCGAAAGGGTCGTCCACGGCACCCGGACCGTAGGCAATCGTGACCGGTCACGAGTAGCGCGATGGAAGCTAATTAAAGAGAGAGACGAACATTTACTTTACTGAAATTTGGAAGAATTCATCCGCGGCACCCGGACCGCAGGCAATCGTGTCCGGACACGAGTAACGCGAATGAATTTAGAGACCGAAAGGAATTATTTATTGGCAGAAGGCCGGAATTTGACATGAAATTATTATCATTGGGAAAGATAGAGTAAAGAAGGTGAATTTAGATAACATAATCACTTGATTGAATGAAAAGATGTAACTGTTTAAGAAGAAAGGTTACAGCGCACGAAAGACATATGCGGGGCGATTGTACATACTCATAGACGCTACCATAGAGTGGTAGGTAAAGCATAATTTAGATACGGCACACGGGCCAACCGGTCAAACTTGATTTGAAAAGGAATTGCGCGGACGCGTGGTTTGAGTTAAGAAAGGTTGTGAAGAAAGGCACCAGTGAGCATTATAATTGAGAATTTATGGAGAAAAGTAATCAAAGATGAATTTTACATATTGAAACAGACAAAATAATAAAGAAAAGAATTTAAATATTTAAAGGAAAGCCGGAGGGGCGAAAAAAGAGCCCGCAGCGCGATCGGGCGGGCCGCGGCGGAACTAAGCGCGCGGCGCGACATGAGATGCGGGCGGCTTGCCTAGCTGACGGAATGAAGGCTAAATATTGGTGACGCTAGCGGCGCCAACATAAGCACAGTGGCAAGACGTGAATGGTTGATTATTATCGATATTTTCCCATTTGAAGTCATGGTAAAGAATCGATTATTAAGGTGTTCGTTGCTAACACCTTGTTCATCGATCATTTTCCGTGGGTTTAAATGGGAGATCAATCGAGATATTGCAAAGCACGCCACGCCACTGGCATATCTACTTTGGATCTTTTCAAAAAAAGCTCAACTATTTCCAGAGACAAGAGACCCTCCACTAGTAACTTGGCTATGGTGGAAGCTTTTACTTTCGGGACTTCAGCATTCTACTGTTGACTTACCTACATGGTTGATGTTCAACAACGTGTTGGCAGTTTCGTTTTGCAAACAAGCCGAAAATGGCCGACGTTTGGGAAAGTTGTTTGGCTTATGACGTCATCCGAAGCTCATCATCGACCATGTAGGTAAGTCAACAGCCGGAAATATGGTGATGACTGTTGCTCGCTCATAATTGTCCATAAGGAATTGTTGAAACCCCGAAAGTAAAAGCTTCCACCTGTCGCTAGGAGGCCAGTGGAGGGTCTCTTGTCTCTGACTATTTCAGAGACTCATTTGCTCATTAACAGGGGCACAAAACGGCCCTTTTTTTGACAGGCTCAGGGCTCTATCCGATGCATGCAAGAACTCCACCCTACCCAAGCAGCAATTTGATTAGAGAATGTATCGCGATTATATCGACGACGATTTATCGCAATATTATCTTATATGACATATGGAGATACAATTTCGATTTTATCAAACGCGATTTGATGGAGAAAAATTTGGGACAAATTTGAAGATAATCGCGCTCAGATTTTAATGATCCTAGCGTTTTAGCGCTACAGAATCGTAAATAAATTGCAACTTGATTTAAAGATATCGCGATTTTTCCTCTGAAAAAAGCTACCTTGGTAAAATGGCCAAGATGTAAAACTAACTGCTTGGGCAGGTAATTCAGCATTTTATAAGTTCTCGCACACTCTTTTTACATCCAAAATGTTAAATCAATTTATTTTTTTATTTTTTTTCGGTGTGCGTTCCTTTGATGATCATGTTCCTCGAATGTGCTTTCAGATCCTGTCGGCGGCTCTGCAAGTGCTGGGTGGGCTAGTGTGCATCGCGACGGTGCACAAGCTCGGGAAGCGATGCCTGTCGCTCATCTCGATGACTCTGTGCGCTGTCGCCTGCATCCTCATCGGCATCTACGCCGTCCTCATCGAGCGCACCGACTTCGACTGCCCCTGGTTCCCCTTCATCGTCCTCCTCGCCCTCTACTTCTGCTGCAACGTCGGCATCAGCCCCATCCCCTGGATGCTCATCAGCGAGGTCTTCCCCTCCAGGTTTGTACCGAAGACACTCCAAATAAGTTCTCCGGCCATCGCTCATTGTCTGGACAAATGAAGCGTATTTTCGTTGACGATCGCTCGGTCGAACCAAAATGGAAGGGATCAAACGGTTTCGTATTTTGTTTCGACGCGATCATAATTTATCGGAACAACATCGGGAATCACCAGACGGATAGAAGGTGGAATTCGTGCAAACGTTGAAGCCAAAATATAATCCTACAAAAAGTAGGGTTTAGAAATGACCAGATGAAGATGATGGCATCCGACCAGCGTCAATTTCGAAAGTCCAGCCCGTCTAACCTCAGATGTTTATCGACCCGATTATGATCTCGCCGCCATTATCGCGGCATTTTGGCTCGACCGATCATGAACAAAAATACGCTTCTCGACGTATTTCTGCTAATCGGACTCAGAGACAAGTGCGAGAGAAGGGGTGTGCAAGTTAGTTGAGGGAGGAACAGAAGACCCTCCACTGGTACCTATCTCGGCAATGGTGGAAGCTTTTACTTTCGGGACTTCAGCATTCAATTGTTGATCTGGCTACTTGGTCGATGGTTAACAACGTGATGGGAGTTTCGTTTTACAAACATTCCATAACGTGCCGGAATTTGGGAAACTCGTTTGATTCATGACGTCACCCGAAGCTCATCATTAACATATTGGATAAGATGACTGCTGCTCCCTTATAATTGTCCATAAGGAAGTGTTGGGTCCCCGAAAGTAAAAGCCTCCACCTGTCGCGAAGAGGCCAGTGGAGGGTCTCTTGTCTCTGGTCGAGGGTCACAAGAATGAATGGGAGTTATAAAGCGCGATGGGGCTGGGTAAGGGGGGAGGAAAGACACCCCAACAAGAGGTCTGCGCTGAAAAAACAGTTCAATTGTATGAGGGAAACGAATATCGGAACACGTCGATTAGGGTTGGCCAAAAAAAATTCCATCGGAATAGTTTTTGGCTAGAGAGATATTTTTTAGGAAGACCTTATGCACATAATTCTTCTTAACATAAATAGTCCAATTTATAAAATAACCATTGTTTCTTATTTTCTTTTTCAGAGGCCGCGGTGCAGGTGGTGGCGTGTCAGCCGCCTTGTTCTACATAATCTTGTCAATCATCTCGAAAACATACCTAGACTTGGAAAGCATTGTAACATTCCCTGGAGTATTCTTCGTGTACGGTCTGGTTGCCTGTGCTGGGGTCATTTTCATCTTCTTATGTCTTCCTGAAACCGAGGGGAAAACTCTCCAAGAGATTGAAGATTATTTCACAAGGAGCAGGAAGAAGGGCATCAACAATCTCTCCGTTTAATTCGTATCAGAAGCTCACCAAAAATGTACTTAAAAAATGTCGCAGACAATCCTCATTTCGGCAATCGTTGATTTTAACATCCTTCTCCAAATTTTGGAGAACCTAGTGCACTGAAAAGAACAAGTTCGATTGCTCGAGGCGAATAATTGGTGTTCCATATTGATGGCTAAAGTGTGAAACTACATATTTCCATCGCGGGGTTTCAAAATCTCTTCTCCTATTCCATTATTTCGGAGAGAAGCAAGCCAACTTTATGGCTTGAAATTTTTATGGAGTATTCTACTCTCAGAGAAGAAAAATCATGGAAGTTTTTAAGAAATTAAGTCGAGAAGTTTTTTTCGGAGAAAATAAAGTATGACAGGAAGTCTACGACGTCGCGAACAGAGATCTGTGATTTTGCACTTTCGCCATCGATATAGATTGATCTACTTGACTTTTTGAAACATAATTACGGTTCTTCGAAACAAATATTCTTCTAATCTAACTTATTAGTTCGCTTTAATCGAAGAAACCTCTGTCATGAACTCGGTTTGACAAACTGATCGATATGGAAGCCCGAATGTTTGGCTCATTCGGTCGAACTTGTTTTCAGTGTATTAAAAAACTAATTGAAGGTACGTACTCATGCCGAACATTTGAGGCTGGATTGTATGTCATTCTAAAATGACGATGAGCAGTGGACGTCACTCCAAAGATCTCGTAGTTATTTTATTTTCTTGAGTTTTTGCATCGCTACACGGAGGAAAATAAACTTCGGCTATTGTAAAACACCAAAGTTTTAGCCATCGATGATCTAAGTTTTTATCAGGTGTACTCAAATTTGTGTTCCCTGAAAAAAACGCAGGTTTTCTTGAACCAAGTTCGGTTTTTAAGATTGAGAAAATCCGTATTCCTGAACCAAAAATTAATGTTCTGAATAAACCAAAATTCGGTTATAAACGAAGGTTTTCCTCTGTCTGTCCTGGCTGTAGAGTTGCATGCATGACAACTTGTTTTCGATGAATGTGGCTCAAAATGGCAAATTTTTAAACGTGTCATTGACATTTTTTGAAAGATCTTTGCCTATACACCGAAATAAGTGACACGGCGATCCGAAGACTTCAGAGCAAAAAAATGAGCTTTCAAAAGTTTAATATTTAGAAAGTTAATGTCCTCAGTATTTTGCGTGAAGATTGAGGGGGATCTGCGTTGTTTTCATTCACCCTCCTTCTCACAATCTACAAGAAAAGCAACCAAAATTATGCAAGAACTCAGATTACTCTTGCTTTTTGACCTGCAAATTCCCTTTCATGAACTGTCTTCGCTCATAACCTGCTCCTCCACTTTTCTCTTGGGCAGAGGGAATTGATTTCCTTATGGATTTTCGAGTCATATATTTAAAAATTAAAACCTATAAAAAAAAGCAACAATAAAGAATTAGAAGTAACATAAAAGGAACATTGTTGATAATAATTATGACTTTCAGTGCCTCTCTCATCAAGATAATTTCAATACGGGTATATTTTCAATTCTTCTCGGTGTTGATTTGATTCAAAATGACACTCGCCGTGGAAATTATAAATTAGATAAATTATTATTATGGTAGGAAAAAGTAGACTGATTATTCTGCATTACATGATAAATTCTCATTGAGAATTTATTTAGACAAACGTGCAATTTTTATATTTTTTAATTCAGTCGGGCTAACACCAGAGCTACAACACAGCAACTACATAGTGTGTGTACTCAATGTTACTTAGGTCCGTATCAAATCTAATTATCAGACCTAAAGGACCATGCGAGGTTTACCAGGTTCATCAATGACAATAATTACAATACTGTAACAAGCTATATTTCTCGTCTTGTTAAATTTTTAAAATTTTATATACGTATTTGATTGTTGATTTTTCTTTGAATATTTATAGTATCAATTTGTACCTATAAGATGTATTTTTTGTTTATTATAATTTTTTATTTTGATTATAATGCAACTTGGATGTAATATTAAATTAGGATTTTTTTTTCTTTTTTGTACTTTTTTCACTTACTTTACCATTTACCACAACACATTTGTCTGATCTGACTTGACATTCGACATAATCGCAATGGCTAAGCTGGAGATTTACGTATCCGATTGAAATCCATAGAAATTCCTACAACAATCTACTTAAATGTTCATTTCTTTTACGTTTTTTCAATATTTGACCGTGTGCGCCACGATTGAACCTTGTTTTTTATATGTTCATCATTTGCGGAACCATTTAACAGCACATAGAAAGAATCATGACTGAAGAACCTCACCTTACAATAGAAATGATAAGCAATTAATTACAAGAAGAATTCAGTTTTTCATGTACTCAAAAATTCATAAAATTCATAAATCATAAATATTGAAACTCTGATGGAAATTTTCTTCTATGAAATAAATTCATCATTCCCAGACGAAGGACTCCAATTCCACCCCGATGTCGCAAAACTGGATAAAACCAGCCATTTCCCTTGAGAATATGACAGCAATTTTCGTCCAAATTAAATTTTGCTGATTTTTGCCTTTGATCCAAAAAATAACCGGTGAAAATATCGGGTACAAGTTCTTAGCAAAATATTTTTCGGCGAAAATTTAAAATGCAAGTGGAAATTGCGTGTCAATGAAATGTAGTTACGTCCTTCCCTCTAGCAGCAGCGATTTCGCAAGTTGGCAACACTGTTTTTCTTCCATTTAAATCCACTGAAAATATCGATATTAAAATTCGATATATTAAATTATTCCTCCATTTAAATCCACTGAAAATATCGATATATTAAATTGAGGAAAAACAGTGTTGCCAACTTTCAAGTATCGCCACTGCCTACTCGGAACCTATACAAAATGCAGAGACTTTCAATTTTGAACAAAATCTTTTGTTTTTATCATTTTATTATCAGGAACATTATCCTGAATACATCTGAAATTTTGAGAATGGACCAAAAAAAAAGAAGATAGATTATTTCTTAAGGTAAGCATCAAAGTATTAAAGTTCCATTCTCACATTCATGAGGGAACTCAGGCGGAGTGACCTTCGGGTGTCTTCTGCAGAGTTCCTATGTTAAATAAACCTTTATCCACCTGCTTTCATATTTTAATTTTATTTTATCACCTAATTTTATAAGTTTAAGTTTCTTTGTTAGATTTAATTCCTGTGCGAAAATAGCCTTGAGTTCTATGAACTCTTTTTTTTTTTTTAAATATCAATGTATACTCCTAATTGCTTTAATAATTACTGTAAATACTCTGCAATAAATTAAAGAGAAATAAAAACAGTTACTGTGGTTATTTGTCTGTTTCCATTTGGTCAGGTAAGACGGTGGGAAGAGGAAATGTAGCCTTATGATAAGATTTGTCTCAACGTTTTTGTTGAAAAATTGCTTCGTAAAACAGTTTTATCAGCTATCAAGCTGATAAAATATTGAAGGAAATAATCAGTTTTCTAAGAGAAAAATTGAAAAAGTCAGACAGGTAGAAGTAAGCAGTAGGGCACAGTTTTTAAAGTAGGTAAACGAACATATCTGCGTTCAATAGTCACAATTGTTTCAAAATTTTGCCTTTACACAAAAACACTTGTTAGATCTGAACCTAGATTAGCATGTCAAAACTACGTTATAGTGATTGTTTGATATTCTTTGTAACAGCGCTATGAGGAGAATAAAAAGTTTGGTTCGTATTGAACGCCGAAATTTTTTGGATCAGATTATCGAAAGTTATGCTCGTGGAGACTGAAAGTTGGTTCTAATGACTACAAAGTTTGATTCTCTGAACCAGGAAAGTTTGTCAATAAATACATAAATTCAGTTTCTGTCGTTGATTTTTTATTAACAAAAGAGGAGCCACTTGCATTGCAGAGACTAATAATCTGTTGCTAAAGCTCTCTAACTTTATGAACTCACTTAAAACATAGGAGCAAGGTAAAAGTATAACGGGTCAAAAACTATCTACATCTATATTATGGTGAAACATACCTAATAGAGCTTTTTAACATGAGGGAAGTGTATCGAATGTGCAGGATGAACTTTCCGAGGGAGTTTCGTTCGCTGAAGTTTTTCCTCCGCGGATTGTCTTTTTGTTTTGGCTTTGGATTCTGAAGCGTAAAATGAGATGATTTTTCCAACCCAGTAAAACAGCTCCACTAAGGACAACACACTGAACCCAAGGAATAGCCCCGCAATACCTCCGAATGAGACTGGATGAAAAATATATAAAAAAGATAAGAGCCAAAGGGTAAAAAAGAAACAAAACACGAAATACTTAATTTCAGAAGCTTGACTAATCCGTCACCTATGCATAAAAGTTACCGAAACCACAAACTGCGGAATCCTTTCACAGCACGTTAATTGCCAAATTCCGATGGATAAAACATGTATTTTTGCGGAAAGTTATGCATATTTTTCCTTGAAATTTTTAGATATTTAAGATTAAATCCCGGGGAGAATTAACTGCAAAATGTTGAGAAAAATATCCAAAATTTTTCCGGTAAATTCGTTTTTTATAGGAGGAAAGAGGTCGAGGCTCATACGGCGTTCTTCCTTAGCACAGTATAAACGACAACATTCTATCCATAATGAGTTATCCTTTGAGGTAATACTCGATCATCTATGATATTATATTTTTACCGAAGAATCCTTGAATCGCGAAAGATAGGACATGGCTTACCTAGTAGGTCGGACCAGCCAAAGGTAACGTCTCTCTGATACTTGACGGCGCCTTCATTCTTGTAGAATACGTCAACGTAGCCATCCGTCTTCTGGGCCAAGGGCTGAGTGTCACGCGAGAAGTCTGTATCCACGTCGTAGGTGCTCTCATGGCACGTGGGCAAACATTGTGAGCAGTTCAGGGGCATGCTCAACCCACTGGATATGTTCTGTGAAAAACCTCTGATGTTCCCAAAAGGAGGACTGAACAATCGCAGAGCTTCTGGAAATTGTGAGAAATTCGCGTCGTATATTTGTACATTTCGTGTATTTTTTTTCTTTCTTTCTTTCTTTTTTATAATTTATTTATTCAGCAACGGTATAATTTTACAACATGCCATTTTGGCTTGCAAAATATAAACACTAAATAACGGTAGAAATTCTTGTATTTTTTTGGAAGCATTCATATAAAAGGAGGTATGGAGTGAATAGAATTTAAATAATTTAAAAGTGTTTCTAGCATAATATTTACGGTGAAGCTGCAAAAACGCGTATCTCAGATTGCGACGTTGCAGACTTCCTGTCATATACTATTGTTTAAATAGAAACTAGTCGACTTTATTTGTTAGAAACTTGGCTGGTGTTTCTTCTTTTCGTGAAGAATCATCTGTGAAAAATCCAAGCAGTAATGCACAGTAACACAAAATCAAAGTGTCAATTAATTCTTCTTTTATTAATCTCGATAATTCGCTCAAAGGTAAAAAAAAAATGGTAAGGACTTACTATTATGGGCTGCAATGCATTTCAGTTGTTCTGGGCCACAGATAGGAATCCTATTATCTGTAATGATAATCGAAAGGAAAGTAGACAAACAACTGTTAAAATATGATTATTAAAGATCGCTGAAGAGCCCCTCAGCTTTAACTTAGGAATATACCTCCCTCATAAATGCTTCAAATCCGTCATTTTTTAATTTTTGTTTTTTGTAATCAACCGAAATATTGCATTCATATTAAAGAAGAATCTACACAAGATAACATCTTGATAACGCTGCATTACGGGTAAATTGAGTTGTATGAAGGCAGCAAATATACCTCTCAAAATGTCAAATCTGATCATGAAAGTTTATAGGTCGATCCATGAACAATTCAGTCTCGATTGGTTTAATTTTTGAGTCAAAAAGGAGAGAACCTGGTTAAAGGAGAATAAAAATTTTTAAACCAATGATTTGGATTGGAAACGGAACTTAATTCCTAGCTGCAGTCCTTTTTATCAATGTGCTTGTCAAAATATTCCTTAAAACAGAAACGTACTCTTAAAATCACGGTTGACAAATATCAGTCCTCTCATTCGCCCATCCAACTACTTTTTACCTAATTATATTTAGCTTAAAACTAAGGAGAATTTTTTGTCAAATTTGAAAATTTTGTATTTCAGAATTTCAGCCGGAAACATCTTCAATTTTCAATCGTGAATGACTCTTGGAAAACTCATTTTAAATTGATTGATTTTCATCCAACTTCGTTCTGGAGGAGAAATATTAATAATTTAAGAATGTTATCTACGGAACGATGCGTAAAAATCGGATTCGCCATATTTTTGCCTTAAAAATTATGACGCATATTTTTTTTTTTTAATATACTGTCCGTCAATCGTTTAAATCTGCATACAATTGGAAGACCTATATTTTTCCAATAAATCTGATGCACCCATAAAAATCTGGCTTAAATAAAGTATTGTAAGTCAACTTGAATACAATTATAACACTTCTCCTTTTAAAATTGAAAATAATAAAGTTCTTTCATTGAAGATTAATATTAAAAATTGGTTCAGTGACAGCCCATAGTGCGAGCGGAACTCTGCGTTGGTGACGGCGCTTAGATGCGACTATTCGTTCTTTGTGGATGTCCGTGTTGCATTTACTAAAATGAAGGCGCTTTGGTTTTCATTCCCTCGCTCAACGCAGGACACAGCGTTTCGGCCGCATTCTAGGGATTTTATTGTTTTTCTCTCATCTTAGCTACTTAAGAACTAGAGTAGAATTTCAAAAGTTTACTTGGGAAAAAGATCCTTTGCTACATACGTGTAAAGATATATCCCCGAAGTTAAACTGTTAAATTTTACTCGAGTTTTCTTAAAAACTGTCCTTTTAATCATGCTACGTTAAAAGTATCCTTATAAATGTCTGTTAAAACCGTGTTGATAGTTGTTCCTGAGACAGATTTTCCCCTTAAGAAGTCCAATAAGGTTCGCTGTGGCGAGGCGTGAATGATGGATTATCGATTTTTCCCCATTTGAAGATGTAGTAAAGAATCGATTATTAAGGTGCGTGCGTGCGTACCTATCGATCCTTTTCTATAGGTTTAAATGGCAGATAGATCGATAAACGCAAAGCACGCCACGCCACCGATGGTTGACATCGTGACTAAGGGAAATCCTTTACATGAAAGCATGAAAATGATAATTCTGACGAATCAAGAGTACAATTCAACAGTGTAATTTTGGATACAGACCTTTGCAAAATTTCCTACACGGATTTACTTTTGTCAAAAATTAAAAAGAGAATGTTTGCCATTTTTGGCAGTTGGGTAGGTTTGTGCCTCCCTTAAAGTTTATCAAATTTATAAAACTTCCTCTTACGTATCCTTTACTTCTTTTAGTTATAAATCATTGTAATCCCTTACCAGGGTCAATGATCGAAGCTGTACTTTTGAATTTAAATTGAGAGTTTTAGAGATTGCCCCCTATAAGGTGGTATGTTGAGGATCTTCTTCCTTAACCACAATGTAAACTTTATATACCTACTTAAGAAAGGGAGCTGTTTAAAGAACGACTATGAGGTAGTCCTAAAAACACGGCCTAGCGGGCTGATTATTGAAATTGATAGACAAAGCCATGGACAACGGAGACAATGGAGTGAAAATGGAGAGATCCTACGTGGAAGCGGGTAAGTGCAATGTACTAAGGATGTAAGTAACAGATTAACGAAAGGCAACGACGAATAGTCAGTCTATAGTTTTTTTCGCGTAATCTATAAGAACTATACCCGTTTCAAACAACAGGATCTCGCTTTATTTTCCCTGCGTCTCCTATGTCTATATGGCTTTGTCTATCAATCTTAATAATGAGCCCGTTGTGGGCTGATTATTTAAATTGATAAACAAAGCTATAGACAAAGAAGACATAGGGAGTATGTAACCAATTGGTTGAAGTGGGTGGTTTCTATAGACTAAGGGAGAGGACGATGAACTAACTATAGAGATTCTCATGGATTGCAGTTAGTTAGTCTATTACCTACCTCCTTTGCCCATTGCAGCCACCTGCCTCCACCAATAGAATCCATCCATACCTGCGGGCTGATTGTGGAAATTGATAGTCAAAGCTATAGACAAAGAGGACATAGGAAGTATGGAGCGAGCCTATTGGTTGAAATGGAAGGTTCTTATAGACTAAGAAGGTTAATGATGCACTAACTATTGGGTCCCTCGTAGGTTGCCGTTAGTTACGTGTAGTCTATTACCCACCTCCTATGTCCATTGCAACCACCCGCTTCCTCCAATAGGATCCCTCCACATCCCTTTTGTCTCCTTTGTCTATAGCTTCATCTATAAAAGTCAAAAATTAGCCCGCTGTTTTGTCTTCTACGCACGGAGAAAAAAACTTTGTGCATGGGACCCGAGGTTGAGGTCAGATGGATCTCTAAAGTTTTCGGACCACGCATCCGAAAACTGGAGGTCCAGCCGCCGAAGTTCGAGTCAGACATCTGAAGTACTTAGGTACATACCGGAGGGTTCGGGTCACACATCTGAATTACTCCGGTACATACCGAAGTACATCAGGTGTCTGACCCGAACTTTGGCAGTTGAACCTCTAGTTTTTGGAAGCGTGATCCGAAAACATCAGAGATCCATATGACCTCAACTTCGGGTCCCATGCACGAAGTTTTTTTTTTCTCCGTGTGTCTATGGCTCTGTCTATGAATCTCAATAATCGGCCGGCTGAGCCGTTGCCATCCGCGGAGTACGTGACTGTTTTAAAAACCATCCCACCGAGCATATTGAAGTAGTACGGCCTGCAGTTGCACATCTTGTGGAGGTAGTCGAGTCGGCACTCGATGAGGCAGGATCTCTGGGTGTAGGTCTTGGAGACGCTGAGCTGCTGCTCGTCCGGGAAGAAGCAGAAGCGGATGTCCACGTCCAGCTTCCGGATCTGGTCCGTGCTGATCGTCATGAAGGACTTGACCGAGGCGCTCATCTTGTACGCCCGATTCGGCGCGATCAGATTTCCCATCCCGGCCTCCGGGTACTCGCTCGGGTGGTAAATCTGAACCTACGCACAGTGGATCCAGTCAATTGGGAAGCTCGGACATTTGGGAACTTTAAAAGCTTATTACTCCGTTTATACACAACTTTGAAATTGAACGTATTTCTATCAAACGGAACTAAGCGCCATCGGGGGAGGAAGAGGGAAGAAAAAGGGGGCGTTCACAAACATGTAGGAGTAACGTCCAATAACATCAATTTTTACGTGACTCAGGGTTTCTTGAAGTTGAAAGTTCATAAAACATCCAAACAACAACAAAAATTGAAAAAATTGAATGGAACATTGGTTTTAAATGAGAGCTAATTTGCCCATATTTATATTGGCCTTATTTTTATAAACTTCATCTATGGATAAATATGCAAGCTCTAAGAGGACACCTTACCCGAAAACCAGACTCTCCTATGATATTTGTTGCATTCCGAATTCGATCGGATTGATTGAATTTATGGAGGAATACTTCAAGACCCGTTGTAGCACCCGCCGCTGTGTTGCGACGAATATTGCAGCTTGGATGTGTCCTCCTCAATTCTTCCTCTACGTCCAGAATGTAAGATACACTACTTAGATCGCCTAAGGGAGGACTGCAAAAATTTAAATCATACCATATGCATAGGATGTTGGTAGATTTCAAACAAATATGTGTGACGATGGAGAGAGAGAACAAATGCGCCTCAAGATGGAGAGATTTTCCATCGTTTGGCGCAAAAATAACCAAAACTTTACCATTTGGCAGCAATTTAAAGTCGCATAATTGTTACGGTGCAGTCTAAAATATTTCTCTCATCACCGGAATTTTCTATTCCACACAGAGCACTTTAAAAAAAATTTCTTGAGATATCATTTTGACTTAAAGCGTTGTTCCTTGTTGACAAAATTTGGTTTTTTAGTTAAAAAAGTGTCGTTTTGTTATCGTGAAGTTTAAGTTTAAAAAACGATGGCAAATCAATATTTCTTCAACTCAGAAAAACTGACTTTAAGTTATATCCTCACGGTTTCGACTCAGAAAACCTCAATTTTGTCGTCAAGAAACGATGTTATAAGTCAAAGTAATATTTATAGAAAGAAAAAATTCAGTGAATACTTGAGTTTCTATCCGAGACTCTCGTCACTAACTCAAAGATTCTTTGAGTGTGAAAGCTCCAGTAGCTGAGCTTTGTGAGGTGTACAGAAATTGAAAGCAAGAAATCTCTTGTTTAAATTTGGAAACTGGAGCTATTGTCGCCATCGAGTAAAAGCGCTAAAAAGAAATAAAAACTTTAAGATGCAATTCAGGAGACTTGACCTCTGTGTCTGTTTCCAAGAGGAAAAAATTAATTTGCGAAACGTCATTAAGAACAAAAACAAAAAGAGACGAGAACTTTAAATAATCATGACGTCACTTGGCCATAATTTTTCTGTGATAATAACCTAGAAACATAAACGTACTTAATATTTTAATTACGTTTCGCGAGATTAATCAAAGTTCTCGTCGCAGTTCCTTCAGACTGTAATGAAACTACACGCTTCTCCTCCCCGGGGAATTTCGCTCACCTTCCTGGACAGGAAATGTTCCACATCGGGTTTTATGAGTTTCCCGCAAGTGTCGTGAAAGCCTCTGCAGCAGGAGAGGTGTCATTCTTAAACTTATGAATATAAGCTTCTCGTCACTCTCGGAAACTTTCGAGGGAAAGCTTAAAACGAGAGAAGGAAGAAACGCGGGGCTGAAACCTCCTCGAAAGATTATGCAAATTATTCCTTGAAAGTGCTTTACTTTCACAATACGTCACTTAACTCGTCGCTCCTTCGACGTATTGGCGTATCCCGATTTCCGCATGAGCCTTAGAAATCATGACTTTATATAGGAAACAGGGCTCACATTGGAATTGAGATACGCCCTTACGTCAGAGGAGCGACAAAATGGCGCGGCGACGTGGTGCGCTCCTCTTTAGAAGTCGGAGTCTTTCCTCCGTAAGACTCTCAACTTCGGGATGTTTTAAATATATTAGAATGGAATATTTTTTGAAAAGTGAAAAAAGGAAAGATAAAAATGTGCCATCCCCTCCCCTCGCAACAGTTTAGGCGTGTTTTGTTGAGCGAATCACTTCGATCTCCACACTCTCAGGCTTATTCACAGTGGCGTGGCGTGTTTTGCAATGTACCTATCGCTCCCATTTGGATTGCATTTTGCAAAAAGGAACCAAGAGCATTCCGATGTTGCTAAGATTGTGTATCTTGTATTCATTCAATAAAATTACTGAAATCATGCAAAAAATTAAATTTACAAAGGTAATTTTCGTCTTTGAGTTACAGATTATTAGGAGTAAAGATACTCGTAAAATTAGTTTAGATAATATGCGTATATTTGCAAGGCGAACAAAGTTGCACAATCTTAGCGACATTGGAATGCTCTTGGTTCCTTTTTACAAAATGCAATCCATTGAAACCTATGAAAAAGGATCGATAAATTGGGTGTTTGCAATTAACACCTTAAAAATCCATTCTTTACCGTGGCTTCAAATGGGGAAATATCGAAAATCGATCGTCCACGCCTCGCCGCTGCTTATTTAAGCGCCTGTCGCCATCGGAGAACGGCTTGAGTCGAAAAAAAATATTATTGTTTGCCACCGAGAAGAAATTTCTCTTGAAAATAAACGCTCATATCAACACAGTTCAAAATGTCCGTGTTACCTATTTGGTGTCAAATCAACCCAAAGGACTTGGTTGCTCAACACAATTTTGTGTTAAATCGACTCAAATCACAGGTAACTCTGATACGTCGGATCAGTGGCGATTCTTGAAAGTTGGCAACACTGTATTTCCTTCATTGAAATCCATTAAAAATATCGATTTTAGGTGAAACAACCTGCCTCACCAAGAATCGATTGTTTTACATACGTTTAAATGGAGGAAATACAGTGTTGCCAATTTGAAAAATTGCCGCTGCATCGGATCATGAAGAAAGTTTCCTACTGAACTTACTATGTACTCTTGTTTTCCTCCTCGTACTCTGCAGCGGCGAGGGGTGAATGATCAATTATCGATATTTCCTCATTTGAAGCTATGGTAAAGAGTCGATTATTAAGGTGTTCGTTGCGAACACCCTGCATATCGATCCTTTTCCATAGGTTTTAATGGCAGACCGATCGATTTATCGCAAAGCACGCCACGCCATTGATACTTTGAGGTCCCAACTTGCCAGTGACTAACGCACTGGATTACCACTTATAAGACAAACCTGGCGTATAGCGACTAATTTTTGACGGGGTTGCTGATTTTGAACCCAAAAATTTGGCCGACTTAATGCAGGGAAAAGTAACACAACGAAGCAACTAACACTTTGTGCCACTTAGTGTTGTACTTCCTATGCTGACACAAGATTTTAGTAGCTATTTTTTACTTTGAAGAAGAAAGTCGTTCATATGGAGCAGGAATCTGCAAGTCGAATGATTTTATTCTTAATGAAAAAAGAGATCCTGTTAACACCACATTTAAGTCACTTATCCAGCGCTGAACATAATGACTGAAAAATGTTTTGTCTTACCAATCGACTCTCCTCTGTGATGTTAAAGAATTGAAAGAGTAGCAAAATCCCTCCTCTGATCTTTGGACATCAAAAAGTTCACAGCAGTTGTGTTGATGGCCAATCCAAAAACATCCAGCAAAAAGTTCCTCACAAGTAGGGGATACCTACGGATGATTAAAGGTAACTGTATTCATTTTTATATAGGTTTTACCTTCTAACTTTTCTCAAATTTTAGATACCCAAGCCGGGTCAAATTGACCCTAGGCTTGCTGAAAACACGTGTTGCGTGGGATAAATGGGGCCGATACATACAAGCTTCAGATACAGGTCTACAAATATATCGCAAAGAAAGAATCAGACATCAAATTGAAAGGGGAAAAAATCAAGTGTCAAAGCAGTCGAGGATAGGAAAAACGTAATCGGGTCTAATTTTAACTGTTCTCCCGAATCTGATCGACACCTCCTGGGCATCGGCAGCATAACAGCGGAGTATTCCAAGTTCACGTCTCGCCCGCTTCGCGCCTTCAATTTTGCAGATGCAATACGGGCATCCATCAAGCACGAATAGTTGTATCCCTGCGCCGCAATCAACGTGCATCATTTCCCTTGCTTGATTTCCATCTTGTGTCGGTTCCGTTTGTGTCATATTTGTATTGGTGCTTCAAGAGCTACGTGAACAACACAACTGAAGATAGGAGAGACAAAATTGGGCCTCGTTTTTCTAACTGTTTGCTTGAGTTTTAGCGACTCCTTGTTAGAAAAAAACGGAGCCATTGCGATTACACACTTAGCGACGTCCTGTCGCGCCTTCAATTTTGCAGATGAAACACGGACATCCATCAAGCTTGAATTGTTGTATCTCTGCGCTGTTCTCGACACGAGTTGAGGTGTCGATTATTTTTGAAATTTGAGAGAACTTAAGGTTAAGTTCGCTCAGAATATGCTATGGTGTGTCCAAATTGATGACCATTTTGGAGAAAAAAGGATGTTTAGAGGTGTCTCACGCGCCTTGAAGGGCGCATTTCTAAAAGTTGGTATTTTGGCAACAAGAGTTGTGTCGTTCCAGGGAATTGTTTTTAACGCTTAATCCTGGAAATCCAAAACCGGATCAAATTTATAACTGACTACCTCCCTTGTGTCCCGATTATTGAAACTATGTCGACCCTACACAAAAAGACATAGCCCTTAATCATGCGATATATCGCAACCGCTGCTGGGGGAGTCACATATGACGAATGTGAGGGGAGTTACTCTGCGCCAGTATGATACCAAAAAGGTAAAAGTTTCAAAAAATAATCTTACCTTCAGAAACTGTCAAAATCAATGTATTTATATTTGAGTAAATTTCACCCGACTTGGGACTTCTTGCATTAAAAAAAGGGCGTCTAAGGGTTAATCTCTGAAAGTTTGGACTTTGCATAAACTCGGCTAGCTTCGTGGCCGAATGATTCAAAGCCTTCTCTTAAAACTTCAACTCAGACAAGCTTTTTCACTACATTAAGTTTAAATTCTACACCTTGTCTTGGAGGAATGCCACTACTTTTTGAAGAGATTTATTGCGTGATATTCTTCTTTTATCAAGAAGAAGTCAAAACTTCACCCTCATAAAATTAAAACGATTTACTCTAGGTTAGGTTCAAGTATCCATGTGACGTACTTACGTAGAGCATGAAATCAGTCAAGTTGACTTTAGAGAGCTGAGGTAAAAAATCATTCGTCCGATTTAAGTAATATTTCATCCTTGAATATGCAGGATATTGGAAAAGAGACATGGTCGCTAGAAAATCATCCACCATAATGGCCGTTGCTGGATTCGAAAGATTCACGTAACTTGTGATTGTGAAAAAATATATTAAAAATTAGAGGGAAACATACATAACCATGGAATTTACAACGAGGATACATATTTCTCCTTTAATTATGGTAAAAACTTGAGCAGAAAGTCAAAACTGATGACACGCAATCCAACAGCATTCCTATACATTCTTGTAGGCATACGTTTCAGGCCAACTGACCGACTGCACTGCGTTTGGCGCAATGCGAGAAGTATTCACGCAGTCTTGTAGGCGCTGTTATGGGCTGTGCGCCGACCGCACTGTTTGGCGCAATGCGTGAGGTATTTCTACAGTCTTGCAGGCGCTAATATACGTTTAACGCCGGCTGCACTTTTTGGCGCGATCCTTCGAACTTCGAACAATAATCGCGGCATCAAATAATAGAAGTTGAAAGGCCCATGTTGTATCTTGACGCCGCATAAGCATTCCAACGTTCCCTCGTTTCTCCCAATTAAATATTTTTTTCCGAGGAAAGTTAGGTAAGTTCTTTATACCCTCGACCATTTATCACTTCATTTATCATCAGAGGGTAAACCATCGATTATTTGTCAACAAACTAACCTAAACTAGCGCAACATAATAATGCGTTTATTTTCCAATTGTTTCTTGCTTTGCCAAACCTCTACCTTAAACTAACTTCCTTTTAAAATTCGCGCATTCCTGTAGCAGATGTTAAGGTTTCTATTCGCGCAATCCTTGTGCCTTTTCCGCACAATCCTTAAATGTTTTCTTAGACCTTTCGCGCAGTTTCGGATTACCGGAAAGATCTATAGGTACCGGTTTGGGTCTTTTTAGACCTCATCAGCAGATTACACTCGTCAGTGATGCACTCCAAACTTCATGCACCCAACAGAATTAGAATTTCTACCGACCTGGACAGATAGTGGTATGCCTCATCTCGGCGTATTTTATCTGTTGCGCAAATGGAGACGGCTGGAAAAGGCAGGGAGTAGAGAGGCAGGTGAGTGTCCTTTACAGCTGTGACCGTTGGAGAAGATGAGAAACGGTCCCACATTGTGACACCGAGGAGACTAGCACAAACGAAGCTCAAAATGATCACAGCAAGCCACGCTAGTCTGCAAAATAATTCACCAACAGGAGAATCCGGTACAAAATGAAATATTTTATCCTCTTTGATCCTGAATTTCGATCTCGTATAATCGTAAGGTTTTAGAGCAACACTGCTTGGAGGTGATTACACCATAAAGTTAATAGTATGTCATCAGTCTTTCTATCGTTGTCAAATACTTAGAACAAATCAACTGAAAAATAATGCAATCATCGGTGGATTCCATTCACATTTGCATCGTTTTCTGTTAGACGAGCAGAAGTCCAAAAAGCTCATGAGCCCTAGCGTCCTGCATAATAAACGAGAACCAGGGCTCATGAGTTTTTGGACTCACGCCCGTCTGACAAAAACCGATGTATTTTTGACACTGCATGCATGAAGAGTCTGTCAAAAACGTGCCCAATTTAACGTAACTTACAAATTTTGTTCAAATGAGGCCTAAACGAAATCTTATGATGAGACAATTTTCCAGAGAAAGTTTTAGATTGATTTCAAAGCTAGTTGCGGCGATACAATGTAGCAAAATTTACATTTTTTACCATTGAAAATTCTGATATTTTGGTGTTCCTCAGTTTAAAGAAAGGAAACAATGGTACATACATACATACGAGTCGCTGTTATAGCGCTCTTTGGCGCTTTGCGACACCTAATCGCCACAAAGCTCGGTCTTCCCACAGGTTATCAGGGAGTTGACACTCCCTCATCTCACTTAACACCCCCTGTCGCCAACCTCTCACTGGGCGTCCCCTACGCCTCCTCCCAGGAGGAACCCAATCAAGCATCTTTTTTGGCAGCCTCTCTTCCGTCATCCTATTGACATGACCATACCAAACAAGTTGTTTGGTCATGACGTCGAACACGATGTCATTTTCGACAACAATGGAAACAATGGTCCCTTCTTATTTTCAGAGAAACAGTAACGTCAACTGATAATTCTGTGATTCAGAAAATAAAGCGGGATCGACTAAAAGTGTTTTCTACTACCGATGAAATTCAAAATGTAGCATTTTCTAATGGTAAAAAATGTAAACTTTGCAACGCTGTGCTGCCAAAACAAACTTTGAACTCAAGCCAGAACTTTCACCGAAACATTGTCGCATTGAATAGTTTCATTTAGGCCACATTTGAACACAATCGCTGAGTTCCTCCAAAAAGGAGCACAATAAGGCCTTTTTTGTCCGGCTTTTTACCTAAAAAATATTAAACAAGAAATAAAACTAAGTTTTTTCAAGATTGAAAAATTTGTTTTGGGTGATTTTTCCCTTCCTTTCCTACCAAGGTAGCTTCGCAAATCCGTCATTTCACGTAAGCACATAAATATGACGCAATCGTTAAATGAATCGTTCTTGGTAAATATATCATTTTTTTATAAAATAGCCTTACGCATTAACTTGTATTAATATATTGGAGTTTTATTCACAGAGGCCCTCTACATTTTTAACAATGCCAATGATAACAAGTAAACATGCCAATAAATTAACAACAAAAAGCAGTGAAAACCTTCACGGGAAAAATTATATTGCTCCTTTAACAATTTCTACAATTGTAAAATGCTCGTTTGAATCATGTAGGACATACCCTTTGACAATTTAATTTTTAAATTAACAATCAATTTTTTCCCGTTTTATCGAAAGGGAAGGACGAAAATCAGGTTCAAATAAATCAAATTCAGGTTGAAAATAGGTTTCGATCAATTATGGAAAAAGTCACCTTTCAACCAGAGAGGAGTCATCCTTAAAAACGTATTGAATTCCATGAAGTGTGCAGTATCTAGCATATTGTTTCATGGTGTCCATAAGAGACTGCCCTTTGCGTAAATGGGCAGAGTAGTGCTTGCTCTGAACAGACGTCGTCCATGGAAATTCTGTCCTCCAAAAGGCTGCATCGTCGATCAGCTCCTTTGAATGTAGTTTTTTCGGGTTCGTGACAGCGTCTGATATAGCTGCTGTAAAAATTACGAGCCGTTACACTCGTTAAAGAATTGAAATAGAAAGGTTTCTAGCGAATACAGTCCTCCTAATTTGACCATAAATTCATGTAGGCAGATTTTCCCCGAAAATGTAAAATCATAGTGACAGATCACACAGAATAAACAGTTTAGTGCTATGCCTGGAAGGGTAAGACAAATTGCTTTCCCTAGATCGTGGACAGGTACCATCACTGCTCACATCAGTGTCTAGTTCTACTCCTCAGAGGGAGAGATGATGCCAAGACATTCCTAAGTGACGTCAAACAAGGATCCATGATATTCCTAAGTGACATCATACAAGGATCCATCTCGGAGTCGTTTTTTTCGTATAAAAATACACACTCTACATACGGACATGGACATTGGACTTCGTTTTGCAATGAGGTACTACAATGTCTGGCTCATAGATAAAAGCACAAATCCTCTTATGGAAATTAATGGCACTTATGTTGTTCCTAAAATGAGCCATCTAGATTATAGTGCCTGATTGCAAAATGTAGTCCAATTCATATTCAGGTGATTCATATCTACAGGATTCACGCCTAAAAGTTTCTAAAACCATACAAACAAAGATTTCTATATCATCGGTGATGATACTACAGTAATACCTGTAGTTTTGGCTCTCTAACTGTTAATGTTATCGAGATGTATCCCACCTTAACGTTTTTTCGACTATCGACGCGTAATAATTTCCACATCGACAGCCAAAGTGCAACACCACGTTCACTGCGCTGACCCAAAATTTCCGCTCCAATTTGATATTTCGAAGAAAAACTAGTCTTTATAGCTTGAACTTTATACAGAATATTCTGCTAACAGAGAAAAAAACTCGAAGAAGTTTTCATGAATTTCCATGAACTAAAGTTTTTTAAAGAAAAAATAAAGGATGGCAGGCGGTCTGCAGCATTGCCAACGGAGGTACGTGATTTCGCACTAAGGTCATCGATTTGAAGCATGTAGAATCGAAAGGGGTTTGACGAGACTGAGGTATTAGCACCGATAAATTAATTGTGATTTTTAGGTCGTGTCGAAAGAAATTAAAATAAATCGGTAAAATTTAATTTTAGAGGCTCGAGGAGAAATTTCCCCCGAATTCGCAAAGATGCGGACTAAAATACTGCCGGGCCAAGAAAAAACGCAGTATGAGCATTCGAGAGTTGCCAAATTTCCTGTAATGAAATATTAATTTTTGAGGAGAGTTGTGAATATTTTCTCTCGAAATTTTCGTATAATTCAGATCGAATTACGAGGAAACTTCTTTGAAAATTTGAACGGAAAATACTCACGAGTCTTCCAGAAAATTCGTATTGAATCAAAGAAAATCTGACAAATGACGAAACGATAAACGACTTATGGCGTTTTTCCTCAACACGGCAGAATAGAGGAACAATGGAGATGTTGCATGTGTGAGGAATTTGCGATTTGACTGTTGATTTCTATGTAAAAGTTCGCGAGAAACACGATGGTGCCACTGGTTTTCTCTGAAATCAACTCCCAAGCTCAAAAAAAGCTCTCAAGTTGAGGCCAAAATGGAGGGGATATCCTACCCTACCTTGAGAGTCCCCGTCTACATCAAGACAAACTCTCCATGGAAAGATAGGGAGCAAATACATTGACAGGGCTGCCACTTTATTTGGGGACTCCAAAACTGAAAACACGGCAACCCTGCTAATGTATCTGCTCCCTATCTTTGCATGGAGAGTTTGTCTTGTTGTAGACGTGGACTCTCAGGGTAGGGTGGGATATCATCTCCATTTTGGCCTCAACTTGAGAGCTTTTTTTGAGCTTGGGAGTTGATTTCAGAGAAAACCAGTGGCACCATCGTGTTTCTCGCGAACTTTTACATAGGATTCAACAGTCAAATCGCAAATTCCTCACACATGCAACATCTCCATTATCTAAACCAATTGCATAAAAAAGTTATACTCACTTTTCTCGCCCAGTTTCAATCCAAGTCGATTCGTTGACATTCGCTTCCCGGCAGGCATTCTCGTGAACTTATCTCAGAAATCCATCAAACATTTATATGCGGGTATATTCAAATTTACGGAATTCTAATAAATGCATTTTTTTCTATCCTCAATAAGGGAAAAAGCAAGCTTGGATAGTAAACTTGCTTAATCGGCGTGAGTTGATACATTTACTGTGTAACGTGCGAGGGAATATTTTCATAACAGTTTGAAACTTTCATAATCAGAGCTTGTCTTTAAATTAAATCATGCTGGGCCCCAAAAATAATTGGGTACGGTAAAAGTATTTAAGAAGAAAAATAAATTGTAAAAAAGTACATCGCGGTTGAGATTGTATTACATTGCACGAATTATGACTCATTTGTGAGCATCAAAATTGTTGACTTCCAAGGATATCGACATTAAAATTCGCCTGACTCCTGTAATTTTGACGTATTTCTGTCAAACGAAACTATGCGGCATTAAGACATGAGCCCTGAGACCCACCAGCATATGTTTATAAGAGGGTTCACGTCATAATGCACATAGTTTAGTTTGATAGAAATACGTCAATTTGATACATGACGTCCGGAGGTTTTTTGTCTCGTTGCAGTTTGAAAGGAAAGTAAAAAGGGCACCACTGAAACACCAAACCACCTACTCAGGCGTGGGGGACGAAATGAACTACCGAATACCAACTCCCTGCTTTGCGCATTCACAAGGCTACTGTCCATTCATATGAATTCTCTCTTCCTAGTTACGATATTTACATGACATCATTTCCCATCCTCTTTTCAAATACCTGCTTTCAAAAGAAGCGACGATTTGAAAAGAAGCTAATCACCGTATCTGCTATTCGTAACGAATCGTCATAATGTGAATTCTTCAGTGATGGATTCTATCTCACATGCTCATTACATCGGTGTGCAAACTTTGTATAGCGATAGGTTTCCTGAAAAGTTAAAGCGCGTTAAGGTAAATGGTTAAATTCGGCTAAATCAGTTTTGAACGATTAATGAGCAAAATTGGAACAGCTGCTTGATTCCAAGATTGAAAGAAGTTAGTGTGCTGATAATATATTCATATGTTGGGTAACAAAATGGGAGTGGTGCTCTTTCGATGACAGAAAAATCGAGTGGCATAAACGAAAAATTTGATAATTCGTCGTCTCGAGGACAAAGTCACGTAACTCCATTCACAATGTTGTAAAATTGACTCAAACAATACAATTTTTTACAAGAATGTACCCGAGCAATTTTTGTCCAAAATTTTCCTGATTTCTGTAAGGAATCAGACGAAAAATCGGTGAAATTTTCAATTAGAAATGTCTGAGATTCTTCTCGTAAAAATGCAGTTTGCGAGGGAAAATTTAGCATCACTGGCATGAAGTTACGTTCATTCGTGGAGAAAACGGCGAATTTCGATCATAAGTTTGGTCACAGCTGACGCACGTTATGCAGTAATACGAAAGTATGTGCTTTTTACATATCAATGACCAAAGTGCAAAACCACGTATCTTAATTACGTTGTTAAAAAATATCCACTCCCATTATATTTTCTCGAAGATCAACGAGCTAACTTTATGGCTTCACGTACATACAGAGTATTGTTCCAACAGAGAAGAAAATCCAAGGAAGTTTTCAAGAAATTGCTCCGACTAGCTTTCCAAGGAAAAAATAAAGTATGACAGGAAATCTGCGATGTCGCAAACCAGAATACGGAGATACGTGGTTTTGCACTTTCCATCGATATGAGGTAATATCTAACATAATATCTCTATGATATTTATTCAACGCGGATCACTAGCGTCGATGACACAAGTGATTTGATGCAAATAACGCAACTGAAACTTTCGAGGCATTCAATATTTCATTTTGTAATAAATGGTTTTAGAATTTTGAATATCCAGTACAGAAACTCGCAAACACTTATGAGACTAAAACCAAGGAAGAGATTTGCCACGCCTCCCAAAGCAACTGAAAAGAGAGAGAGAAAGAGAGTATGAATAATGATCATGAAACCAAGGAAATCTTGCACTATTCTAAATGAGCTCTAACTGATAAATCATTTTCTACTAATATTGGTGACATGAAAAAATATTTTGAATGAAACTCATAAAGACGGTACAACGTTGAATTTACAGTGTGACAACGCATCAGAAAACTTGATTTGAGGGGCTTGGAGGATAGAACGCGTATATAAGTGCAGTTTTGGCTATTTCAAAAAAATATACGCGTTCAAAGTATAAAAACTACATGGAGCCTCTTGTCGGAAAGAAAGCTCAAACTCACTATTTGATGCTTAAAAATTGGATTTTTGCAATGAATTTTTTACAGAATATATTTTAAGCCTAGTTTTAGTCGGAATCATTAATATCTCAATTTTTTATAAAATGCACTTATGCGGCCTTCATTATGTGTTCTGAGTCTGAGATTTTCCCTCCTTCACGGAGAAAAAAACTTTGTGCGTGGGACCCGAACTTTAGGTCATATGGATCTCTGAGGTTTTCGGATCACGTATCTAAAAACTTGAGGTCGAGCTGCCGAAGTTTGGGTCAGACATCTGAAGTACTGCGATATGTACCAAAGGGTTCGGGTCACACATCTGAAGTACTCCTGTGCATACCGAAGTTCCTCGATGTCTGACCCGAACTTCGGCAGCTTGATCCCAAGTTTTCGGATGCGTGATCAGAAAACTTCAGAGATCCATACGACCTTAACTTCGGATCCCATGTACGAAGTTTTTTTCTCCGCGTTCTATGACTCGTTTTCCAATCATTTGAACGTAACAATTTTGGAAACACCAACCGAGTAGATCAATCCAGGTGAATGTGATATCTCTTTGATATTTTGTAGCTCCTAAATTGCCATAAGCAACGTCGAGGTATCCATAAAACATGGCCGCCGTGGGCAAGGAGTCGGGCACAAACGTGACCTCCAGGTCATGCTCCGTTTCGTAGCAAGTCGTCTGACAGTGGGAGCAGTCCAGCGATTCGTTCAGGAAAGTGAAGTCAAACCCAGGTACATTCCTTGGAGGAGTCAGAAATTTTAAATGTCCTACAAAAAAAGGATGACAGTGATTTTACTCACACGAGAGGCTTTAGAAAGATTGCAGAGGGTTGAACAAGAAATTAGATCTACGGCCTAGGAAATAATCTATGAAGGCGAAGTTGAACACCAGTAATGATTGACGGACATTAATATGTGACGTGACACATCGTTGATATCTAATCGTTGACTTCTGGATACAACCATTCATTCTTTATGGATGCCCGTATATGCATATAGGAATACATGAAGGCACTTCGACGCGCATTATTAAAATTAAAGAAGCTTCATAGTGACTTTGCTGAAGCAGCAAGGCAGCAGTGCTGCCGTGCTAAGGGAGAACGCCGTATGAACATTCGAGAGTTGCCAAATTTCCTTCGATAAAATGTTTGTTTTTTAAATGAAGTTATGAATATTTTGCCTTTGAATTTTCAGAATCTGTAGGCAAAATTACAAACTAAATTATCTGAAAAATTGGGAGGAAAATATCCATAAATTTACCAGGAAATTCGCGTTTTATCAAAGGAAATTTGGTAACGCCTGGAGGTTCATACGGCGTTTCTCCTTAACACGGCAGAGTAGAACGGGTTTTCCTTTTACATTTATACGGATGTGGCTGTATTAATCGATAATCTGTGTTGAAGGAGAACTGGCCTGTTACAATTTTCAGCTAGAGCAAAAAGAAGAGCTACTTCTATTCCACTAAATGGCTAAAAAATCACGATGAGCTCATCGGAAAAGTCTAAAATACACTCCTAAATTCACATGTTACCAGTCCCACACTTTTGCATATAGGCTTATCTTCGATATTGTTCAATTGTAGATAACTGGTTTGCTTCGCACCATCCTTTTTTGTCACCATATCATCACATCACAATCACAATATTTCTTAACGAACTTACTTGTGTGTTTGACAACGCACGCTAAATCCATCAGACCACACTCGGGAACTTCTTCATCTGGAAACACAAACCATGCAATTGATTATACCCTGCAGGCAGTATCAGGGAATGGGAAGCGCTTATGAAGATTAGATAGGTTCATAGAAAACGGAAAAATCAGCACCATTTAGGACAGAAATTGAACGGGCGAATGGCAACCGAGAATTTAAGGTTGGGGGAGAAGGGGGGTCAAAAAAGGCAAACGGATATTTTAGATGAAAACTAAAAGGGAAATAATAGAGTCAAATTGGCCTGATCAAGTTTATAAAATTTCTGCAAAGAAAATTCCCCTAGTTTGATAGGTAAAGGTTTGGAGACTTAAACGCAGCGATAGAAAAGTAAGACAGCGTCGATATTGCTTTCTTGTGGCCGAGGCCTAGGCGGCCTAGGTACCTTTGACATCCCCGGCTGTTGGCACGTGGGCCAGTGGAAATGTAGTAATTCTCTATACAAAATAAGATTAACAAACTTTAAGAATAAAAACCACGAGATTTGACAAGTTAAAAGCTCAAGCTTTAAGTCGTTTTAACTACTCCACCGTGTTATTTTTTACTTATCGGGAAATGATCTCAGCTGGGTAATTATTTGGGCGACTGTATTGTATTTATCATATGTGGCTGTTTGATAGGGGCAGTCTCATGATAACAAACCACTATATCAGAAATTATTGGAACGGAAGTCAACTTGGAAAGTAAGTTGATAAGGAATTGTTTGGGAGGGGGGAATAATTTTAGGTGAAGGCAGGCCATGATTCAGAAGTTATTCTCTCAAGGTGACAGTCATCTATTATACTTGATCGATCACTTGAAATCGATAGATATCGATTATTCTACACATACTTAAAGCGGCAAATCACAATGTTGCCAACTATCCGAATCGCCACTGCCATATTAAAATTAGCGAAGAAAAAATCTATACGTCAGCTGTACTGAAACTCTATGAATCAAGGCGGCAATTTTGTAAAATTCCGTCTAAAAGTCAAGAAACTGAAGCATATCTGTTGATGATGTTTATTTATTTGAAATAAAGGGAATATAATAAAAGATTATTCCACAAGACGATGGTAAAAAAAGGTTGAAATGGTTCCCAGGTGGTACTTAACGCTCGGCGAATAGGAGGGTAAAAAACCGCCGCGCCGTTCGAGGATTGAACACAGCGGCGCTCAACTACGAGGCGACTTTAATTTTGAAAAATGTATGCTAAAAGGAACTATGTTGTACGCTAGAGTCCCTTTATACCCAGAGTTAAGACAACTCACTTTTGGTTCGGCTGAAAGTGGCCTAAAAAAAAATCCAATTCTGATTGGTTCTCGCTCATGGAGGCCGAAACGAGTGCACCAAGATGGCGGTACCTCGAATGTGAACAAGAATAATGAAAATATCACCTAATTGTGGTTTATCAAGAGTAAATTGTCATTTCCATCGGTCCAAAATGAAAAGAGAATAAGAAATTATTCACAAACCAATCTCATTTTCTTTTTAATTGATCAATTTGTTGATGTTGTTGTTTTTGTATGACAGACATCGCAGGATTCCTGATCCTTATCCCTCAATATCGTTCGTTTGGGTGCACTCGTTTCGGCCTCCATGGCCAGCCAAGGCCGGCTGCCAGTCAGCTGATAATCGAGTTGTCTTAACTCTGGGTATAAAGAGACTCTATTGTACGCAAGCCCTATGCACACAGTTCCTTTTAGCCGAAGAACGTCGAATGGAGCTCTATAGCATATGTGGCGGATTTGCGATTTAAGTACGATTTCTTGCGTAAAATTTTGCGAGAAACACGATCATGCCACTGGTTTTCTCGGGAACAAACTCCAAATTTATAAAAAAAATGCCTCTATAAGTTGAGGTCGTAATGGAGGGGATATCGTACGCTATTTTGGGAGTCCATCTATATAAATATAGCCAGACTCTCCGTGCAAGGATAAGGATCATAACATAATCAGGGTTGGCATGTTTTCATTTTTTAAGTCCCCGAATAAAGTGGCAACCCTGTTAATGCATTTGCTTCCTATCTTTGCATGAAGAGTTTGATTTGATATCACTTGGCTTTTGAAGCAATTAAGAATGTGACAAGAATGTACCCAAAAGAGGTATGCAGGGGTTGAATCCATGGTGCGTGTACACTTAAAATCGCGAAAAATCAACATCTTGGCTGATCCTATTTTCGAAATATCGACATTTTCATAGTAAATGCAAGTTGTCTACTGATTGTGATCCGCTTTTTCATTTATTTGTACATTGAATCGATGTTGATCGGTTCACGTTTTGATTTTTCGTTCGATTCATGTCGATCGAACATACACCCTCTCGTTCCATGCAGACTTCCTCTCATACTCTTTTTTTAACCGAACAGTACGCCTTCAGTTGCGTCTGCAGCAATTTTTATTACGAATATGTTGTGCGTGTTGATTTCAGCTCATTACATACCCGACTCTCTGAAGGCGTTTTATGTGCGCAAGTGGCGCAGTCTGTCGGAGAACCAGCGAGGTAGGGATTGAGCGGTTCATTCAATCTCACTTCTGTTGTTCTCCAACAGGATGCTCTGCTACTTTCGCACGTAAAACGCCTTCGGAGAGTCAAGTATGTAATGAAGTGAGAACAGCACGCACAACATATTCGCAACAACAATTGCTGCGGACGCAGCTGAAGGCGTATTGAAAACATGCGTGTTATACACGTTGAAAAACACTTTAGCTCTTTAATTAATATTGTTACCGATGCAGAGTTGTATTTTATGGTCTGTTTATGGGAGATTATCGAAGAACTTTTCATGATCAATCCGGAAATTTCGCTGAATTTTCTTTGTGGTGCCGGTAAAATTCAGTGAAATTGTCAAACAGATGCAACCAACAATTTCTCAGCAAAAAAATAAAATGCCAACGGAAATTTTGAAATGTCACATGGCGCTTTGTGATACTTTGGCCGGAAGGCGACGACATCGAACCACAACCGAATGGATAATTTGCTCGCAAAATTTTTCTTGTTTCATCTAAAAGTGCCTAAAAAGCTGATTTTGCAGTGTTTTTTATAATTTTTTTCTGCCATGGGAAATCATATGAAAATTGATTTAAAAGTGAGAAAATGCACCGCTTAGTAATGTCATCTGGCGGCATTTCCCATTTAAACGCATGTATTCTAGCAGATTAGATCATTTTGTCATATCTCCTCTAATAATTGGACGTATATCTGTTGAACGGAACTAAGCGCCAAATTGAGTTCCTTTTGAGGATTTTAGAATCCCGAATAGCGCGTTCTGTCAAACGGAACTAAGCGCTATGGAAAAGCATTGCGAGTGTAGGACGGAACGAGCATCGCGCGCCGCAACACCCGCCGATCCAAGCCCCCCTCTCCCTTCCTCCCCTGATGGCGCTTAGTTCCGTTTGATAGAAATACGTTCAATTCATGGACCAAGGCCAAGGGTGTACTCGTGTTCAGCTCACTTGGTAGCGTCCGCTTGGACAAGGAATTCATCAAATTTCAGAGACCTGCAAATTCTCCATTGGGTTCATTAGATCCATTGCATTCTGTGAGAAAATCTCGCCTGGGCGGAGGTCGAAGATGCTTGGACGGAACTTACGGAGGTTGAAAAAGTAGAGGGTGCAGTTGCACTTGTTTATGACATGGTCGATGCGGCACTGGATGAGGCAGGACTTCTCGGTGTAGACGTGGTAGAAGCGGAGCTGGCGTTCGTCCGGGAAGACGCACTGGCGGGTGGCGACGCTGAGCCGCTTGACGGCGTCGCTGGTCACGATGATCGACGGCTGGACCATGATGCTGAGCCGCATGGACGGCACCGCCTGGAGCCACACCCCGCTCCCCGCCCGCGGGTACTCGTACGACGTGTGCACCATCACCTGCATCCCCCCAAATCCAAAACATCCAATATGGAAAACCAAGACTCAGCTCCGACTATAGAGTCCAGAGACAAGAGACCCTCCACTAGTATCTTGGCCATTGTGGAAGTTTTTACTTTCGGGACTTCAGCATTCTACCGTTGACTTACCTACATGGTTGATGTTCAACGGCATGTTGGCAGTTTCGTTTTGCAATCAAGCCGAAAATGGCCGACGGTTGGGAGACTTGCTTGGCTCATGACGTCATCCGAAACTCATCATCGACCATGTAGGTAAGTCAACAGCCAAAATTAGGGTGATGACCGTTGCTCCCTAGTAATTGTCCATAAGGAATTGTTGAAACCCCGAAAGTAAAAGCTTCCACCTGTTGCTAGGAAGCCAGTGGAGGGTCTCTTGTCTCTGATTAGAGTCCCTCCCCAAGGAGCAGTGATCGCGATAAATAGCACATTCTCGGTTGGTTATCGCGATTATATCGGTGGCAATTTTCGAAATATTATTACTTAAAAATTGCGATGTGTGGCGATTAAATCGCTACTCATCGGAATTTTTGGTTCGATAAAATCGTGTTCTTAATGATGTGATCGTTTCATATAGCCAAGTGCCTTCTATTTCTGAATAGGCCACAAAACCTGCATGAATTAGACGGATATGCGCCCACCTTGTAATTCACATTTTCTCCTTTTGAGCCAGTGGCCGGTGGCGATGCGTGAATGATCGAATATCGATATTTCCCCACTTGATGCAAGGGTAAGGAATCGATTATTAAGGAGTTCGTCGCAAACACCCTGTTCATAGATCCTTTGCCATTGGTTTAAATGGCAGATCAATCAATTTATCGTAAAGCACGCCACGCCACTGTTTTGAACGATTTTTCTGTTACAACTGGACTGCATTTTGCAATTTGGACTTATAAATTCCGGCCCGGTTTAAAAACAACGTATGTGCCATTAGTTTCCCTATGCACATAAGTGTTTTTTTCAGATGAGCCAGAATTTACAGGTCCAAATTGCAAAATGCAGTCCAATTGTATAACAACAAGCAGGATTCATATTTTTAGATGCCCGCGGTTTCTTAAAAAAATTAGAATGAATGAAAAAATAAAATCTGAAAATGAATCCATGAAACTGTCTCCATTAAAACCTTTAGAATGAGGTCTTAGGAAATACGCAACATAAAAAGTGTGAAACTCTGATATGCACGTGTGAAATTGATTTTAAAAATGCCAGAATTTGTTTGTCATTGCGGTAACTCACTCGAACTCCATGCGGGTCCCTTTGGCCCTTCCCCAAACTCTCCTCGTCGGGAATTTTGTTGAGAAACACCTCCAGGCCTGTGAGAATCCCCACTGCAGTATTTCTCCGCAATTGACAGCCAGGGTACATGATGTCGTCCTCCTCTACGACCCCCTCGTTCTCCAACACTTCTGATAAGGGGCTGGAAAAAAGCATCACGCATATCTTTCAAAATCCACAATTTATTTTTAGAATCATTGACGCTATTTTTATTGTATTTTAAGGTTCACTGGAAAAAAAAACACATTGGATCTAGAGTCCAGACTCTTAAAAACATCGACAAGAAAAAACACTCTTGTTCAATCGGATTTTTGCTTAAATCAAGAACCAAGCCTCTTAATTTGAGCGGATTTCCTTTTGATTTAAGCAGAAATCTGATGGAATCAAGAGTATTTTTACTGTCAATGTTTTCAAGAGTCTGAACTCTAGATCCCATGTGTTTTTTTTCCAGTATCGTAGAAAATGTGCACTACTTTTAAGTACTTCAAGGTCACTGAATGCAACCATTTTGATTCTAATCTAAAAACCCCGAAGTCTGGATTATCTGCGCTGAAAAAAAGTTCGATCGTATAAGCTGAAAGTTCGGTGTTTCATAACGGTCGAACCAATCGGTTCTTCAAAGCGAAATTATGGCCCGGATCAAACGTGCTATTTGTTTGACTGGACTTCTTTCATCAGTTCGGTTTGATCGAACAATCTGAACCCATAGACCGAATGTTCGGCTTGACAAATTGAAAGTTCGGCTTGATGAACCAAATACCTAGTTCAATTTAGGTGAGACAGCAAACCCTCGGTTAACACGATCGAAATTTTAATTATCATCGCTGAAAAAAAAAGTTCGATGCTAAAAGTTTGATGTTTGATAACGATCGAACCATTCGGTTTGTCAAAGCGAAATTTTGGTCCGAATTAAACGTGCTATCGAACATTTTGATCCCACTGTCCGAATGTTCGGCTTGATAAATTTAAAGTTCGGTTTGATGAACTAAAAAGTTCAATCTATATGCGACAACAAACCTTCGTCTAACGCACGGTTGAACTTTCAATTTCAGTGTGTGATCAGACTATTTGAGGACGTAGAAATATTTATTTGGATCCTCTTCCCGAAATGTCTAAATATGTTTTGATTTTTCAGATTTTTTGTTTTTTGACTTCGGAATAAGATAAGAGATAGTGCCACGCAACAAAGAACTGACCAATGCCGTCCGTCCTCAGAGGTCAACGAATTGAAAGAGTAGCAAAATCCCTCTTCCGTTCGTTGGATGGAAAATATTTCGCAGCAATCAATTCGCTGTCCGCTCCATACGCATCGTCCAAAAAGCTCACGACAAGTGGGCAACACCTAAACCAATACAGGAACAGGTGAATTACATTATGAAAATAGGGAACTTATATCTTTGCCTAATTTTAAAAAACAGCGTAAGTGCCGTAAGTAAACCCCTACAGATAGATGATTTTATGGGCATGGTGTTTAGAAAAATGACGTTAAAATTTGACGTAAAACCATAGGCGGATCTAAGGGGCGTAGGGGGCGTACGCCTCCCCTCCCCCTGTTTACAAGCAAAAAAGGAGGGGAAAAAGAGAAGGAAGGAACTAAGGAAAGAAAAAGGAAGGGCGTTTATATTTGGTCATTATTCATGACGAAAGAGACTCAAACTGCATGTTAGATGCTTTAAAAATTCAAAAATTTTCTGGGGGAGGCCCCCGGATCCCCCTTTCGCCCCTTTCCCCCGCTTGAGGTGCCTGGATCCGTCTTGGCGCACAGTGAATCAAGTCAATTGGAGAGGCCGGACAAAATGTGGAGACTTTAAACGCTTATAACTCCATTTATACACAACTTTGAGGTTCTGAAAGTGGTTCCATTGGTTTTCTCGTGAAATTGTCTTCTAGTAGCACACCTTCAACTTTAAAGTGTGACGAAATAAACATCAAAATTCGCAGTTTATGTTAAAAATACCATGTACGACCTCTCTAATTGACTCTATCCTCTGTGCGGCGTAAAACATTGGCGATTGGGCAGAACTTTTCTTCATTTTTCTCTCTGGACATCAATCATCAAAACATGACTCCTTACCACATCCGATCATTGTGATTTTAAAATTAGTATGCAAGTTCTGAATGTGGAAGAGATCAGCCTTCATAATTGAGTTCACTTACCGTCATCATAAAATCCGTGATGTTCATCGTTTCGAAAAGCGGGAACATGTGTTGACTGGCATTGATGTACGGATTCATGCGGTAGTAAAGCGGCTGTTGCATTAGTGCTAGCGCACTCATGATGTTACTCATACTCTCCTCCAACTCTTCATCGATTGTGGAACCATTCACGAACCTGGAATGATATTTCGAGGGATTAGGGAGACAACGTTGCCGACAGAGTCTTGAAACTGTACTGCCGTGGTAAGGAAGAACGCCGTATGAACATTCGAGAGTTGCCAGATTTCCGTCGATAATATGTTTATCTTAGGGGAAAATTATGAAAATTTTTCCTTGAAATTGGTAGACAAATATTCAAAAATTTGGCAACGGCTGAAGGCTCATATGGCGTTCTTCCTTAGCACGGCAGTATAGGAGCACGAAAAAACGAGGCCAAGTCACATCCGTGCCATGTGAAACGTCAATTCTAAACGCCTTGTATTCTGTCGTGCTAAGTAAAAACGCTGTATGAGCCTTTAGACGTTGCCATATTTCATTAAATAAAAACCGAATTTGCTGGGTAAATTGTGAAAATGTTCCTTCAAATTTTTTGGTCAATTTTGTTTGTAATCTAATCAGGCAAATGTGATGTTATGTGATCAGGCAAAATTCGTCCCAATTAGTAGATCAACTTCGGCAATTTACTTACTAAGGCTGCGGATATTTCAGTACTTATTTACCCGTATAGTGATATAAATCAGAGAAATCATAATTTTTAATAAGCTCATTATGTTAATTGACTTTATTTGGATTTTTTCGGACCAAAAAGTTGAAAAAAACACTATACATACTTGCACAAGGGTTCGCAGTTTATTCAATTTTAACTTTCAAATGATTACCTCAATAAATATTCCAAAGCGCGAGACTTAATAACTTTGTTGGCCGGGCAAATAGTGATGGTGGGAAAGGGGAACAGGTATAGAGGAAAATGAGTGTCTTTGACTGCGAGCACGGATGGAATAGCTCTATATCGTTGAAATAAGATTTCTGCTATTAGACATGCAGCCGCGAAACACAGCATCAACATTAGTAGCCAAAATCCCCTGGAATAAAAAGAGAAGAAAAACTCGATTGTTTTTTCCTTTTGAAATCCGTAAATATTCTCGAAGGAAAGATTTATCGAAAATCATAAGGAGTCGAAAAAAGTTTACCCCTGAATCTCGCACAACACCAAAAACAGCCCGTAACCAGTACCTACACAATTATATTAAAGTTATAATAACCATCTTGCGGTCTGAATTACATTAAGTTAGATTGAAAATATCGCAAGAACGTACAATTCATGGGGTTATTTCGATTCGTTTGATCTCTTTTTGCCGATTTTTCCAATTGAAAGCGAACCATATACTCTCATTTAAACGGTTGGCAAAAACAGCTCAAACTCGTTAAGGTATCGTCTGTGGAGTCGCATTTTGTAGAGATCGGGGTACACCAGTGGCGTGGCGTGAATTGCGATACATCGATTGTTATGCCATTTAAACCTATGGTAAAGAATCGATCATTAGGGCGTTCGCTGCGAACACCCCGTTTATCGATCCTTTTTCATAGGTTTAAGTGGCATAAAAATCGATAAATCGTAATTCACGCCACGCCACGGCTGTGCACCTCATTGATCAAGGGATGCGTTTGCGGACTATGAAGATTTTAAAAGTCAAAATATTACCGTCTCTCTAATTTGCTGTTAAAACCTCAGGTTTTGTGTCTCCCTTTTCCAGTGTTGACGCCCATGGCATTTGTAACCTCTAAACTGACCATGCAATCTCTAATTTTTCATGGATAGTGAAATTCGATAAATCTACTTGACAGATTCTCCTCAATCTCTCGCATTATAGACCAGCTCAAAGGAGCCGTTCAAGTATACTAAACGCATTTGAGGAGGGAGGGGGTTTGAGCCAGCGTTACGGTGCGTTACAGGGGAGGGGGGAGACTGAAAAAAATCATGCAAAAAATTGAATTTCCCGCCCCTCCCGAACGAATCTTTCCGGCGACGTCTTTCAGCGAAATATCTTTTAAAAAACGGACATTTTAAAGCTGTTTTCTTGATTTTTATAAAAATGGAGGAGGCGGTCAGGCCAGCGTTAAGTAATTCAAAAGGGGAGATGTAGGGCTGCGTTATGAATGCGTTACAAGGGGGAGGAGGGTTAAAAAATTGGGAAAAGTGCGTTACGTAATACTTGAACGGGCCCAGAGCTGAGCTATACTGCCGTGCTAAGGAAAAACGCCGTATGAACCCTCAGGCGTTGCCAAATTTTCTTTGATAAAATACGAATTTCCTGGTAAACATGTGAAAATTTTCCTCTTAATTTTTCACATGATTTTGTGCGCAATTTTACCTAAAGTTCCTGGAAATTTCAAGGAAGAATATTCCTAACTTGCGCCAAAACTACACATTTTATCGAAAAAAATTTGGCAACTCTCGAATGCTCATACAGCGTTCTTCCTTAACACGGCAGTATAGTCGATGACAAAAACACATGATAAAAAGGCTTTTTGAAACGTGACGATTTTTATATCATTTACTCACCGCTCAAAAACGGTTGCCTTATTGTGGGATATGTACCGAACGCCATGGACCGTGCTGTATTTCATGTACTCGTTCACCAAATGACATGTCCTTCTACTGGCTTCGATTTTCCTTCGTAGGCGATTTTTCATGAAAGTCCGTGTCAAGACCACCTTCCTTCCTGCATTTTTAAACCTGGTGAAACTAGCATGATGCTCCCCAAATCTGGTGGGTAGTCTCATGGAGACTTAATTTTCCTTCGAATATATGAGGATCTGACACTTCAACATGCGAGAATTTTTATTTCATGGCAGGATCGGCCCATAGATTTCTTGAGAAGTCGAGAAAATTGGTGTTGTTTGCAACGTTGACGAGAGAGAGAGGATAAATAAATCGCAGCGTTGAAGTCCAATGATAGAAAAAGTCTGTGGTGCATAAATAATTAGCAATATATTATCATTTTGAATAATCCTGCAGCTTAAGTGACATTGAGTGTTAAAAGCGTTTTTATGGACCAACAATGAGCTTGACCGTTGTATAGTATCAACTTTGTTCGAGACCTACAGAAAGCGCACGAGAATAAACCTTTCCTTCAAATAGCAGGGTAGGCAAAAATTCCTACCCAAATTTGTATGTTACGCCACGCGCCGTAGACATCCCTCCGTGCCGGATTGATTTTAGTGTATTTTTACTGTTAGAAATCTAATGCTATTCTGGCTTTCCTTTGTGCGTAAATACTTTTATTTAATTTGATTCTATTCGTTTTAAAGTCATTTCAACAAATTAGATAAACCGTCATACATATAATTTTAGGCAAAAACTATGGAATAAACTTTTGATTTGACATCCTTTGTTCAGAGGGAAGTGACATAGACTCGCAGGAAGTTGCATATCTGTGACGGGTCCATTTTTGTTGAGAGGAACTATGTACACTTATATTGAATCAAAATATACCTACTATACTCATAAGATTTGCGTGCTTCCAGTGGCGAGGCGTGCTTTGCGATACATCGATTGATCTGTCATTAAAACCTAAGGAAAAGGATCGATTAACAGGGTGTTCGCAGCGATCACCTTAATAATCGAATCTTTACCACGGATTCAAATAGGGAAATATCGATAATCGATCATTCACGCCTCGCCACTGCGTGCTTCATGGTAACTTTTGATTTACTTCATTACTATATAGTTCCGTTTAGCATAAACACGTTTGATCCTCCTCATAACTTTTCACAAAATCAAGTTCATCCCCCTAACACTCGGGTAGAGAGCTATAAGAATTAAGGTTGTATGAAACTCAAGACAGAGGACAGGAGGAGTGCACTTGCGTAAAACGTATTTCGAATTTACTCTACTAGATAGCATGGACACGCCACTAAAACTATGAACGATGAACATGGTGCGTGCAAAATACTCGGCTTATATTGGATGAGAAAATAGGTCGTCCGTCTCTCAGTTGCACCCCTCTCGTCAAAGCTTTGATATACTGACCTAGAAGTCGACTCATTTCAAACTTGAAAGAGGATACTGTTTATTTTGTGTGAATAGAGCTCATAGCACCCATTCCAAATGAGGGCGTGAATCGTGAGACATATCAACATCGGCTCTCATTTGAACCTAGTCACTGAGACATCCTAATTCGCGCGAGACCCACGCGTGGCACGATATTAAATTGAATTTGATGTCAATGAAAGAAAATTGTTGTCAGTTCAACGGAAGCTGAGAAAATCACTGTGAGCTTAGGTCAAGAGTTTTTATTAAACTTATTCTGAATTTTAGGGGGGGAGGGGTGCCTGGTGCCATTAATTGTGGTGCACGCCCTAACGCCGAGTGACTTGTATAGCTCTTGAAAAATTTTTAAATGAATTAAAAGTATAAAACGAATTGATTTGGCAGGATCGCTCAAGGGCGGTTAAGTGTTGCACTGCGCACGATAGCGCTTTAAGAATTGCATGTTATGAGTAGTAGAAGAACGAAATAATATTTTGAGATAAATTAAAGAGGCAGCCGCAAAAACAGTTCATACGCGAAAATCTTGTTTCGAATAGAAATACGAATACCTGATTACAAGCACAAGAGCATGAAAGCAATAGAGCGCGAGAAAATTCATTTCTCTTTCCAAAACGCAACGAGTAATCGACAATCAAAAACCCTAAATGCATTTTCCACAAAACAAGGTTTTCGCGCATGGGCTGTTTTTGCCTCAATGAAACATCTTCATCTCTGAGGGAAGCAAAATTGCTCTAACTTACATATGCCGCGCTTTAATTTACTTATTCGCTACTTTGAATGAACATAATATGATTGACCACTGATATTCATGGCATTCGTTCCGGTGTCAGGCAGTGTCAGGTGATTGTAAAATTACTATATTTTAATGAAAATGAGGGGTCCAACCTTTTTCATCGATGCCAGATCTTCAGTAAGTAGCGGGCCTCGCCGGTGCTCAATTCTTTCAGCGTAATGAAGGCTATTTCAATTTTAATCTTCCGTCGAACTGCTAAGGCGCGATGATACAACTATTCGTACCCTCCGGAACGCGTGAGGTATCACGCCGCATTTGAAGGCGTTTTCAAAACAGCCAAGTTACGATATGGGGATCGCGTCGTTTCGCATGAAGTTCGTAGCACCAAATCGATGGAATGACTGATCTCACGCGCTAATGCAATACTTCTGTGCACAGCTCCTTGTTTTAATTATTTTATTTTTTATAATTTGTGTTCAAGTTTAGAGGGAGCGTTCACAAAGAAATTGTGTTTGAAAAGTCAGGGAAGCACTTTTTTGCTCAATGATCTTGACCTGCTCTGCTGCAAAGTGTTAAACTCTTCCAGAAGCAGATGTTGTGGTTACTTTATTAGAAATTTTATGACAAATATCATCCCCCTTGGGCCAAAATATAAATTAGCGGATGAAATAAAAAACAATCCCACAGTTTTCTTTCCTGGGAAGGTTATAGTTATTTTATTATCATGTCTAAAAGTCCAGGTATTGAGTTCGCAGGGGTTGGGTACGCGTATGGCGCATGACCCGCCTTTCATTATTACACTTCATCGAGCGTTGAGAGTTCACTAATTACATTACACGACTAGTGCTTAATTTTCAAAGTCGAAAATTTAAAAAAATATTTTAAAAAAAATTATTAGTTTCTCCGCCAGGGAGCTCTCCCCCCTAGAAATCGCTCACCACCCGCCCGCCGGGAGCGCCGCCGCGTCGGTCGGCGTGCTACCAGCGCGAAACGCGCACTGACGCCTACAACCCTAAAGGGATACTTCAAGCATTACACAAGGCTTGAAGTATCCCTTTAGGTTTGTAGGCGCCAATGTGGGTTACGAGCTCGCAGCGTGCCGTACACTTGCCCACAATTAAAGGGTCAGGATGTTAAAATCTTGGCAATTTGCTCTCAAATTCGAAATTAGCGACTCAAAAAACATCTGTAACGAAACTTCCGTGATCTTTTGTTCATTATCTGACTTATTTCTTCCTATTCTTGAGTTTTGGACTATAGTGCGCCGCGGAAGGCGGCTCGATAAATTCTTCCCTGTGTTCAAATTTACCGGAAAATTTAACAAAGCGGGAAATGTAGAATCGTGGTCTGTTGGTAGGGCAAGTGAATTGAAGGTATGCTCCTTTGGTACCGGATATCAAAAAGCGACGAAAGCGGAACGAAGCGATCGTTTCGTTTCAGTCTTGGCGTAAAGTTTGAATAAATGCCGAGTTTTTCATTCGATTCTTATTGGTGCAATGGCTCTCGGCCAGAGGGAGATAGGGCAAATGAGAGTCGGGTATGAAAATATTTTAATTTGTTTTTAATTGTTGTCTTCTTGCCGAAGCTGGAGTACCTTTAGTTGAAGCGGGCCTAAGAGAGCGCGAAACACCCTCTGGGGGTTGAGCCGCGTATTGGCCAAGCACTGCTGAGCGCTTCCCTGTTACCTACATATTAGAGCTTTCCTCAGGCCCGGACTTAGGGCGTGTGCAGGGCGTGCGGCGCACACGGCCGCCAGCCTTTGGGGGGGCGCCACGAAAGAAGAAGAGAGGGAAAAAAGGGGGGGGGAGGAAAAGGGAAAAAAGGGAAGAAAGGACAAGGGGAAAAAAGGAAAAGGAAACAAGGTTGGGCAGTGAAAGCAGGGAAGAAGGGGGGAAATGGAAGTAAAAAAGAGGCAAGAAAAGTGAAAAGAGAGTCCGCGAGAAGGGGGGGGGGCATAAAAACCATAGACAAAATATAAAGAGAATTGCCGTCTAAAGGTAAATTTTCAGGACAAAAACTCCACCTGGTCCATAGACGGTCAGGCGCCCCTTGACCCTAAATTTGCGGCTGTACAGAAATACAAGAGTAGGCATGTAGTAAGGGGGCGCCATAAATCCATCGAACAGGAGCCGACATAGCATTTTAGGCCACGTCCGCCATCTTGGATTTGAGAATTGTTAAACATAGTAAAAAGTCGAGTTTCCGGTCGAAAAATACCCTCAGACACCGAATTTCAAAAAAATCCATCGAACAAGAGCCGACATAGCATTTTAGGCCACGTCCGCCATCTTGGATTTGAGAATTTTCAAAAATCGACTAAAAATTCGAGTTTCCCGTCGAAAAGTACCCCTGATCCCGTGGTTCACAAAGTATTCTAACGAACAGAGGAGGCCAGAACCGGGGAGGCTCGTTTTAGGCCACATCCAACATTTTGGAGTTGAGAATTTTAAAAAATTGACTAAAAATTCGAGTTTTCCGTTGAAAAATACCGTGTGTTACCGCGTTTCACAAGACTAGCTCGAACAAACAGAAACCGAGATAGCATTTTAGCCCACGTCCGCCATCTTGAATTTAAGAATTTAAAAAAATGGACTAAAAATTCGAGTTTTCCGTCGAAAAATACCTTCTGACACCCAATTTCAGAAAAATCCATCGAACAGGGGCCGAGATAGCATTAAACCATTTCGGATTTTCGAATTTTGAATTTTTTGAATTTTGACAGATCTTGATTTAAAACGCGTGATCCCCAAAATCGAAGCTCAGAATCGGATTCCTCGTAAAAAGTCGATGCGATTTCATGTATCATACCCTGACACCGAATTTCAGGAAAATCCATCGAACAGGAGCCGAGATGGCATTTTAAGCTACGTCAGTCATTTCAGATTTTCGAATTTGGAAAATTTGACTTAAAACGCGTGATACCCAAAATCGAAGTTCAGATTCGGATTCCTCGTTAAAAATTGATACAATTCCATGTATCATACCCGAGCATAGCGCGAAGGAAAGAGACGTAACGTAGACATACTGATTCGAGCATATGAATCCAACGTGGCAACATGGGTAGTGCTCAGTGGGTCAGCGGAGGAGGAAGAATAAGAATTTATCGTGAGGAATTCCTCGCGACGAAACTGAACGTTAGCGCCGGGCGGCGCGGCGCCTGCCCGCTCGGTTTCACTCGGGCGACCCGCGCGGCGGCGTAGTTCAAACGGGTAGTATGACAGAATCTATACGCGTCGTTAAACCTTTTTCCTTCACGCTATTTTAACATATGATACATGAAATCTCATCAATTTTTCACGAGGAATCCGAATCTGAGCTTAGATTTTGGATATTACGCGTTTTAATCTATTTAAAATCGTAAGAGAATTTACAGAATTGTCCTTGAAAATTGATCGCACACATTAGTGTTTTTTTACGTCATTAAACCTCTTTCCTTCACGCTATTCTAAAATTTGATGCATGGAATCGCATCAGTTTTTCACGAGGAATCCAAATCTGTGCTTAGATTTTGGATATTACGCGTTTTAATCTATTTAAAATCGTAGGAAAAATTACAGAATTGTCCTTGAAAATTGATCACACATTAGTGATTTTTTACCCCGTTTTTCTTCTACGTTCACGTAATGAAATTAGATCAACAGTTGACTCATCGACTAGTCTAGCCTAACCCCCCAGAATCGGTCTAAAGGGCGAACGATTTTATCAGATAAGATGTGCGGTCCTAATTTCCGGGCAATTGCGGTTTGATGGAAGCTGCGATGAGGAGAAACGGAAGATATGCGAAACTCGGGCGGATATTAAGGTGATTCATCAAGCTCAAGTGACGTGGTCGAACTGGCATGCGATATATCGCATCTTTTAGGTCAAAAATCTCGGCAGATTTTGAATTTTCAGCAAACAAAAGGACGATAGCCCCTGCGCATGAGCCTGAAGAATCATTCTAAACCCAAAAATCGGCAAAATTCAGAGAAATGAAAGCAGGATAGTGTTTGGAAAAAAACATCGCATTCGATTCAGCTATCGATTTCGGTATCGAATGCGAGGTTTTTTTCCAAACACTATCCTGCTTTCATTTCTCTGAATTTTGCCGATTTTTGGGTTTAGAATGATTCTATAGGCTCATGCGCAGGGGCTATCTTCCTTTTATTTACGGAAAATTCAAAATCTGCCGAGATTTTTGACCTAAAAGATGCGATATATCGCATGCCAGTTCAACCACTTCTTTTGAGCTTGACAAATCACCTTAAGTGAGAAACCAGGTAGGGGAAAGGCTTTCTTCCCGAAAAGTTAGTGCTCGGGCCAACTTACATGGTCACTGGATCATTGTATAGCAGGGGGGAAACTATTTTTTTTGCAGCAACAACCGATTGGATCGCATTTTGCAAAAAGGAACTAAGAGCATTTCAATGTTGCTGGGATTGTGCAACTTAGGTACATTCTTTGCAAAAAGTAAACATTGCGACGGTAATTTTCGTCTTGAATTCAGAGTTTATTGGGAGTAGAGGTGAAACTATTAGTTTAAATGATCGTTTATGTTTGCAAGGTTAGCGACATTGGAATGCTCTTGGCTTTCCTCCTTCATTTTTCTTTCAAATTGATGTAATCCTTCTTTATTTTGTCGTAGGTAGATATAAACTTGGTATATGGGGAGGTATTTTTGAGCGTACTGGACATTTTTCGTGTTTTCAAGGACGTACGTCTTCGTCTTCGGAAAATGACGTCCAAAGTTTAAAATTGCCACAACTTTTTGGGTAGATGATATGTACTTCCAGAAACGGATTACAGCACGCAAGAAATCAGGCGGAGAAAGAGTAGTGAACATAATTTTCAAGGAACGCGTCATTTCGACGCAAAAGAGCTTTGAAAAAGTTTCGAATTTTCGAAGCTGCATGTTGGGTACAGGGCCGAATTTACCTACTTGCCGCCCATGAACCGCCTGTACTTTGCCGCCCCCCCTCTCATTCATCATAAAACATCAATAAAGATCACCAAGTGAACGTGCCGGAGGGGGAAGGGTGCATAAGGCGCGTTTACTCGTGTTGGACACATTTTTTGCGAAAGCCCTATCAACACTACCAGCAAAAGTTCACGGAACTGTGCGCGAAAGTTAAGCTCCGTAAACCTATCTCTGTGTGGACAAGGCCTTCCATTTACAAGAAATGAACGAAAAAATTATGAAAGAACAAACATAAATGTGGTTTATTACTTTTAACTTCCTCCTTAGCTCCGCGCCGCGCTGGCTGACCGCAATGTGTTTGACGCAATGCGTGAAGTATTCATGCAGTCTCGTAGGCGCTATGCGTTTCCCGCTGACCGCACTGAGTTAGACGCAATGCGTGAAGTATTCGCGTGCAGTCTTGTAGGCGCTAATATGTGTTTTTTACCGACCGCCGCGCCGCGGGTTTCTCCTTTTCTGCTGAAGTCTTCGTCATCATTGTTCCCTGCGCGCCTCGCCGTTCTCGGCCAAATTGCGTGTTTACTTTCTCTTTTAACTCTAATTCACGGTGATGTCCCTTGTATCCCCGAAAGACGACAAAATTAGAAATTACTATACTCTCAGGAAATGAGAGACTTCGTCGTCGGATTTTTTGTAATTTTTTTTCATACCGCATTTAAAAAAATTGCAAAATTTGCTGTCCCCTAAATTTGCCGCCATGGGCCGGGGCCCATGTGGCCACCCTCTTAATCCGGCCCTGGTTGGGTACGTAATTTTAACTGCAAGGACTGTAAAAGAGCATAGCGCATTGCTAACGAAGTGCATAACTTACTTATGAGGCGTTTTCGGGCATACGTGTATAAGGGGAAAAAAGTCATATTTTGAGCCAAAAAATCTATCCTAAAAGTTAAGCGCGTTAACTTCCGGACACCCTGTATAACTAATTGAACAAGTTTAGTGTTTTCCATCTTTAGGAATGGTTCAAAAATAGCACCATTTAAGAGTTTTCAGTGTCTCACAGGCCCTTTACGGCAAAATCAATTGAAATAAAAGGCACTGAAACCTGAGATCTCATTGAATTTTTGTATATGTGGTTTTCTACACACTGAGGATCAGTTGTAAAAAAATTGGGACCAAAAATGTTGTGCACCTCAACAGTTACAAGCATTTGAAGGTAGTAAGGTTTTGCCTCTAAGTTCAGGCAAAATTTTCAGAAATATTCAATTATAGTCTGTAAATGAATGTAGGTGATTTTTGTTGTCATTGTTTTCTTAAATCTACACACTTCTATTGACATCATGTCAAATTTTCACTTCAATTTGACAAAAAATGGGTGAATTTTTTGCGGAACAATGACCCTCTCTTCCTTTGAAGTGCAAAACGCTGGTTCCTTGAAACTTAAAACTTTAAACATTCAAATCTCTGTGAGTTTTTGATTTGAGACCGAATTTTTTGCAGAAATCTAAGTCGGGCGGTTCCCTGGCTGGTAGGTTTTATACCAAATGACCCGATTTGCATTTTTAACATTTAACCGATGTTCATTGAGAACACTAAAATCTTGTTTAAGAGTTGATCTTCATACTTAAAATTGTGTCTGCATTTTTCTCGCACAATTTAAAAGAAAAATTGAGTTGCTTAGTGCTTCAATTCATATTGAGCAGTGGCTCATTGAGGTAAGGTCACTCATTGAGGCTCTAGGGGTTCATAGGATGATAGTTCTTGTAAAAAGCAAATAAGTCAAGTTAATATCATAATACTCAGTGAAAATTTAATTATGCTTCAGACAGATTACAGTTAGGATAAAGCAGAATAAAATTTTGAGTATGAAATGGACACATTCATAGATGAACTGTATTGGATTCATGGATCATGAGATACTTTATCACATTGTATTTTGTAATTACAACATACAAAAAAAAAATTACAATAATAATTTACACAGTAAAAAAAGATAGATAAAAACAAAGCGATTAACTTCATATTCACAGGAAGAAGGGTGGGGAATGAAAACAACACTGATATGAAACAAGTTTCACTTCCATTTAGTCATCGAACCTGAAAATAAAGAAACAAATTGAGTCAAGGATAGCCTTTAAATTATTTGAACACGACAAATGAAAAATGATGGTAATTATGATGTACTTCTAGAACTAGAGAGACAGGGAGTAAGAAATGAAGAGAGTTATTGTTGAAATTATGACGAAATTGAATTTCAGATGGATTTAAGTGCAGTGTTTTAAAAGAACGATTCTATCGTACATACAATTTTGTGCTGGAGTGCCTGATATGCTACAATGCTAGACTCACAGGATTTTTTGACCAATTGTCTTAAAATTCAGACATTATCGATGGACTATCAAATTGTTTTCATGAGTGCTATGGAACCGATGTAACTGTTTAACTTCCTGACTTCATGCTTAATAGTATCCTGATTCGCAGCCTGATTGGTTGAAATGGATGTCTTTATGCTTAAAGGAACTACGTTCCACGCACACCCTCTGCACATGGTTTCTTTTAGCATAAATACGTCCAAATGTTGTATTTGTCAACTGGGAGAGCCAAGACCAGGGAACAATGTGATTGGTCACCTTCATCATCCTTTTCATCATTCCTTTGTCACATGGATAAGACGACCAAGTATCAGCAACAGATGTGATCAGCGAAGATAGGAATTTGGCTCTCTGTTGGTAACTTCTGACTTGGGAATAACTTAGGACAATTCACAAAGCCGACCATTCACATAACTCAATTTCTTCTTTGCCTTGCCTTGTTGTAGTTGAACATAAATTCCAGCTTCAAAACGTTAAATCTTGAAAAATTTCTTTACCTCACAAAAAAGCTTTAGCCCTGATGTACCCAAACATGTCAGAGATCCCTTTGATTTTCCAGTTGTTTTTCTTTTTGGTTTAAAAAAAAGAAATTAATCTGATTGAAAAAATTCCTTGCGCACTTGAGGGTTCCCACATGAGCACACGTGAACCAAGCATGCAATTAAGAACAGCGCAGTTGGATTTAAAATTCGGCTTGACTGGCTAAATACTTACGTTTTCCGTTTGTTGGGTCGGTCTCCACCCCAACTTCCTCCTCCACTGCTTCGGCCACCGCCGCCGCCCCACGATCCTCGTCCTCCTCCACCACCACTGCGGAATCCACCGCCTCCTCTGCCTCCGAACCTTCCACCACTCTTGAATGAGCCCCATCGCCTATCTCTTCCACCATAGGAACCTGTAGAACAAAAAAGATGTAGCTTTATATTGGTTTGGATGGAATAAATTTAAGACATTCTGAACACACACATGAATTAGAACATTCGATTAGTACTGTTACTTTTACATAGAATTAATCTCAAGGACGATGAAAAATATAATATTTGTATTAATTCTGATTGTTATTGAGCAAATCTTTTGATTACCGTTTCAATGCGAGGAAAAGCATAGTATTCAAACTTGGAAAGCACTTTAAGAGGAAAATCAGGGGACCTATTCTACTGATGATTCATGTGATAAATTCCTCAGAGAAATAAGATAAAAAGCAGGATAAATGTACGCGTTTCATTATAAATGCAAGTTTTGCATCAAGGGAGACTGTAATACTTGATTTACAAAACATGATTTCCTGCAGTGCAGCAGTAATCTGGACAATGGTTTTATTTTATTCAATCATTACTTTTTTCAACCAAGTTCGCATGATATTTAAAAGGATTGCTGAGAAAAAAATACAAACCTGATCTTGAGGCCAGGGTTTGTAATTTAGGGTCGACTTCTTGATTTGCTTCATTCAAAATGGAGACTAATTCACTGGCTTGTTTTGCGTTCTTTCTGGTGAAGAAGGTGTAGGCTGTTCCAGTTTGATTTGATCTACCAGTTCGGCCTATTCGATGGACGTAATCTTCCGTAGCACCGGGGAAGTCCAAGTTGATCACAAATTTAACATCATCTACATCTGTTCCCAAAGTTAAAAAAAAACCATTAGTCGAACAAGGTAATACAGATTAGAGCAGGATAAAAAAAATCAGCTGGAGTGGTCGATTTTCTTTTAAAATGAGTGGTTCTGGGACAACTGAAAAAACTGATGATATAAAGGCAACCGAAATCGTAACTGTATCTAAAAACTTCTTTCCATGTGATTGAAAAAAAAACATTTCAACCTTCACTCTCTTCATCATGGGATAATCGTTGATAAAAATGAAAGAGGTGAAGATTCACTGACATTTCTTTACTAAAAATATGTACTGAGGAAAAGAGGGACAAAAATTAAGAAAATTGTGTGAAGTAGATATTAAAAGTACTCTTAAAATTGGAGTTAGAATCAGAGGAAAAGGAAAAGGTGACTAAGGATGCACTCTCAGCAGTCAACAAATGTCTCCAGGTTTAGAAATGTTTTAGAATATAAATTGATATGATTTTAATGTAAGCCTTATCTATGATACTTTAAAAAAAAAATGATTGCAAATTAGGGCATGATAAAAAAATTTCTGACATTTCAGACTAAAATATGAGATGATACTGATCAAACCTGGACGGGACTAGACCAATTCACAAGCATTTTGCACATTATGATCAGTGCAAGACCTGCTCACCATTCACAAATATCTCTCAAAATCCATAGCTCCATCTTCCAGAATGCTGTTGAAGAGCCGAACGTATGTGAGGCTGTTTTAATTCGCTACCAGTTCAGAATGCTGAACATGCAAGAGCTGAATGCGCTTCTGCCAGGATAATGGTTGAACTTCTAGGAGATAAGCACTCTCTAATTTTCCTTCTTATTTTAAATACTTCACTTTTCATTTGAGAAATGTGCAGATGCATGTATTGAGAAAATTGAAAATATTAAAAAAATAAATAAATAAAAAAATAAAGGGGGTGCTCAAAAACTGTTTCTACTAGAGAGGTTAAAGTTTTGACAAAAATCTCAGGTGCAAATAGAAAGAAAGATGCTCTCTAAAATTTCTACTGGATTTAATGAAATTCTTGCTTCTATGAACATGTAAAAAATATTCCGCTCATAAAAATAAGAAAAGAACTGAGTGTGGTTTAAAGTTGCTGAGGCATAAGTGGGATAGTTATTTAGAACGTACTCTACCAAATGAGCTTATTGTTGGTTCACAAGTGAAAATTGCCCAGACTAAATTTTACCGTAAATGCTCTGTTTTCCGTTAGTTTGATTTTAAAACTAATGTATGCTAAATCCTCTTATAGAAAATCTATACTTGGATTGATGCGGAAACAACTGTAACCAAGATGCATCTTTGAAAATTAAGAAAGGGACTCACTGGTTCAAAAATCATTTCCTGGTAGCGCCCCATCTCATGGTAGCGATCCCTCTTCATTGGTCCCGTTCAAATGGATGCGTTCAAGCGCACCCAACAGGACCATTTACTACAAACAGCCTCTCTCACATGCTTTCCAGCGAGAACGCAAGAGCCAAGGGTGAGCGCTCTTTGCCCTGGCGTTGGTTGCACGAGGATGAGCGCTCTTTGCTCTTGCGTTAGTTGCATGATCCGAGACTTCAACAGCAGCCGCGATTCCACGAATCACATCCGGAGAGAGTAGCGAAAAGATGATGATGAGACAGGCCACAGAAAGCTCCGAAAAATCCGGCCTCCGCTCCGCTCCATTGTTGAGAATTTGCAAGACCGCACAAACAAGGGAGCAGACAGAGGCACTCCATTTCAGATAATTCAATTCATCTTATCCTCAGGCTGACGTAAATAATGCAAAAAATTAGAAGTGTCACACATTTTATGGGGGATGCATTGCTCAATTCAAAGACTTTGTGCAGTATTCTGCTAAGAAACATCTCACAGTTTCTTCATAACTGAATTGCTGGCATGAAAATCAGGGTTGCCACAGAATTTTGAAGATTAATTTTCTTGACATTCCCTTGACAGTTTTTTAACAATTGAAGATATGTCAGATGCTTAAAGAGACATGATTTGAATTCTTTATCACACAAAATTTTATTTTCAAAACGTCAAACTCATTCTAGAAAGCAAGCACAGATGACTTAACAATTTATCCCTGGCACTTCAGTCATTTTCCATGACATTTTCAGGTTTTCCTTGGCTTCTCGGTATTCACTGACAGAGGCAACCATGGAAAATAAGCAAGCAATCTGTGAAAACTGAGGTAGGCACATATGAAGAGTCAATTGGCTGATTTTCATCTGGTGGATAAAATTGGTTTCCTTGAATTAAACAATGCATCTACGGTAGAGATTGTGGAATAGATTCTTCAGAAGCAGAGATGATGGAGAAAATAAGTAAAGCGACACCGCAGGGCTCTGTTGAGCCATGAATTGGTTGGAACGGCGAATTATGGCTTTCTTCAAAGGACACGCGCGACTAAATGACAACTAAATGTATCGTTTACTGGGAGGTTCTTGATTAGACGTGTAAAAAAATGAACCGATATATTTTCGAACTCTCCTGCAAAACCTTACAAGATCATCACTGAATTGGTGAAGTTTTCAGGTGGAAAATCAGGACCGATATGCATTTTAGATGTTAAAGAAATAACTTGATGAGAGAATAATACACAGCTCATAGGAAATACTATGCAACAGCATGCGGCTGATTATTGACTCGAAACCAATTAGGAGAAAACTTGTGCATGAGGCAGCCCTCGGATCCTCTTCGAGCGTCATTTCTGCTTCAGGAGAGCGGCTAGGGAGGAAAATGATTATTTTTTTTCCGGCTTTAAAGTACTGGGCAATACTTCCATTGTTCAGACTTACACCATTAACAGTACAGTGTTAAATTATTCAAAATTATTACAACTTACGCCTGGAAAAAAGGCGTCCTTGACTCCCAGCTTAGTTCAGCAGAATGAATTACTAATGTTTTCGTTTAAAAGAAATTTTCAGAAAAAATTGAACAATATGAACATATTTTCAACTGATGTATATAAAATGGCTAGCTAAGCAGAAGCAAGTCCCTCTCAGGTGAGAAAGAATAGAATATTAAAGTCCTCTTACCTAAACCACGAGCAGCGACATCTGTTGCAACTAGCACATCTATCCTTCCGTTCCTGAAATCTGGAAGACAGAAAAGAGAGAAATCAGAACGGTGAGTAAATGAATGAGTTGATAAATTAAAAAATCCGCAAGCAACTTCACACCTCTCTGTTACCAACCCAAAAAGTAATCTGCGAAATACTCAGTGCAATTGTTACGTAAAAAATATTAAGCTAACTCATTTGAGTTTTTACCGGCGGAATTTCTAGACAGGTTTTCCACTTGGACCAAGTTTAACAGAGACGAAGTCGCATTTCTCAAAAAAATGAGCTAAGAATAGTTTTGAATTCAACTATTTGTAAATTTTCTTCTGTCAAAAAATCTTGAATCGAAGGCAAATCATTTGAATGTGAAAGAAGCATTAAAATCGAGTCTCATGGTGAAATAAGACTTTAAAACCATCATTCTACGTTCGAACTTGATAGGACTTTGTGCAGTTTTGCTTAACTCTGTCCACTTAAATTTTGCGAATGAATTAGTTCTGATGACTTCAAGTGGGTGGAAACTGACCATTCAAATCCTCTATGATGAGGTAGCTTGTTCGACTTCCTCTCTTAAAACATTACGTTTCATCAAACTCTGACATTTTTCTATGATTTGCCTACATTCATGGAACAAATTACTAGGTATTCTCTGTTTATCTGGCCCTACATTAAGAGATATATAATAAAATAGAATGGGCCTGTTGCAAACTTTTGCTAGAGCAAAACAAAGAGTTGTTTCTTATAGATAATGCCTCAAAAATCACGATGAGCGCATCGGCAAAGTCTGAAATGCACTCATAACTTCACAATCTGCGTAAGAAATTTGCGGTTTTTTGAGCTTCCCGCTTCAAAAACGATACTACGGCACGGGTGAACATTTTGTTAGAGGAGTCGTTCCATCGTCGGCAATACACATCATGGCCGACGCCAATCCGCCAAAACACGTGTGATGGGACGAGATAACACCTGAACAGGATTAGACCAGATAACAATCGGCGTGTTTACGTTCATATTTTCCTCGCCCGCCTTGATTGACCTTGAACTCTCCTCGAATTACGCGCGGAACTGCGCAAGCGTCGGCCATGATGAATATTGCCGACAATGGAGCGACTCCTCTAACAAAATGTTCATCTTTGCCGTAGTATCGTTTTTGAAGCGGGAAGCTCAAAAAACCGCAAATTTATTACGCAGATTGTGAAGTTATGAGTGCATTTCAGACTTTGCCGAAGCGCTCATCGTGATTTTTGAGGCATTATCTATAGGAAACAACTCTTATTTTTGCTCTAGCAAAAGTTTGCAACAGGCCCATTAACAAAAAAAAACACTTACCTTTCAAGGCATACTCTCTTTCATTTTGACTTTTGTCACCGTGAATTCCAGAGACTTTGAATCTAAAAATAGAGAAAAGAGGAACATACAGGAATGTATAAAAGCAAAAAAATTTATGTTCAGGACAGAATCATCGTGAGTATTGACCTGCCAAGAAGGTAATAGATGAATTAGGGTAGTGAAAATCTTAATGAAAGTAAACGGAGTATCAACTCATCATAAGTTTCTTTTTTACTGTTTCTCTCTGACTGTCAAATTACAAAAGTAATTTGGAGCAATTGGACAGAACAGTATAAGTTAGAGAAAAATTAGTTTAGAATTAAAAAGAAAAACCCCACGACCCAAATTGCGAAATGCTCTGAGGCTATGATTAGTACAAGTATGTCCATGGATATGAATCGATTACGCAGGTGCCAAGGATTCAGAGCAAATGACTTGTAATATCTTAAAAACAGAACTTATTCAAGTGATTGAACTATCAAAACTTAGATTGCCACAAATCCTCTGTCATGGAAAACAATTAAGGGCTGCACTGTGATAATAGCAACATACTAGATAATAGAACATTTGCTGCCTCTCAGAACTTGAAAGGGTTTTTCTACCAGCTGGATAAGAAAACAGCTAGGGCTATTAAACAGGGATATGCATTGGATCACAAATTAACTATGCTTACCCGTTAAACTTGATGGTTCTTGCTATTTCATCAACTCTTCGTTTGGTTTCTGCAAATACTATAGTTTTCCTTTCTCGCTCTTGACTAATTTCTTTCAGGAGGTCCATTAACTTGTCTTCTTTTTCATGATCATCGCACACTTCCACAATTTGTTTAATGTTGTGATTGGCTGTTAGATCAGCTGATCCAATATTGATCTGCACATAATCTTCCAAGAAATCTTCTGCAAGCCTTTGAACTTCTCTGGGCCAAGTTGCGGACCACATCAACACTTGTCTGTCCGGCTGTAAAAAGTTGATAGTAGAAATTCAGTACAAAATCCTGTTGGAAAGCTAATTAATAAATTCCCTGTCAATATGTTGCAGTGAAATTGTTCAAGCCAATTCAGGAAAAGGAGAAAGAAAAAGACGAAGTTCAAACACTTCAAACCATGATTACAGCACTCATTATTAGTTACAAGCGTTTCTTACTTTAAAATTAGTTCTGTTGAGCACAGTCAAACATACTGCTATCGCGCAGCAGGGCGATGATAAGCGTCATTCAGAAAACAAGTTTATGAACAGCTTTGGCCTTCCACGATCAACAACAAAAAAGAATGGCCACTATGACCAGCATGACAGTGAATGCAGAGAATAAAATCTCATGATTCAGTTCTACTTTAAATACGCCAGCTGATAAAATAACAATATTATCAATACTGTAGAAATCTGTTCATTCTTCACCACTGAAGTATTACCTCCAGTAATGTTGCAATCAAAATATACTTGTCACCTGGGAATCACTCAAGCTCAGTTTCTGTTTGGACATAGAAAAAATGGACTATGTCAACAGAGGCGAAAGCTCCGTAAGAACCAATGTTAACATTTTTCTTCTCAGGGTCGCTTAATCTTCGTACTTATTGAAACCTGATTTGAGGTTAACACACAAATATGAAATTAGAAAGAAACATAAAATTTTAAGCAACTATACAGTTCTCCTCTGGATTAACAGTAAATAAGAGTACAAAAATCTCTTTTAATTCCTAAAAGTGCCTGTATCCGTTATCATTCGGCCGCAGACGAATACAGTACTTATTGACTCAGTTTCACTTGACATAAAAAGGCAGGTGGCTTTTGCTTCTGTTGACGTAGTCTATTTATTCTATGGTGTTCTGGAGAGGCTGAATGATAATGGTTACAGGCACTATTAGGAATTAAAAGAGATTTATGTACACTTATTTACCGATAATCCAAAGAAGTGCTGGGCTTAAAACTTGTTTGGATGGCCTCAGTTATACAACATCTATCTAGCAAGCAAGAAACTTACTCTAATTTGTTCCATGACTTTTCTGATTTGAGGTTCAAAACCCATGTCCAACATTCTGTCAGCTTCATCAAGGACGACAAAAGTTGTCCGCTTGAGATTCGTAACTCCCATCGTTAACAGATCTAGCAATCGACCTGGTGTTGCAATGGCTATTTCCACTCCTTGTTTTAAAGCACGAATCTGAAACCAGAAAAAATGCAAGTTGGCAGATTTGGTTGAGGTAAGAAAAGACAAAGATACAATGACTGTGCGGAACCCAGAGGTTGAATCTTCTAATCAATTCAGAAGACACCGAAAACAGTTCCACTTAAAAATTTATATCACTCATCCGTAATCAACAGCATGGTAAAAGCGCAAGCTGCTTTAAAATGAGTGTAGGACTTAAGAGAAAACAGGATGGAGTACGTTTCTCGCATCTTTCGTACAAAATTCTGATTAGTTGCTGAGAATATGAAGGAATCCAAGGGAAATTTAAGTCATAGATATGAAAACTTCCTGAAAAACACAACGGTTAGTGTAATGAACTAACAGAAGAGAGTAAAGAAGATATCATAGCTGTGTGGAACCCAGAGGTTGAATCTTCTGACCGTCTAAGAAGACACCGAAAACAGTTCCACAGTCAAATTTATATTTCTCATCCTTAATCAACAGCATGGTAAAATCGCAAGCTGCTTGATGATGAGTGTTTTTAGATGAGCCAAAAAAATTTCTTCACCGCTTCGAGAAAACTTAACTTAATAGAACGCTTTTTTTACACCTTTTTTGTTAGTATTCTGCTTAAGTACATCCTTTATTTCAGAGACCATTCCAAAAATACTGCTGCATTAATGAATATTAGTGATGCTCAGTAACCAGCTAAACAGGATTGACTTGAGCAGAATTCCAGTTTGAAGTGAGAGGGAAGATTTTGATAAGCTCAATAGGCTGATATTTTAAAAAAAGATACAATTTGCATAAAGAAAAATAAGTTTGCATTAATCTTTGAACCTTTAGAAGATTTTTACTGAGGAATCTCAGATGCGGAAAGTTGTTCGCTTTCACATTGTTCTGATATATCTACATATGGTGCCCTTCTAGGGGTAGAGCTTACAAGGGGAGCTTCCCAAGTGTAACCGGAATTTCGAGTTGAAATTTCGCATGAAGATACTAGAGATGATTTTAGGGATGCCGTATTTTTTCGTTTTTTCGAATGGGGTCGGGAAAGCCCTCAAAAAAAGGGCTAAAGATGCGGGAAAAACGCGTGCGCTAGCGGCACAAGGTAAACGTAGTTGATAGAGGCTCAACAGTCTTATCAGTACCGCATGGCCAAACGTGGCGCGCTTGCCTCACAGGCGGTAGGTCCTAGGATCAGATCCTAATTACAGCTCGAAATTTTATTTTACTTTATGCTTGTTTATTTATCACTTACTTTATTTTGCACCATTCGCTCCGCAAACCGACTTACGAGGTAGAACACGTAGTGATTGAAGATTTTTACATATGCCGATAAAAACTCGAAGTTTCTCTTGGATTGAGACGTTATATATAATTGAATAAACAAAACACTCTAAAACTCAGCAAATTTCGTTGCCAAGCTGAATTTCAGGAGTATCAGTCAGATACAGATACAGATTCGACTGATACTCCGGAAACTCAGCTTGGCAACGAAATTTGGTGAGTTTTAGAGTGATTTGTTTATTCAATTATATATAACGTTTCAATCCAAGAGAAACTTCGAGTTTTTATCAGCATATGTAAAAAATCTTCAGTCACTACGTGTTCTACCACGTAAGTCGGTTTGCGGAACGAATGGTGCAAAATAAAGTGAGTGATAAATAAACAAGCATAAAGTAAAATAAAATTTCGAGCTGTAATCAGGATCCGATCCTAGGATTTCTCGCCTGCAAGGCGCGCTACCGTTTGGCCATGCGGTACTGATAAAACTCCTGAGCCTCTATTACCTACGTTTACCTTGTGCCGCTAGCGCACGCGTTTTTTCCGCATCTTTAGCCCTTTTTTTGAGGGCTTTCCCGACCCCATTCGAAAAAACGAAAAAATACGGCATCCCTAAAATCATCTCTAGTATCTTCATGCGAAATTTCAACTCGAAATTCCGGTTACACTTGGGAAGCTCCCCTTGTTAGTGCAAGTCCAATACAATATTTAGCAATTTTATCCACAAGAAAAAAGGCAGCGCACAGAAAGACTTAGTTCCCACTTATAGGATCAGCACGGAATTATCCTCCAGCGTGGAAATGAAGAAGGAACAAATCTTCAGGAATCTTTATTTAATTGCCCCCCCCCCCAAAAAAAAACAAAAAGAAACAAAACAAAACAAACATAAATGCTGTCACTGTAATTTCAGATCTTTGATTGCCTTTACAAGAAATCACAGGATCAAAATCCCTTGATCCAGCCTTTTCAGCAACCATAGTAGGATTAAACCATTTAAAAGCTTGTACGGGGGCTTAACCATCCAAAATAATATTCTTACTTCCACAGTTAAGTTAGAGCAAGAAGGTTACTCAGACAATTAAATCCTTGCTTGATTTTTCTTTTATGAAATCGGCATTAAAGATATGAACACTACTTGCATATGTAACAATGTTACATTAAATTTTAAGAAAAGAAAACAAGAGCAAAAAGACTAACATTTTAGTGTGTGGAACCCAGAGGTTGAATCTTCCGACCATCCTAAGAAGACACCGAAAACAGTTCCACAGACAAATTTTCTATAACTCATACGTAATCAACAGCATGGTAAAAGCGCAAGCTGTTTAAACATGAGTGTTCTCAAAGAAAACAAAAATATCTTGTAAAACATTAGAAGTCTTCTTCCGTAATGGGGCTACAAAGACTAAAAAAATCCTTTGTTTAAGACTGAAACAGAGTAGAGAACTGACCTGTGGTTGTTTGCTTGCTCCTCCGTAGAGACAGGTTGACCGCAGTCTCTGGGAATGTCCAAACTCTTTGGCAACTTCCTGAATTTGTTGGGCAAGCTCTCTTGTTGGTGCCATGACTAATGCAATAGGACCATCTCCATACTTGAGTGGTGATTGGTGTGAGATGTGTACAGCAGCAGGGAGCAAATACTAAAATCACAAAGAGAGCTAATCAGAGAAAGCCAATCAAAGAATGTTAAAAAATGAATGCAAATCAAAAAATTCTGTTCCTATGTAAAATACACAAATTTCACTTAAATCACTTTAGGAATGAATTCCTGGTCAGGGATTACTTCCTTCGGCTACATTTATGTAGTTTTGACCTTTCTTTTCAATGCGCCAGTAAGGCAGAAAATAGATTAGTCCATGCTGTTGAGGAGCATGACTCCCTCCGTGCATTTCTCACGGGTTGTGAGACATGTGAACCTTTTTTTGTCAGATATCAATCATTCAATTACCCAGAATAGCAATTCTTCATTGAAATTTGGTCCTCTGTCCACTTTTCAGAATGCAACTTAGGGCACTTCACCCTGAACCAAACTGTGACCAACAGTTCGATTGGGTGTATGATGCTGATGTTTTTCCTGGATTCAAAGTTTGGAGATATTTCAAGTCTTTTTCAGAAAATTCCCTGATGTATCCCTCTTCGGAAGGAATTCCAAATTTTCTAGGTCTGACAAAACTTCCATTCACATAAACTTAATGAAGAAAATTTCTTCTCCTATAGAGAAGATAGATACTCACAGCCAATGTTTTTCCAGAACCAGTCTGAGCAATCCCCACTAAATTGTGCCCCTTCATGGCAATGGGCCATCCTTGAGCCTGAATTGGAGTGGGGTTCTCAAATCCATTTTTCCTGGGGGAAGAAAAAATTAATAGTAATTTAGTTGTTATGTCTTACATACAGGTGGGGCAGAATAAAGTATCAACAAATCAGAGCGTATGACAAGGGATAAAAATCTAGTCATTCTTTGAAATGAGGCTTTTAATGACTGATAAAATCTATGTTCACGTTGAAAAGAGAGTTAAATAGAATTCATCCCCAGTGAAATACTGAAGATTTCGATAACAATGAACAGGATCCATAAAATTCAGGTTGTTTGACCATACCAGCACAGGAGAAGTACCTCTACCTAGAGCCCAAGGAACATTTTTGTGATTGAACGTACTCGAAGAATAGTTTTGTCTCGCTAATACTCCAGCCTATCAACATTGAGCACACGTGAACTTGTACATTTTCATTTGGGAGGAATGATATTTACAAAACGTACTTAATTCAATGGAGGGGCTGAGCACTTAGTCTTCATTTGCCAAATAAGTAATCAACAAGTTGAAATGCATCAAATGCCTCTGACCTGGGAGGGAGGATGCCGAAAATCTGTCATGAACCAAAGGGAAATAGGACAAATGATGCATGTATTAAAAAAACAAACTTACGTAATACGTTCCATGATGTGATCTGGGAAGTTGGCTTCCTTGAATTTCAAGATTGGTCCAGGTGCATCACCTCGACTTACAGTAATGTCATTGTCTTTCAAATACGCGTCAATTTTTTCTTGAGATCTTTTCTTGTTGTGTTTTGAAGGCTCGTAAAAATCTTTCCGGAATGGAGTCATAGTTGTTTCATCCCACTTGGGGGCTCGTAACTCACGGCACATGTCATTACTGTCGTACTTGCCACGGCCGCCGCCGCCACCACCACCACCAAATCGGCCTCCGCCACCTCCTCGTCTTCCTCCGCCTCCTCCACCGCCGCCAAATTTGCTACGGCCACCAAAGCTACCACCTCTACCACCAGGGCCTCTACTAAAACGGCCCTTGTCTCGGCTTCCACTGTCAACGGTCCTGCAAAATTTCAAACGGATAAGTAGGAGATACACTGATGAGAATAATAAGGAGAAAGTCGAACAACTTTGGTAGAACATTCAGGAAACTTAAGATTCAATGGTTTCTTCATTTCCTACTAGCGATGATATCATAAAACATTTCTTACAGAGGAAAGCTTTTAAGGCGTGGAGAAGACCCTTAACCCATTCGCCTGATTTGATGATTATACTTGTCGGCCCGTTTCTGGGACATAGCTCAGCTGACGAGTTAGTTCGCGCCATTTGTCAGCATTTCTACGCAATTGTTTAAGTTGTGTTTTATTCGTTTTTCCAATAGAAGGCGTCTCAAGCATGGTAACGCCGATAGATGGCGTGAGTTAACTCATCAGCTAAGATATGTCCTCAGCGACTGATGAGTATACTCGTCATATGAGGCGAATGGGTTGAGAATACAAGTTGAGTGCATTGCATGCAGGTTGTCTACTAAAATTATTGAGTAAGAGACGAGTATTTCTACAGTATTTTCCCATTAAGTCTGTCAGGATTCATCAACAGAAAATTATTGAATTATTTTATGCGAAAAAATCTAGCAACACAACCGTAAATATCCAGTACATTTGTAATTAAAAAAACATGAAAATTCTTCCGCAAACAGCAAAGGCAAAAGGTCATCACTATGAAACTTCAAAGGAGTGAAGTTTGTAAGATGGGAAAGCCTTACTTAAAAATGAGGAGGCTAAGAACATCCTGCATTCTTATGTCATGTTCTATAGTGTTTTCTGCTGAATTAACTGAGACTTGGAAACAAAAACAAGCTACTGTTGCATATTTTCATCCATCTGTGCATTCACTTTAAAGGCCTAGATACACATGGCGATTAACCACCGCAAGTGAAAGACGAAATGGAGAGCCTTTATTTCGATCCATTGATGTCGATTAGTCGAAATCAAGGCTCTCCATTGGCTTTTGTCTTTCACTCGCAGCGATTAATCGCCATGTGTATCTAGGCCTTAAAGCAATCAATTGAATCATCACTTTAATTGATGCTCAGTAAGGTCTATTGGTTTCTTTCAAAAATTTAATTGATCCCTGGGATAGTTCCACATCTGATTACATAACCTCAAATTAAGTTTTACAGTTTGACAATTCTTTTAAATTTGTCACTTTAAGTAGGAGACAGTTAATAGCCATTATTCACAATAAGTTTTCGTTGCTTACTGAAGGCTTAAGTTGGGAATGTACTCAGTTGGGCAGGTACTTCCTTCTTCACAAGGGCACACTTATTCGATAAGATGAGGTGGCGTTACATTGATTACAACAAGGGTAGTAAGATCTCAATGGACATAGAGTTACAGAGACAATTAGAGGCACTATAAATCATGATTCATAGAAAAATATATAATTACTCAAAAGGATGTTTGTATACGTTTAAAGGTTTGATTGGTCAGCACTAGTTTCGCCCAAGCGCCTATCCCTTGATTGTGACATGCCAAGTAAGTTCACGCAATTATAAACTGCGACACAAGGTCCCTGATCTTGCTCCTTGCATTAACGATGCAATGAAAGAGACATCAGGTCTTCTGGCGCAGTCTAGAAATGCGTAGACTTCTTTAGCGTGGACTTCACTCCCGTTTTATTCCATTTCCACACTGGGTAGTGCTGGCACTATCAAGTATTGCAATTCCTCCCCGGAGAATAACCAATTGATGTAGGGGTGTAGGTAAATAAGTATGGTCATTCACACATTTAACAGGAAATTCACATGAGGGCAATGCACGGTAAGGTGGTGGAAGATGGGGGATCGGACTCATTGACATCATTCTAAGACTTCAAGGAAATGTCATCCGTCGGGGCTTGAAATAAAACCTGGGAGAGTGAGGTGTAAAGGAGCCCAGATAGGAACGAAATAAAATGAAATAGAGTTGGTATTCTACGTGAAAAAAATCGTAATTTGCGATTTCTTTCGTAGTCGCACGCATGGTGCAGTGCAAAAACAAAATGGACGAAATAGGCACGAATGTCCCATGCCGCCTTCGTATGCCACGTGCGTTCGATTCGTCTTTATTTTGATTGAGAGCAGCGATAACCCGCGTGAATTTGATCGCGAAATAACGAAAAACGTTCGACGGAAGTAACATATGGAGTAAATCGTGTAAAACACTTACATGTTTGCAAGAATTCGTGGTCTAAGTGCGAGAAGATGGAAGCCTGCAGTTGGGCTTCAGAATTCTAGACAACGATCTGCAAAACACCAAAAAAAGGAAAGTAAATGAAAAGTAAATTAACTGAAAGTGATAAATTAAAGCACTACGAAAAGGGCGTCGTATTATTTGATAAAAATTCACTGAACTTGCTGAATTCAACGTGAATTCAAAGAACTGAAATATCAACGTACCTTCTAAGTCGCTGTCAGATGTGGAAAGGAAAGGAAGAAGGGAAGGGAGGGAAGATGGCGATTCTTGGATCGATCTTCCAAAAAATCGATTCTCCGAGAGATCGATAGGATCGGTAGATCGATTCTTTCAGGTTGATCTTTTGCGTGGCTCCGCTGCTTTCGATGTATCGATCGATTGGAGGGGAAAAACGTTTCTATGATATGGAGGGGGGGAGAGGATCCAAAGATTATTACTTCGGTCATACAACATAGTACATTTTGCGTAATCTTTGTTTGGAGGTTATTCATTTGTTTACATACTGTGTCATCTTTGGTTATCTTTACCTATTCTTGTTATCGCATGCTAAGCTAATTGACTGCAATCACAGCATTAGCACTATTACTTAATTAAGTTTTACCTCAAAATTCATTTTCACGAATTGCTACTTTAAAATGCTGGACGGTGTGAAACATATCATTCTAGTTCTCTCTGGTAAAGGAGGAGTCGGAAAATCTACTGTCAGCACACAGCTCGCGCTAGCTCTCAAAGATAAAGGATTCAAGGTTTCGTATGCATCTACATATTTATCCAAACAAAATAAAGGGAGAGACTCTAGTAAACCTGATGGTAAATTACCTTCCTGCCTCAAAGTTTTCTACGAAAGATAAGCCATTGTCATTCTCCGAATGTAATGAGTGGTATAGTTTAACCAAGAGTCTGTTGTAGTCAATTGTAGCGCATAAAAGATTTGACATCAACAGTATGATGATCAGTCTCATTTATAATGTGAATCTACGTGATTTTAAATCTCCCTAGACTTCGTGCCAGATAAGTTTGCAGTTGTTCACTTTCTGTTTGCCAGTGACTCTGTTGCTGTCGTCTAACAGGAATGATGAATTAGGTTCACCTTTTGAAAAATGCAGCTTCTGTATCCCTCAATCTAAATAATGAATTTCAATAGAATAGCTGTGTCAGTTTGCTATAAAGCTGATCAGTGGGATAGAATCAGTCATACCTACTCCCTTTTTAACACCTCAAAAACTCGTGCACTCGAATTCTCAATTTTAAGCAAGGGAGACAAGAGCTGGATTTTTTCAAACCTTCTTTTCATCTCTTTAAATATTCTTATTTTCTTCTCTCAGAATTTTATTTATCCAAAGAAATTTGAATAAATAAAAGAATTAATTAGAGGGAACGTTGTTTTTCTTATTATGTTACCTCTCCCTTCTCAGAATTCCCTTTTTTTTCTATAATAGGTTGGTCTCCTGGATGTGGACTTGTGTGGTCCATCCGTCCCGCATCTCCTAAATCTGGAAGATCAGGAGGTTCACCAATGCCCTGAAGGCTGGGTCCCTGTTTATACTGATCAAGATCAACGACTTGCTGTCATGTCAATTGGTTTTTTACTGAAAAGCAAGAATGATAGCATTATCTGGCGAGGACCAAAGAAGACAGGAATGATCAAGCAGTTCTTAACAGATGTTTATTGGCAAGATATTGATTACCTAATCATTGATACCCCTCCTGGAACATCGGATGAACACATTACTGTCATGGAGAATGTTCGGTAAATTTTTATTTTTTTCCTTCTTTTCTCGGAAGGAATGCCGCACTGATACTTTTTCTTGATTGATAAAACCATTCCTCTTTCAATTCCAATCTCTTGATATTTTGAAATCCTTCAATTCAGTAACCTTTATTTTTTTAACAGAAAACTAAATGGCACAATACCTTGAAACTCTTTTTAAGTTTTCCATCAGTTATTAAGAACACACTTATGTAATTACAATTTAGGATGTGGCTTGGTTTTCTGTTGAAATAACAACAGACAAGAGGAAACTTGGCAACATCTGATGTACTTAGAATGATCCTGGCTGAAACCATCCAAATCCAAATCTGACACCATGTTACCTATGCAAAACCTGCCCCATACATTTGAAATGAATGAATCACCTAGACCTGCTGGAAACATGGCTTCAATGAATTTGCAGAAACGCGTATCTTGATTAGCAGCATTGCACATTTCCTGTCATCATACTTTATTTTCCACATGAAAAACTACAAAACGTTTTTTCTTTACAACTTTGGTGATTTTTTTTCTACAAAAATGCCAAACTATGATGTTGGTTCAGTCCCGTATTGAAAAATATGAATAAATGAATTTTATTTCATAAAATACAAGTTTATAACAAACAATATTTACAAAAAAAACTAGTGCCAGAAGAGACAACTTGTTTTACAGGCCCGTATTACAAAGAAAACCTTGTGTTAGATTATAGGATAGTTACGGTAAATTAATAGGTGATATACTTAATTGGAGCCAAGATTTTGAAACACTGCAACTGAGTACGCATCACTACAGTCTCATCAAGGATAAGCTGATAGATAACAGAAGCTTAATCAACTGTCGACTTGGAAATTTAGTGGCAAACCCATTCCTTCCTTATTCCCCTCTGAACCTGCAAGTACCTCTGACCGCCAGCAATTACAATCAGGAGTACTTCCTAAGGTCTCTTATTTGTTAATTGAGTACCAATAATTATTTTGTATCTTTATGGTTTGAGATGCGAAATTTTCACCATTATTTGTTGTCTTGGTGATGAATTTACGCTTAAAATAGTCAAAATATACTAATTCTATTTTTCTTTTAAATAAGAGTCTACAAAAATGTGAGTAAGTAACTTCCTTTTTTATCGATAAAGTTCTCAAAACCGATCATTCTCATTTTGTTAATTTTTCACTTCAAAACATCAACTAAATTTTTTAATTATTTTATTAATTACTCTTATGGATAATTTTTTGTTGCCAGGCAACTGCCTTGCGATGGTGCTATCCTAGTCACAACTCCTCAAGCAGTCGCAATCGAAGATGTTCGCAAAGAGCTTACTTTCTGCAGGAAAACTAGCATTCCAATCCTAGGCATAGTGGAGAATATGAGTGGCTTTGTTTGTCCTCACTGTTCTGTAAGTAATGTGTATTTACTCCCTCTTTTTTTTATTAGTACTATATAGAAGGAATCAGCTGTCTCATTGAGGATAATAATGTAACGAAGACTTGAGAACTACATCAGCAAGGGTAAAAATCTCTAAAAAATAAAGAAATAATTTAATAAAATAAAAAAAAATGTTCTAATTTTAGTTGGATCACACAAAAAGGATCATTATCTGTACTTAATACCAATCCTTGCCCTTCTAGGTTGTGTTATTCCTTTAGCATTTTTTGATGCAGTGGATCTCAACTTTATAAAAACTGATTTGTTTGAAGCCAAAAAGGAGTTCGCAGGAAAGTGTCCTCCCTACGATTTTCTTCATATTTTACTTATGGGAGGATTTAGGAAAGTTAGCAAGTTTGTTTTCATATTTATTTTTCAGCCTTTTACAGCTATTTATTTTTGAAGTATCAATTTCTTTCTGGCTGAGCACTTTCCGTCCCTATGTTAGGATAATGAAGATTTTGCGGCATGATTCCGATCTGTCAAAAATCATCTGATCGCACTTTCATCATGCAGACTCAGTTTTAAACTAGTGTTACTCTGGTATAAAGTTTTAGGATTTATATATGTCACATCCTTGGCATTTACATTTGTTAAGCAAAATTGAAAATGAGTGAAAACCGCCTGTCTACTTATACCTAATTTTTCCGGTTTTTTGTAAGAAAATTCTGAAGTATTGAAATGGTTTGCTAGTGAATGAATAATGCAAAAATTGGAGGCTAGCATGGAGTGAGCACCTATCTACTGCAGCAATAAAAGGGATCTGGGGAAGGAATTCCAAGGAACGGTTTACCGAAAAAAATAAATTGCTAAAAAAGTGTCTGGTAATCCTTTAGTACGGACTTAATTGCCCGTTCAGTTAACTTTAAATCCCGGGAATGCAAACATGACTGCAGGGACAGTCAAACCATCATTCAAGGATCTTCAAACACATTCTTAAACGCCTACCTATGCTGCTATTATAGCATTTCATTGTTTTTGGTGTAGTTCACAAAAATCTCTACCTTCAGACATTTGGATTTTTTTTTTATTTTTACTACCGTTTTTTATGTGATCTGTTTATCCAAAACACATCATGTCTCTTACAGATGTCATGTGTGCAGGGCTTACAGACCTGGTACAACATGTATTGTGTTAAAATTTTCAAATTCTCATACCTCTCATTTTATAAAACTTGCCTTTTTCTCCCTTATCTGTTTATGGACGGTCATTTATTCTTAATTATTTCCATTTTCAGACTTGTTCCAACATATTTTCATCTGGAGGTGGAAAATCATTAGCTGAGTACGCATCTGTACCATTTCTAGGAGCCATCCCAATTGATCCAAGAGTCGGTGTTACTGGACAGAGTGTGGTATCAACTTTGCCCAATTCACCAGTGGCAAATGCTTTCAGTAGTATTGTTAATCAGTTAACAGTAGAGAGCATGGAAATCAGTGAACGATAATCCTTGATTTTACATTATCACTTTGTCTTTCAATTTGATTCTCAAGTGAAATGACTTTTGATTGAGTAACCATGCTGCACTGCACCAAATAGCTGGATGTATCTGCTGCAGGGAAAGAATAGTTTTTAGCAAGAGAGAAGGGGAGGACCGAAAAAATGCTAGCACAGAGAAAAAAGAGATAATTTGCCTCATAGTAAAATGTGAGTAGGAATGGCTTGTCCTTTTTTTCACATTGATGAAGGAAAGGAAAAAATTATCTGAGAAGTAGTTGAAGGTAACTTTTTCCACAACTCATCCTAAGTCACTTTAAACTATTTCTAAGTTCAACGACAGACCGATTATTGAAAGTTTAGAGCGGCACAAGAAGATATTGAAATGGGAAATATTGCACGCTTAAGATATGGCTGCCTCGTCTTGTCGTGTCAACAAAGAATTAATAATCAGGCTGCAGGTGATCAAAGTTACGTGATGGATTCATCGAAACGATGATCATTTACTTATTTAGTATAGATTGATACAGACAAGCAATTTTCATTGTAATGGTACTACATTACAACTACATTAGTACTATAAGAATAATTACTTTTAGAAGCTGCCTCAAAATTTGCCCACCTTTGCTCCAATTCCTAAGTCACAAGATTAGACATACTTACATAGGTACCCAGTTGTGTGGAATAGATTATTTTACCGCAGGTTTGTCATTTTGTGCCTCAAACATTTTGAATTAAGTATAAATCATACATTTTGATTTGAATGTTTACATTCTGAATCAAAAAAAAATGTCAATTTTGGATTTTTAGGTCAAGAGAATTAATCATCTGAAGGTTGCACGAAACATTGCTTTGTAATATTGGTAACAGGATTCTTTGAGACATATGGTATATTTGTAATTTCTTTTGGAAGTTGGCTCATTCACTAAGTATTATTTCATTTTATAATTCACCTATCAAGAATGTGAAGTCAAATTTTTTATTGATTGCCTCTTTTCTTGTACCTCATGTTTTTGCTAGAATTTTTTATTGTTATACAGTCTTTGTTGTTCAAATAAAAACATTAATTTCTGCATCTTGTCATCTGTAATTTTTTTCTTTTCAGAAATTTATCATCATACTCTGAGCACTGGAAGTAGATTCTACGCCGAATTGACGTATTTTTGTATGTTGCATGCAAATCCTGCGAACACACTTCTTTTTAGCATAAATCCCAAATAAGTTTATATGCACTTTAAGAGTGCAATGAAAGATCGACTGTCTTCATTTTTTTTTATTTTTGTACTTGGGCAAATTTTATTTAAAAATAATGTAACTAGGCATAACAAGAACTGTTTGTCTTGTATCTATCTACATGGATTAAATTAACTTTACAAAGGTGTGAAGCAACAAAGCGATATTAGATAATACAAGTATCTTTGAGAATAAGAATTGTGCAAAGCTCTTGCTTTTTCATAACTTTTTTTTCCATTCTTCTTTTCGCTTTTCATTCACCCTCTCATTCATACATTGCCCTCAGTTCAACACTGAAATTAAATTGATTTAGAATATGATTTGGAATTGGAATTAAATTGAATTGCAGATCTTCGGTCGCACTATAAATATTGTAATGGACCCGGGGTGAGTTGGGTCCTGGAGCATAGAGCCTATCTGCTTTGGGGGTGCAGCGTAGCTCGATACAGGGGAAACAACTCCCTACACGGATTGGATAGGGATCACTCTTTATTCCCTCAATCTCCTATGAACTAACAGAACACGAGAACCAGTTGGCAGGATTCATCTCCTCCAAATTCTCCTGGTGCCTCCTCACAAATTGAACTAGATCAAATATCCACTATTGTTTATTCTTGTCTGAAGGAAAATACTTAAATCAAAGTAGAGACATTAGAGTATTAAGAAAGGTGACACAATGGTTAAAATTAGAAATATTTATTTAAACTAACTTAATAAGAATAGGAAACAATCTTAGAAAAATGGAATAAAATATAAATGGACAGAGTAACAATGCATTCAGTAAAAAAATGATCACAAACTTTTTCACTTCATACTGCCTTGGAGCTGAACTGCTCGCATAATTTATTGAATTCATTTTCTTTGGCGATGTAATCTACGACAAACTGATTATTTTCATGGGATGCTTTAAGTTCACTTAAATATCTGTTAGAGACCTGAAAAAGAGATAAAAAAGAAAATCTTTGGTATGTTAACACAATCAAACAAGTATGTACGTCAAGAGAAAGTATTTATATTGCTCATGTTTCGTAAAAAAAAAAAATTAATAAAAAATTGTCTTAAGTGCTGGAACAGCTGAATTCTTGGTTGTCAGATATTCTAAATTTCAGAAGCAAATTTGGAACGAAAAATAGTAAACCTCAAAAATCATGAAATACAGGGCGATACAAAAGTCTTGTACCACCACCACTGTAACCCATAAGGTTCTTTCCCCTTTGAAGAGGGGTTCCTTTAAAATTCTGGGTATTCCCCAAAGTTACCTTTCGTCTGTAAGCACTCAAGAAGTTTCAAGTTTCTATCTAAGGAAATCTCATGCTAAGGAGGAACGCTGCATGAACAAAAGAGTTGCCAAATTTCTTTGACTAAAATCTTCATTTTTACGAAGAGTTGTGAATATTTTCCCTTGAAATTTTCAGGTAATTTAGATCTGATGGTAAATAATATTCCCTCAAAAATTGGAGGAAAAATATTCACAGATTTCCCTGAAAATTCGAATTTTATCACAGGAAATTTGGTGATGTCTGGAGGCTCATAGGCATTCTTACCCAGCATTGCAGATCATTTCTTTCTACTATGAGTAAATGGTACAAATATTAATGAAGCTCATAAATCTACAAAGTTTCACCAAACTTGTGGAAGAAAAAATACTGACTTTTTCCAAACTGTTAAACTTTGTCTTCTTTAACAGTACGTACACTCACTGATTGGCTATAAAAATATCGATTTTATAATTCTCTATTTTGAGGAATGGCCTATAAGTGGCAATGCTAAGTTAGGATGCAATAGAGCCGGGGCATTTCTTCAAAAATCTTTTCATCTTTTCAAAGAAGGGCTGTGCGAAGTTATTCATTTCTTCATAAGCATTCATTCTTAGGGGAATTATCAGAAAAAATGTTTAGTGCCATGTGTAAGTTGCATTCTTTGTTGAAAAATGAAACAGAATTTTTCCAGGCCTGGAGTCAAAGTTCCTCACGATTTCTGAATTTACCAGTTTTGCCGAACCTACAGACACCCTGACATAAATCTAAGATATAATCTTACCTCAGCTGGCTTCCCCAGATGACCAGACAGGACAACCATATTGATAAGAGTATCAGGGTTATTGCTATCTTTTTCCATGGCTTCTTGGAGAGCAGATTCCGCCTCTTCGTATTTACCCTGCGCTATGAAGCTAACCGCTTGTCCATTAAGAAGTAGAGGTGTGCTACCGTATTTGTCGATCATTTCTTGAAATATGTAGTATGCATCTTGAAGTTTATCACCACCCTGAAAACACACATTGATGGTGAAATTATTAAACCATGTGTCTCGCTTTTTGATGGTTTTGAGTTTGCTGTGTAAATAAGCTGTGAGCAATGTCAACTTGTGCCATGAAAATAATTTTGTCAAAAAGACCTGGAAGTTACCACAAAAAATGGTCTCTTTCACACATATCTACTGCCGCCTCTTATGTGAGTCCATGGACTGTACTGCCTCGCCAAGGAAGAACACAGTATGAACATTCGAGAGTTGCCGAATTTTCCAGGCTAAAACAAGTATTTTTAAGAAAAGTTACACATATTTCTCCTTGAATTTTCAGATATTTTAGATTAAATTCCCAACAAAATTGTCTGAAAAATTTGAAGAAAAATATTCACAACTTTCCGAGAAAACTCGTTTTTTATTGAAGGAAAAATGGCAACTTTTGAGGGCCACACCAATGCTCACAGAGTGATCTAACATAGCATTGCATCGATGAAGCTCTTTCATGCTATCTTCAAGAAAACTTTCCGACCATCAAAGATAAGAAAAATAACAGTTACTGCGCTCTCATGAAAAATCAAGTTTTCCGAGATATGTGATCTCGTACTTTTTCAGCCGAGATACAGCAGCTGTTATTTTTTTAAAATTTTGTTTCAGAGTCATTAAGTACAAGACTATACAAAAAAAAAAAAAAGTATCTCACCATTGCAATGTTGACCCATGCTGTTGCCAATTGTGTAAGTGTTGCATCCTCATCCTTCTCTTGCATTAATTTCAATTCTTTAAGAGCAGCATCTACTCTGTTCATCTTCAGGTATAGCTGCACATTAATCGCCATACTAGAAAAGGTTTATATGAACTAAATTTAGATAAGTAAACAACTAAGGAGACAGATTATTTGCCCAAATTTAAAGAGGTAGGTAAAGAAAAAAAATCCAAAAATCGAAAAAGGTAAAGAGCGGTAATTCATACTTTTTACTTTGTCATATTTTTTACAAGAAAATACGACAGAGGCACTTTGATTATTTTCTATTTTACTACTTTTTTTAATAAGTGTTCTACAATATTTTGTTTAGTAAATTTTATGTTAAGTTGTCATCAGCCAAGAGAGATCAGCTATATGCAAAACTTCTCTACCTGCATACTGAGCACTAATCAGATCACCACAATCAGAGACAAAGGCCAAAACTGCAAGCACAAAGCATAGAAGGGGATTGAGCCATACTCCGTATTAAGCAGCACATCAGCGAGGACGGACCATGCCTAACTTCCGCACCCCACCAACCACGAAGGTATCCAGCTCTCCCAGCAAGATTACTGACCAATTGAGGCCAGTTAGTCTGCATTAAAACTAGAAGGCATTCTCCAAATGTTGCAAGGGACCCAAGTAGATTGCATGAAAGAACTGTTTCTTCTATGAATTGAGGCTATAAAAATGAAGTTAATCTAGAATAATAACAGTGACTGACTTTTCTATGTTATCTTCAAGACTGAGAAGTCGAAGAGCTTCTTCATATTGACCTTCATTGGAAAATATTGTGGCAGCAACAACGATGGATGTATGATTCACATTTGCAGTTCCTTTAAGTTTTTCATCCCAGGGTGACCTGTTCCAAGCAAAAAGTAACGTATAACACACTAAACAGAATGAACTGAATAAAAAGTTTTAAAAACCAATTTTTTTCACTCATTTGCGACGACTTTTTCCATTGGCAGAATCGCACCAAAGATGAGCCGCACTTTGCTCGAAACGCGTCTGCCAATAGAAAAAGTTGTCGCAAGTGGGTGGAAAAAATTGTTTTTTAAAACTTTTTATTTACATGAAAAAACTTGTGCGGTAATTAGCTCCCTCATTTTATACTAGAATGAACTGAATTTCTAACTGTAATATGCTTTCATCAGGACTAAGATGGAAACAGTTATTTTGTCTGGCTGTAACATTTTTTGCAAAGTTTCTGTTCGTAAAATCTTTCATTTCTTGTAAGCTCTTCAGATTTCTATGATGGTTTACATTGAAAAGTACACAAAAAATCAAACGATGCATTCTAAGATTGCATAATTTCCTTTTATTTCCTTTACTAATGCTGATGATAACAAAACGGACTTCATGAAAAGTTGCAGTTCCTTTTTTTTTATTTTTTTTTTTTTTTTTTTTTTTTTTTTTTTTTTTTTTTTTTTTTTTTTTTTTACTACTTTAAGTGGATTGCATTTTGCAAAAAGGAACCAAGAGCATTGCAATGTTGCTAAAATTGTGAAACTTCTTTTGTATTTGAAGTAAACCTGATCATCTATAAACATTTTCTATTATACATGCTGAAAATTTAAGACAAAAATCATCATGTAAATTTCATATATGTGCATGACTACAGTAGTTTCATTGCCATGAGTGGAGCTGCACAATCTTAGCAACATGGCAATGCTTTTGGTCCCTTTTTGCAAAATGCAATCCAAGTATCCCACAAGGGATAATTTTACGCTGCAGTCCCGTCCCCCCTCCGTAAATACTGAAGAACCAGTCCCAGGCAACCATGGTTTGATTAAAAGATTTGCCAAACATATATTTGTCATTCAGAATGGTAGAAGGGCCATTTATGCAGTGAGTTTCACTGTAAAGATTTTCTGATATCTAAAAGGTAGTATTGTTCCTTGGGCAATGTTTCTTTTGAGTTCTGCTGGATTATGCTGGACAATAGGTATCGAAAGAAGGGAGAACAGAACAAATTTTATGACTTCTTGGCTTTGTTTTCCCCACAAAATGGTGTGGACCCAGCACCATTTCTCCACCTTGTTAAAAATCAAACGTTCATTATCTTACCTTGATTTGGGTTGAGCAAAATATTCTGCTAACAACCTAAGTGGTTGAAGTTCTGGAGAAGAATTGTTGTTTATCTCATCTAAAACAATTCTGTACTTCTTTTGAGCTATGTAGGATCTATACAAAAATACATCTCTTTCAACTTGAAGCTCAGGTTTAGAGGGCTGTAACAAATGAAAATAAAAATTAGAAAAATAATTTTTTTTCCCCGCATACAATCTAGAATTTTGATTTCTTTGTTGGACACTTTCAGACACCCCATCATGACGGAAAATTTTGTTCTCCTAAACTTTGAAGAGTTGGGAGGGCAAGGCTGAGTTAAATTGTCTGATCCTGCATGTAGTGTCTTCCTAGTGCGACAGTGACAGTGCCTTTTTAGCCCTTCTCCGAGCAAGGATAGATCAGTAATTGCACAGTGAGGATCAGAACAGCCGGCTTTACCAAACATATGAAGAATTGCTGTTCCCAAATAAACACATGTGCACATGTTACTCATAGCAATCAAAGAAAACTGCACCTGAAGTTTAAACAGCAGGGTCTACTAACAATCGAGAAAGAAGTCCAGTATTTCACCGAACACTTGCAAGAGCAAGAAGAGCATTTGACCTGTGAAAATCGTAGTTCCTCGTCAAACAAATTTTCTAGTTTTTTTTTGGCTTTGAGCCTAAGATAAGCTTACAAGTAGTACCAGTAACGGAATTCGACAAGAGTCTCCGAGTTTGCGATTCTTTGAATTAATGCTGCGCTGGCATGATTGTGAAAGTTACTTAGAATTTTCAGAGTGGGCTGGGAATTTAATCAGATAATATCAGACTATTTTCAAGCTGCAATAGAGACGTCCGCTTCATTAACATTAATTCAAAAGATATTTCAGATCCATAAAAAAATGCCTTTGAACATAACCTCTTCCCTTCATAAGATATCATTCCGATGATGTAAAAAATTTTGAAATTGCAGCAGCCTCCGTAAAGTGCTTGGGAAAAAGTACAGAGAGACAATAAAGATGTTAAAAATTATCGGTATCGGTCTGTTGACTAACGTTGAAAAGGCATAGTTAATACACCAATAACAAACCAATACAGATTATTTAAGATAAGCCTTATCACCTGCAATTTAGTTGCTTCATTGATACACTGCTGATAATTTCCAATGAAGAAATCATTTCGAATTGAGAACAGCTCGTCAACTTCGCTGGGTTGGGGTGCCATTGTAAAGCCGGAAGTGAAATTGATGAAAATTACTGAACCACAACCACTCGATACATACACGTTCACAATTTTTTTAATCGTCACAAATGTATCGTCATAATAATTCGTCTCGCAGCTTGTCAAAAAAATTGATAAATCTTCAGACAAGTGCTGCACTCTGTAAACAAGTGCGCCGAACATTTTCTACTACGTAAGTCATAAAAAAATTAGAAAATGCGATTTCTAGACATTGCAGAAGTTTAAAAAAATCAAAATTTATCATATTTTACTTTATTATAGAATTGAAAGACATTTCTCAAGTATTCTTTAATTTATTCTGTGTTTTACGTTATAACAACATTTCTGTTAAGGCACTCGCTTGATAACTCAACGTCAGCTGGTTCGTTACGTGCAATATGAAGGTAGAAATGGCGGCGCTTGTTGCAGGTGTACAGTATGGGTTATCACAGGGACATTTTAATGAAAATAAGTCTTTAATTTTTGTGAAATTAACAGATTCGGCATTTCGTGCGATAGAGGAATATTCCAGGAATCGAGTAAGTACAAATTTTTAGTGATCCTCCTCTCCAGTTGTCCGAATCGAAGACGTTTAGTTCGCCTGTCTCCTTGTCTTCTTGTCGCCATATTTTACATTTGCATTTTTACCTAAATTTGTCCTTTAATTAATTTCTCGATCCAATTCAACTCATTGTAACCCTTATTTTCAAACTATCTAATTCTACTAACACTATATTTCGAAAATTGACCCTCTCGCCACGTCAACATGCCAATTTTTCATATTTGGGTTAAGGTCTTCCCACAGGCTAATTCTTGGAATAAACTAGTAAAATCCTTCATTTCCGCCTCTGATTTTGCTTCTTATTTTGAGTGAAACGTGTCAGGAACCCTTTAATCGTTGGAAATCTTCATTACTCCTTCAATTTAGGTCGATTCTTTTCTCTTGTGACCCCGTATTTTGTTTCTGAAAGTATTAGAAGTCATGGCCCTGAGGCAAAGAAATCTTGCATAACACCACTTATGGCATTTGATTATTTCTGCAATCATTTTTCGATTTACAATAACATTAAATAGTTTATTGTTTCTCAATTTTGCTTCTTCTTAATTTCTAGTTAATTCTTAAGCAGGTGTCTCTTGTCTGACAATCCTTCGTCTCCCCCTCCCCTTCCTCCCGGGGACTTTTATAACGATAGCTGATAGTGGGTTATTGAATTTTTATCCTGAATGGATGAAAGGATATACATTCCATGATGTATATTTTGTCTTCAACTTCTCCTCTTTATTGCTGTCTCAAGGATTTACTCAAAGTAGTTTTCTCTTGATACCATATTAGCCTGTCATTTTCAGTAGGATTTGGCTGATTACTTGGAATATGGTTGCTTCTAGTGAACTATAAAGACTTTTACTAAACATATGAAAGCTCTCCACCAAACGTTTATTTTATGTATGTCATAAAACTTTTCTAAAGTGAACATGGCTGAAATTTGCCCATTTTTGGGTTGAGCAACAGAAGGCTGTCACGATCGTTTTGATGTGTCACTTAGCCTATCTGTGCCTATTTCAACCATGAATGAAGAATTCATTTAAGTGATATTATTCATCATTTGATGAGTGTGGTCAAAGGTCATTGTAATGCCCAAGAAAACTCATGCAATGTCTGCTTGCCCATGTTTTTTTCTTATTTTTTTTTTGGAGCAGTTATTTGTGTCATCAATGATACTCAGCTCTTTCTCCCTTGATAAGGTATGCGCACAAAATTGTAGGGGAACGACCAATTTTTATGTCTTGTCATTCAAATTCTTCTAAAATATTCTAGATAGGCACATCATCATTGAAAATAACTAGGGTAGGTAGCAACTTGCATAGTTGCGAGACCAGGAAGTTAGCAGGTTAGCTAACACAACAGCTTGATGTATCCTGTGAAAGTTCTAAATTTTAACTGAAATCTATCAATATTCATAAGTTTTAGTCAATTGATCTATAGTTCTAATGTTCATAGTTATTTTGTTGCAATTAGAATTCATGAACTCGCCTATGGTTGTTGTAACCTGATTTTCATCATTTTTTTAGGTCAAATTTTTGCAAAAAGTTGGGGATGTATCGATTCTTTGGTAGTTTTGGATAGGAGCAAAGATGAAGCATTGAAATGAAGATGTTTCTGTGTTTTGCTGTATTATGGTCTGATTTTGTTTCCTCTGGTTTGTTCGAAGTAAGGACTTCGTCGAGACAAAAATTAGAGAAAGTGTGTGTTAGTCACTCAAATCGGTAACCCATTCATGTAAGAAGGACTGAAAAAGACTTGTCTATTGGGCTTTGAACTAGGTTGGTGTAACATCATCACAGTGACACCGCTGTTTTCCGTTTTACTCAACTACGTTGCCTGTGATCTATGATCAACCAAGAGGCACGTACCTTTGGTTGGTTGTTGTTGGTTAGCTGCTGTTACATTTACTCATTCAGATAGAACTGGGCCTTTTTAGAGTTTGTTAAGCAATTAAGGCCAATATTTTAAGTTTACATCAAGAAAAATGAACAACCTAGAATATTTAAAGTTGATCAGTTCGAATCATCGCCACGTGACATACTTTCTAAAGTTTTGTGCAACCTCTGGTGCGTCTCATCTAGTTCTCCTGCTCATTTGATAGATTCTAAATTGTCCTAGTTTTCATTTTAGCTGCCCTAAATTAAAAACTTGAATACTTGATAGGTATCCAGCTGTTTGAAATTCATCAATCAGAGTTGCTCCCGATTTGCCAATCCCTTTGTAAACTTGGTTCAGGTCAATTCCATTTCATAAGATGAAAAATAACAATTAAATGTAGCTTGACAAAATGAAACAATCTTTCCCCCTCAAAGTTACAGCCCCAATGATTGACGTAAAGAAAGCCAAGGAATAAATTGATTTTTTAACAGTACATATTTAATTGAACACAAAAATCAGTGTGAATTATTAGTTTTTCTGAGTTTCGTCTATGTTTTCTCACCATGTAATATACTAAAAGCAATAAGATCAAAGTGGACAAGGGATGTATTGATTTTAGCCAATAGGATAATGGTTGAAAATATGAGGTGTATGGAAATGCCCTCAGGAGAGGCAGCTAGAAGCCTGGAATTTTATTCCTTTCTACTTGTCCTTGGATGGCCTTGAGTATGCTAAGTGCCTTCGAGAAGAATTCCACCCCAATCATTGATGAACCTCACCAATTTAGGTGGAGATGATTAATCAAAGGCAGACATTGTAATGCCACTTAGTCTAGCAACCTACTATCAGTGAGTTGAAAGTCTTCAGTCTTGCAATTCTCACTGTCTAGTGCAACTTAGGATGTCTCAAAAATTAAAGGTCTTTAAATATCTAGGAAGGTCTGATAGTCCTTTCTCTCAGAGGCACCAAATGGAATGATAATGAGCAAGTAGTAATCAGATAAGTGCTTGATTTGTGGAGCCTCAGGATCCATTTATTTCATGAATCCTAACTTGTGCCGCAAAATCTCTCTCGCATACCTCTGGCAAGCCCACAAACTTCAATATTTCCATCTCTGTTACTTCTTCCATAATTCCCAAGGGAAAAACTCTTGAAACCGTCTTTTAATTAGGAGTTTCCTTACTTGTATTTCTTAAGTTGTCGATGCACACCTCTTCTGGTAAAGTCAATCAGCATGATATCATAATGTGAGTTGCCTGATTCCCCTATATCAATGCCCAAAGTATGAAACCACGCACCTCCATGTGCAACGTTGCGGACTCTCTGTCGTACTCCATGGTTTCCTTGAAAAACCAGTCAACATTATTCAGCAAACATTGTCTTGATCTTCTCCACGAGGAGAATATCCTGCAAAAATTTCTAGCTGTAAATTGGTTGTTTCTCCTCCAGAAAATATAACAGAAGTGGGCATTTTGAAACACTGCAATGAGATACATGGTTTTGCACTCTGGCCATCTACATGATGGCAGTATAATATCATGCTGATATCCATACTGACATCTTACTGTTTTCCTGCCGCTATGTTATGCTGATATCATTTTGCATCAGCTCGGCATGATATCGTACTGATGTACTTTCTCAGGGCAACTCTGCCATGCTAAGGAATGACGCCGTATCAGCCATCAGGCGTTGCCAAATTTCCTTCGACAAATTTGTGACTATTTCTCTTCTGATTTCTCAGAGGATTTCTTTCGTAATGTGATGTAGAAAGTCTGAAAATTTCGAGAGGAAATATTCATAACTTCCTTCAAGAATAAATATTCTTTAAAAGGAAATTTGGCAACAGTCGGATGCTCCTACAGTGTTTTTAGCATGGCAGAACTTGGCCATATTTTATTTAAGGAACCATTATTTCTGGCTCATTTTAGAAGCAACTCTTGTGTCATTGGTTTCCAAATGCAGAAAGGTGATTTTACAGAAAAGCTAGAGATATTGGTTCCTTATTTCAAAATGTAATCCAATGATCGAACTGTAAAGATAGCATCCTCCTGAACTATACCATATTTTGCAACGAGGAACCACTATTTCTGGCTCATTTTTGAATCAACATATATGTCATTAGTTTCTGTATGCAGGAAGGTGATTCTATAAAAGAAACAGTTATAGTGGTTCCTTATTGCAAAATGTAATCCAACTATGACCGGACTTTGAAGATAGCATCCTTCTGAACCGTTGTTCCACCGTGGAGGGACCAAGAAATAGTAGGGAGGCTGGAGGGTTGCGTGAACCCGGATCTAGCAGCTGGTGGTCGCGAGGAATCGGGAATCCTCCCTCTCTTTCTCTTGAAAGTTGAGTCCGCAGTTGGTAAAATGATTTTTCAAGGTCGCTCAGCGCTGAGTCCTCAGATCGCTGCAACAAATAATTTGATTCGGTCGGCGCACAGTGGATCCAATCAATTGACCATAGAATTTTAAATAAGAACTGCGAATTTTGATGTCTTATTCGTCACATTTCAGTTTGTAAGGGGTAATTCCACCAGAAAATTACACGAGGAAGCCTATGGAACCACTTTTAGACCCTAAAAGTTTAGTGTAAACGGAGTTATAAGCGTTTAAAGTCTCCGAATTGTGTCCGACCTCTCCGAGTGGCTGGATCCACTGTGCGGCGCCGATGTCGAGCGCGAGGAAAAACCAGCGTTTCCAACGCGAGCGGCAACCGTAAAGACGGCCGACTGGTTGACATTCCTCTCGCCTTTCGAAGGTTATTGCTTTGCCAACGCCAAAGTGAAGAAATCGCCGCCCGGAGCGGCAACACCTCGTCATTCGCGTGGGAGGCTAAACCGAAAAACAGGGGATTTTTCTTGTTATTTCATGCAAAAGGAGTGGAAAGTCAAAATTCCGGGCTCTCCGTCCTCATCTACGGTTTTTTACATTTATTCGGTCGGCGATGAACGATCGATCAATCGAATGGATCGTATTCGATAATTGAATTGCATTTTGCAAAAAGGAATCAGAAGCATTGCCATGTTACTAAGATTGTGCGACTTCGTCCTTAGCAATTAAATTACTGCAATCATGCAAAGATATGAAATTTACATGGTAATTTTAGTAGAAATTT